TAGAACCCAAAAAAATACCTTTTGAAGCCAGTCAATAGTGAGGCGGGACCGTGGATGCGCACCGCTGACTCCCAAAACAGGACGAAACGGTCATCCAGTGCTTCCAGGTTTCCCATAGAGTGCTGGCTTCACTTGACTCATGATCTCAACCATTAAACTAAACTTTTAAACATGGGAAAATTACGTTACACACCTTTCTTGATCTTACACTATCATCATATTTAAACAAAATCATTTAATTAATTTGTTTTCCTTTTTTGAATTGCACAGTATGAAAATCATATATTAAATACCTGATTTGAACATCTTTGTGTTGTCCTTTATATACTCCATCATTCCTCTAATGCTGTTGTTATATCGATTGCTCCTTCTGTCCTGTTCTCTTCATTTCGATCTTCTAATGGCAGGCATTTTCCATCCGACGGCTGTTACATACTACATATATCTGTTAACATAAGTAGCATACACCAAAACTTAGCACAAGAGAATAATTGGTAAAATAACATAATAATACATAATATATATAATATGATTTTGTAAAACACGGAGACGTTTATGACCAGTTGTTTACTACTGAACATTTAAAATGACAATATTGTACATGTAATATTCATTATGTCTATTATAGCATAGACAGGTTGTCATGATGTCAACATTCCACGACCATTCACCGTTATTTTTAAAAATTACTGATCGAATTATGTGAAATTATATGAATCAAGAGTTTATTATAAGGGAAACACTAATTTCCTTTTCATTTTACAATAACAACATATGACTACTTAAGGAATACTCCTTATCTTATAAGCTAAATTTATTAAAAAAATGTTTTTCTTTGTTGATAGTTTGTAATTTTCCGAATGGGGATTTGTGAAGATTATAATAATTTCGATAGTTGAATTCATAAGTTAATCAATGTTAAACCACCATTGAAAACCTAGAAGCATTAAATGGCCGTTTTGTTCTATCATAAAATCATGGATATGTACTGTTGAGGAGTTTATGATTTGTATATTTTACCCTTTCTCATCAACAATTGCCTACCTTAGAAAAGATTGATAGTATTGTTTCCACTAATCAGTTTATTACTTATTAAGATAGAAAACATTTTGTTTCGCCAATACGTACATATACTACTTAAGAAGAAAGATGAGTTTAATTACACAAACAACTCTTTTTTGTTTTCGAACAGTAATTATTTTGGTATACAAAGTTGTCAATGAAACTAACCAATTTTCTGATTCATTCTACTGAAAAATATATAGATATTTATTGCTAATTTCAATCAGAAAATTGTTTTTGAAAAGATCTAAGAGAAGAGATTTGAATAGAATAACATGAACTCATATCATTTGACTATTAGGAGTTACTTTGAAGAAACATCAGTATAGTATAATAAATGTATAAACCAGTTATCAAATTTATAGTTTATAAGAACATATTGATTTTGAAGTAACTTCAATAGCTTATTTCTCTTTTAAAGTACATCCTGATGATGATGTTTAAGAAGATAATAAAAGTTTCATGGCTAAGCCATCTAGTTTAGAGAAATTCATACCTTTAAAATGTTTTATAAGTATATATATTATATATATTGCGTCCAACGTGTTTCACCGATTCCAAGCACCTCTAGGTTTTATCTTCTAATTCCTGAGACAATTTGGAAGACTCTCCCGGTCTCCCACATTGTACGAGTATTCCATGTACCTAAATAAATGGTTGCTCTGGTTGTCAGAGGGGGCATCGGCCTCGTGACTTCCGAAGGAACTCGGCTTTTATCATCAGGTGTCATAACTCTCCTAAATAAAGACCTTATGACTCCCAGGGCAGAGTTTAAATGGTTTACATAATTTTTTCTGGTAAGCGTTTTTTTAACGAGTTAGTTTTCTACAAGATGGGGTCGCTAACCCCATGCCCAAATTTTCTGCTTTATCCGGGATTGGGACCGGCAGTAGCCCCCGGAGGGACTCCAGGCGGAGTTATATATATATATACTCACGACGCCATACATTTACCTTTGGTTTAGAAATATACATCACACCACAGACTAAACAGTGTTCAAATATTCCGATTAAAGAGTGAATTCTCAAATTAATAAACTAGTTAACATCAATGTGGGTAATAAAACATGCCTGATTTTCATGTAGAAAACCTTAGATTCTGTTTTACCAACACTGAATAGTATCAGAAATGAAACAAGTTTTACCATATAAATTTTATTAAAACTGATACCTTAAAAATTATGAGACGTTTAATTAAACGAAAGGTAAATTCAGTATTCTAAGTTTTAACTCCATATCCTTCTAAATTGTCTAATATATTGCTGGAAATATCCTTGAAATCATATATGTTTTATTTAATAACAGTTATCCGTACCTTTTGAACATTCAAACCAAGTTCAGATTTAACGATCACAATGATGTGGTTACTGAGTTAATGATATTGATTCACTCGACAATTTACAATTACTTTATACAGAATAATTTTGATGGAGTTATCATATTATAAGCTCAAAAGTTTATATTTGTTAGTTTACCATTGCTTTAATGAAGCTATTAACATTAATTAGAAAAATATCAGTATAAACGTTTTTGTTGTTTTCCAGTTATTGGAAAATGCGAATATTTAATAATAATGATTGAATGTGTTTTTCGGTGTCATGCCTTTTCTGTATTTGTATCAAAAGGGTTTTTGTGGTTATTTTAGTAATTTTAATAGTTGAGATCATGAGTCAATTGAAGCTAGACCATCATGGAAAACCTGGAACCGCTAGACGGCCGTTTCGTCCTATTGTGGGAGTTCTCAGCACTGCGAACCTACGATCCCGCCTCACTAGATTCGAACCCAGAACCTATCAGTCTCGTGCGCGAGCGCTTAACCACTAGGCCACTGAGCCGGCATCCAAGTGTGTTAATATGTTAATGTTGTTAATTTGCCTATACTGGTTGCATGAGAAAAACCGCCATACTCAATTCATTGTAGATGTGATGTTCTTCGTGATAAATTAGTTAGTTGGATTAAAATGACTTTTGTGGAACTATTCATTACTTGCCACTTTTCAACGAACCACTATCGTCTAGTGTAAACTATTGAATACCATAGTTTACATTATGGACTCACCTTGTTTAAATAACCAATGAAAACCAGACATATATATAAATTCACAACTCTAGCAGGTATTGAATTCAGAACCCTCAGACCACATGACCATCGCTTTACTTTCAGATTACTGATATAGGATTACTAAAGTCTAACAATCCACAATATTGCTTAACTTTCATCCATTCTTGTTGGTGATATTTGTCTCACAACTGATATGATTGTTCTCTTGATTTATTGTCAGATTAATTACGGTTTAACCTTGAATCTTTCTCAATATTCTAGAACTGTTACTTAGATTTTTTGCAGAAAGTTTATTGATACATTTTTATAAATCAAAACTTTACTAGGTTTTAGTATTCTAAACGCTATATTAACCAATGACAAAATGTTCATGTCTTAAGTTTTAAACTACCTTTAGAACTTTAGGGAAATAAACCAGTTGACTTCTATGTAGCTATGAAGAAAACAAGCAATAATACAGTGCTTTCATTTCATTCTTCAAATACACACTTTTACATTTTGTCTTTATGCACTATGTTCTCAATGTTTAGTCTTTCAAATTCTCGTTGCTCATGTGATTATTTCAACTCCTTTACTATTCATTCTGTTAATTACATCTAGTCGTGCTACTATAGTTTGACAACTTGAGTTAATACATATTTATCTCACTCTCTAAATTGATCATAATGATGTCTAATACTTATGTTGGTAGATATGAGTAGTATGTAGCAGCAATCGGGAGTGGAATGCCTGCCATCAGAAGATTGAATTGAAGAGAACAGGGATGGAACCAAAGAACAATTGGAATATTGACTGATTTTAAAGAATTTCGAAGTATGTAACGGACAAATGAAAGATGGGCAGATAATCCATTAAATGTACGTTTTTCGCATTTTATGAAAGCTTATGATTTTCCGTTCACTACAATATGAAATGTCAAGATGCTAATTACCACAATAAACTTTTAATAATAAAACATATTATAAATGGAGAATTATGTTTTAAGAATACAAAGGGAAGATATACATTTTAGGTTGCTACTAAATGTTTTGTCATATAATTTGAATTTAAGAAATAAGTAATAAATATGAAAAATATATCTGTGACAGTTTGTATCATTTTGTAGTTAGTGTTTCAGAATGCATTTCACCTGTCATTGTTGTCTCAACCACTGAGACTCAAACGCACTCAAATGTAGAGACTTAGCTCTTTGACCTGGTTACTGGCCGTGATCTAAAAATAGGGTTGAAGATATATATTTTACTTGTAAGAGTTTATAATTTCTTATTCTTTACAGAATAATGATTCTCAAAACAAGCTACTTGCTACCTGGAGTCAATAGCTCATTGAATGTACTGAGTTGGAGTATGAGTATGAGCATAAATATTCTGATAAAATTGCATCAAGCTAATGAGCCACAGATAGCACCAAACGTTTGTGTTCAATTTCATTGCCAGTCATTAACCAAATCGAATTAGAAATATATTGTTTGTACCTCTTATATACAATAAAATTGGTTATCATTTAATTTGACGAGATCAGTCACTTCTTTACATCTTAATTCTCAAATTTTAAAAGAAGGCTAGTGAATATTTTGTAATGTCTATCTTTTTCTCTAAAATCAAGTTTTTGTATCTACTTTGAATGTCATGTGGAAATAAACCATAGGTATTCAGTAAATAAATGGCAATCCATTATTACTATTACTATTATTATTACTATTATTCAGCATCAATTCATTTACAGTTTACCAATAAAAATGAAACTGAAAACTATCGCATGATGTTTGATTAAATATTTTAACGACTATAAAAAATAAAGAAAACTCGGATATGTGCTCAGACAAAAAATATAAAAGGAAAATTACCATGGCTAAATACTGAAACCTTTTTTTAAAGATGAACAATCTAAATTACAAATTGCATGTTATATTAGTTCTTATCATTTTAGTAAGTTGTTGTATTGTTTAATGATAATAACGTATTGTTCTAAGGTGGCAATATTGATGTTTATGAAAGAGCAATTTATTGAATAATCATACTTGTTACAATCTTATATTATTGTCTTTTACAGTTTGTATTTATTTAATGTTTATATTATTTAATGGTTTAATTCATCAGTGGATCTAAGCTAGACTACCATTGAAAACCTAGAACCACTGAATGAACGTTTCGTCCCAGTATGAGATTCTTCAGCAGTGCGCATCCACAATCACGCACACGGGACTCAAACCCAGGATTTTAAGCTTCTCACGCGGACGTTTAAACTCTAGACCGCTAACCGCCTAACGGTGATAATGTCTAACTTTAATCAATCCATGACCTTGTACAAACTCTATCTATTGTCTAAGCTGGATAACTGTCTCCATCCGACTCGGATGAGTCTCCAGGTTCACTATAGTGGTCTAGCGTACATCAACTCATAAAGTTAACTATTAAAATCACTACAATCTCCACAAATCTCCATTCTCATATCATTTACTCCTTGTATTTCGAGAAAAAAATATTATCTTACATGAAAATTAATTATTTAACAACAATCATAATAATACAAAAATAGACTTTGTTTTTTGATTACCAATTTGCAGGTCATACAAAAAACATATTACTCAAATATATGGATGAGAATATTTCAAATCCAATTATATTAATTCCTGGTCTAGGAGGAGCTCAAGCTTATTGTCAATTAAAACAATCAAAATCTAATGAATTCCCAATATGGCTTAATCTATTTTATATGATGATTCCGGAAAAATTACGACATTATTTCGGGTAATTTAATTATTAAATTAAATTATTCTTTATTTACCAATAGTTTATATCTTAATCCGATTACATTGAATAGTGAAAATACTGACACATGTAATGTTATATTCCCTGGTTGGGGTGATACACACACAATTGAATATTTACAGACGAATGGTTTTCGTTTTTTAATTATTTTGGACGCCTTGTGAATTCTTTGTTACAGAATAAATTTTTCATTAAAAACTTTACACTTCGTGGTGCTCCATATGATTTTCGTAGATTAACATGTAAGTGCTTATCTAATCGAAGATTTATTCTCATTCATTCTGAGTATTGCACATTGTCCTATGAAATAAAATTACAAACTGCAGATGTTTACTATCACAATTAAATAGTCCACTTATTAAAATGTTGAGACATAATCAAATAGCAGATCCTGAACAAATAAACTTGATAAACAGTTAACTTGTTAATTATAGTGCAGTGAATGTTTATAAACTATCGGAAATAAATATTTTATTTCGCAGTTCATGTCCATTTTTTTACCAGCTTTAAAACTGGAAACGTCATATATTGACTTTATTACCTCAGGGGATTAAACTATGGAAATTCATAGTTTAAAATGAACACATTGAACTAATAAACTCGGAACTAGCGTACACATTCCCGATTTTAATAATAACAAAAACACTATATTATAATATTTCCTATACAATCTCTTCGAAAGTTTCTCAATAGTTAACAATGACATTTTCAAAGGAAATCAAAATAGGAAAGCATGGTTTATTGAATTTCTTAAGAAATGAATAATATATATATAATTAAAGTGTTTTTTCAATTTTTATTCACCATTATTAGTTAAATTCATTTTAAACTGATCCCCAAGTGTATCATATTACTTAATGACAAACATACAAGTAAATAAAAGAATGTATGTACGTAATGAATGAGAAGTCAGGTGGATACAACCAATTTATTGATCATTACAAAGTTACAGAATATCTTGGTAAAATATGAGAACCATACATTAAATAGTTCATTTGCAAAACTTCCATCGATTGTCATTCATATTGTACACGATTCTTTCATACCGCACTTCTGTTCTACTTCTCTTTCTGTTTTCTTCGATTCGATCTTGTTAGCCTTCTGCTACTATGCATTCCATTTCTGACTGGTGTCACATACTACTTATATCTGTTAACATAAGTAGCATACACCACCTGTGTACCAGTTACATAATTTTAATTTGTCATATTTTAAATCAATAACAGAATTTTTACAATTTTTCACTTATGTAGAATAAACAATATCGTAACACATAAGTTTACTCAGTTATAAGGTTCATTGTAGCACCATCTATGAACATTTCCCGTTCTGTCTGATATTAATTTTATCATTTTGATGCGATAATTTAAACTAAGCAAGTAGACAATATTGTAATTATTGTAATTAGACAAACAAAAATAATAGTCGGTATTTAAGTATTCAAGATTAATCTTATTAATAGTTCCCACTTTTATCAATAAATTAAGATAATAAATGAAAAAAGGATATATCATCCATAAATATCTCTTTATTAAAAGTGTAAAAAACATTAGATGGTGGTTGGAGGTAGTCAACAGGAAACCCTGGACCCGGGTTTCGTGCTACTTGGCACTCGTCAGCAAGGTGTACCTGTAATCTTGAGGGAACTGGTGCTCCCTGGCGGATTCGATCTCGTGTCACCCAGCTTCACAGTCAGAGACGTTACCACTGAGCTATCCGAGCCGTGACTAACCTCCTGTAGGACTGAGATGTAATCACAATTGATTGATCACTGGGTGGTGATCAATCTCATGTGTGTCAAGTTCTTATTTAGTGTAGATAGAATGCTACAGACCATGTTGCAATGTGGCCAACAGTCTAGGTGACTCGACATTGCGGGCACTATATATTGAAACAATATACAACAATGGTATGAGAATAATGACAGTTTAAATGAATGCAGGAATGAATCTACCGATGTTTTACAACTTATAAATTAGGTTTCTTTCAAAGTACACTACAATATTATTCTCTCTTATAAATGAAATAGTATCGTTTTTAAAAATTACTCAACAAAGTAGTTCACTAAATTTAATAGTTGAATTCATGAGTGAATTGAAGCTAGACCACCATGGAAGCACTGAACGGCCGTTTCGTACTAGTATGGGACTCCTTAGCAGTGCTCATCCACGAACCAGGTTTACCATGGTAGTCTAACTTTAATTGACTCATGAGTTCAACTATTAAATTACTAAAATATCCACAAACCCCTCTCGAATAACTAAAATGTTTTTCTATGAAATTTGATTTTGTTTTGCAAAATAAAATAAAACCATTGCTAGATGAAAATACCGATTTTATGAATAAATTAAAATTATTGGTTGAAGAGACCTACACAAATGCTAATCGACGACCGGTGGTTTTACTTGGTCATAGTATGGGTTCACTGTATACGCTAAATTTTCTTAATAAACAAACAAAATCATGGAAAAAGAAATATATAAAATCATATATATCAGTGTCTGCACCATTTGGTGGAGCTGTCAAAGCGTTGTTAAGCGTGATAACTGGTAAGTTAATTATTAATTTAAATTAAATGGTCAATTTCATGAATAAATTGTTCTTATTTTTACAAACTATAACCACTCATTTTAAGCAAACATGAATGGCTGATGGCAATGAAACTTAGGATCCTCTTCTCATCCTATTTAGGACGCTTCAGCTGGATATATCCAAAATTACATCTGACATTCACTCTATGACCCAGATCCATTACCGTTCGCTTCAAATCTGTGATCCAGGTACATCCATCTGACGAGTCCCTATTGCACTACTAGCCGCCATCCATCTCTGCTTAAAATGCTTATGATTTACCGGTAATATCGAGGCAGTCCGCATAGGATGCACATATACCAAAAGAGATTGATCAATAGTAGCCCAACACACCAATGTAGGGATCGAAATAATCAATATATACAGATAATAATCACTTTTATTTTGGAACATTTTTCAACTGTAGCCAACAAAGAATTGAGATACTTAGTCCTGGAAGCAAAAATCGAAGAACATCTGTAAATGCATGATACCAGTTAAGAAAATTCTCTGTTGTCTTATTACACTTATTGTCTGTATATTAGCATTCACTATGTAAGAATATCTTCTCGGTAATTAGTGTAGATTTCAATTACACAAACTTATTGAAAGTATTTTGACAGAGGCCAGTCATTCTGAAGCCATTAACTAATATTTTCATTAAGAACAGATAATTATAATTAAATATCAGTCATGAAAATTTTGAGTCCTAAATAAAGATGAAAATATGTTTATTGAAGCCAAGTGGAAATTAACAAATTTTTAAAATAAGGACTGTTGATTTTTCATGATAATAACAGAAAAGGTAATATATACATACGGAATACCAATCTACAGTGGAACTGCTGATTAGATTGCACAAGTTTCCGAACTGCTGTCAGTTAGTGATGATAGTATCATTTAAATTATTATCATTATAATCCTTAAATATATGAAACTCACTATGTAACACCTATGAGCTCATAATTGACAAAAATCCTATTTCAATAAGATCAAATGGAATGATGAAGACTCATAACTCAAATTGGTGCCTTTTATTGGTGTTGTGTTCTCCAAGCAAGGTTAGTCTAATTTAGATGATCTAACAGTCGTTTTGGATAATATCAACAGCGTTAAAAAACAATTAATGTTCATTAATTAAACCATCCACCTAGGAGGACAGAATAGAACCGAAATGTTAAGTACAAGCTATGGAATATAAGTGAACTAATAATTCGTCAAAAATACTGGATTATAGATCACACATTACCTTGAATCAAATGCTGTAGTAAAAGTGTATAACTGGATCCAAACCAGATGACTTCATAGTATGAAGCTCGTAGTAAAACCTAAAGTTTATAGTATTCATGCCATAACTTAAACACGACAAGGTTCATGAGAACAACCAAAAACTAACCCCAGTTTTTTAAGAACGATCAGTCTATTACATAAAAATATAGATTGCGTGAAAGTCTTGCACTTTAAATAAGTCAAACAAAAAGATCTCAGTTGTAAAGTAAATAAATGAATTCAACAATGAAAGTGTAGATATACAGAATGAATACATTTGAATTGGCGAGATGGATTTTCTTTGTTGTATAACTTCATTAGATGTTTGTGTCTGCTGTCATACTTTGCTTATATCAGCTTGTGATATAAAATGACTGAATATATAAAACATTTAACCAAATATTATTTTGTAAAAACGTGTTACTGATTCTTTAAAATCTAACACGCAAATACATGTTAGTGATATGTTTGTCTGTAGCGCTATGATATACAAAATGGAATTTATATTAAAGTTTATTTATTGATCATATTCAGTTAAGAGATCGAAATCACAACCACCATTGAATGATATTCGACTTACAATACATTAAGATTGCAGTCAGAATTCTGGGGGACTGAATCCCAACTCTGTTTAAAAGATCGAACTTGGCATTCCAAGATGGGTTTTGAATAAACATTATTAAGGATGAAGTTGCTGCCAATGTTCTTTAATTTTCACTGTTTATCTAACGTAAGGCTATACCAAGAAGTCTACTCTTAAAATGAATTGAAGCATCAGTCAAGACCACTAAGCTCTTTTTCTGCAACCATACAATTCCAAATAATTAAGAGTTGGCAACAAAACGGTTTGATATATCCAACCAGACCTATCATTTTTTACGTCAGAAAGATATCAGGACTAACTACTAATGTTGCAAGAACAATGAAATATAATAACATAGCCAACACAAAATGTTTCTACTTACATTCTGAACCAATATGATAGGAAGGCCTGACTCGTAAGAATGTGAAAGCTTTACCAGACAATACAAACATCGTCCAAGAAAACTTATTATTTAACTGGATCAAGTGTACTGATGTGATATGTACGGTACGTGATATATACAAAGATAAAATATTAATAATTGTGAAAAATGATTATCTTTTTTTTAAATCTGAATGGATCAAGACATTTCATTTATAATGTTATGAATAGATGGTTTTGTAAATGACTTAGTCAAGTTATGTTCGACAGAATGCTGATCAAAACAAATAGTTGATATGAATAATGAAAATTAATGTCGTGGAGAGTTTATAATTTATGGATGACCTTTGAGTGACACCAGACTGACCTTGAGAATGTCTGCCTAATAACCAGGACCAAATGAGGATTATAAACCTGTGTAAAAAATTATGATTCACAGCTGATGGTTAAGGTTAGGATTTTCATCAGGAACTGACATCAGTTACAATGCCATGAATCTATTTAGCCAAATGGATGGGTGAATTTCGCGCCAAATTTCGAGACCTGTTATCTTATACCTGATTGATTCGTCCATAAGTTATAGTCTCGTCAATATCGTTTATGGTAACAATGCTCAGCGATCAGTATAATCAACTGTGGCAAATCTCAAGAAAAAGCTTTCAATGTAAGTTGATATTTACAATAGAAACCAGATACTGTAAAATCTTCATTTTAATTATAATAAAATTCAAAAGGATCAAGGATGTCACTCAATGAAATCGATTCTGAAAAATTAAAGTATTTAAAATAGCTTTTTTGACATTATTATTTTTCTTTGTCTTTTTCTATACAAAATCAGATCATTCCTCTCGCCTCACTTATTACCCCCGCCCCATCGTACAAATTTGGTTGATCTATTAATCAGAATATTTCACAAAATTCTTGTACAGTAAATTAATTATCAGAAGGGGTTTTGCGGAGATTTTGGAAATTTCTCTGATTGAAATCATGAGTCAATTGAAGCTAGACCACCATGGAAAACCTGGAAGCACTGGACGGCCGTTCCGTCCTAGTATGGGACTGCTCGGCAGTACGCATCCACGATCCCGCCCCCCGCGAGATTCAAACCCAGGAGCTATCAGTCTCACACCAGGCGCTTAACCAACTAGACCACATCCAACGGTCTTAATGTCTAACTCCAACCAATCCTTCTGATAATAATCATCTGCTCACTAGTGACTGGCTTCAAGAGATACTCCTGGAGTTCTAGTAAGAAGCAGTGACCAGTGGAGTTCAACAAGGGTCGTTGTGAGATATCAACTCACTGAAGGCAATGGTAGATGTGTTGCTCAGTTTTGTAGATTGGTTGAAGTAAGACATTAACACTGTTGGATGCCGGCTTAGTGACCTGGATGTTAGGCATTCGCACGTGAGACCGATAGGTCTTGGGTTAGAATCTCGAGGGGGGGTCGTGAATACGTACTGCTGAGGAGTCCCATACCAGAACGAAAAGGCCGTCCAGTGCTTCCAGGTTTTCCATGGTGGTCTAGCTTCAATTGACTCATGATTTCAATCAGTGAAATAAATTAATTCTTTATTCATTACGAAAACTAATACCGATTGAATTGTTAATAGTTTGATGAACAAACACTCCATTCATAACTTTAAAACAAACTATAGTAAACATGGAAATTCAAGATGAAAAATATTTAAGTTATTATTACTTTGTAATTTATTGTTTACTAAGTTACATCATAACTTTCATGTAAATATTACACTGATTATAGTTAAATTTTCACACCAAATGAGTTCATTATATATGCATGTTTTGATCTTAAATTATATATAAGTGATCTGTTTGTAAAGAATATTTATTCTTTAGTATGATATTGTTGATGGATCTCAATTTTCAATAAAATTGTATATAATCATTATTTCAACAATGAAATACAGTTTAATTACGTAATAGGTTGCGTCAACGTTTTCATTTAAAATCATATTTGATTATAAGATTAATTATGGTCATAATTTCGTTCATTAATTTTATTTAGGCGATAATTTCGGTATATTTTATCGTAAACCATTGAGTTTTCGACCTATTCTACGATCATTCTCTTCTGTTATATCCAATATACCTGATCCAAGAATATGGTCTAGTAATAATGTATTAATTACTACTCCAGATAAAAATTATACAGCACATGATTATTCAGCACTTTTTCAAGATATAGGTTTTCCAGTAGGTAAGTTTATTGAATTGAAGATATTTAAATATTTTTTTTAGATTTCACTTCTACTACTGACAAATTCAGTTGTTCATCAACTTTACTGTCAATATTCTTCATATTTTCTTTAGGGCGCATTTTCTCACAAACTATTTCATCCTACCCTGTCCTCATATTAAATTATACATGTGGGCTTGTCAAAGATATTTATGATAAGGGTGTTCAGGTAGTAAAGTCTAACTAATAGCATTCAGAGGAGGCTATGGAAATAGCTTTATCTGTTCATATCAGCAAGATCGATTATTTAGTACTTTTTCTCCAAGAACATACGGCTTGAAGAACACCCTCACTTCTAAAAATCGTTATTTCTCATGCAAAAGATAGGATAAACTTGTGAAATCTCCTTCGACAATATGAAATATCTGAGAATATCGTCACCATCGTGCAAAGCTCGCACAAGGGACTACACAATATCCAAAGGTCAGAAATCAGCAAATATCATCTACCAGATGATGAAAAAATTAGGACAAGATTCTGGAAATGAATAGAACAGATTTTATGGAAAGTATAGAACTGCATAACAGACTAAGTCTTAACTTGGAATCCTCAAGAGATATGTTGTCAGGATCTAGAGGCAGATATCGAAATTATGAGCAGCACTTAGCAACGACTGAAAGAACAGTCCAGGACAGAGTTCGCCAACGATCCTCGGTTAAGGGTCTTTCCCTCAAGAGGGGTAACAGCTTTCAGTGATTAGGTAAGTACGATTTACAGTCTGGAAATAAAATATTAAAAGTTTCTTCAGATTTTATTTGACTAGCTAAACCATATGTAGATATTTTATTTTAACCCGGTAGCCGACACGTCAATGGTCCTTATGAATCCAAATACTTAAGAAATCAAGCTTACCAACAACCATAAAAATACTTTTTGGCATTCGAAAATATTTCAGCTTTCGATGTGGAATTTCTGTCATCTTTCTAGTTTAAACAAGAATTCAGGAGCCTAGATGATGATGATGATGATGATGATGATGATGATGATGATGATGATGATGATGATGATGATGATGATGATGATGATGATGATGATGATGATGATGATGATGATGATGATGATGATGATGATGATGATGATGATGATGATGATGATGATGATGATGATGATGATGATGATGATGATGATGATGATGATGATGATGATGATGATGATGATGATGATGATGATGATGATGATGATGATGATGATGATGATGATGATGATGATGATGATGATGATGATGATGATGATGATGATGATGATGATGATGATGATGATGATGATGATGATGATGATGATGATGATGATGATGATGATGATGATGATGATGATGATGATGATGATGATGATGATGATGATGATGATGATGATGATGATGATGATGATGATGATGATGATGATGATGATGATGATGATGATGATGATGATGATGATGATGATGATGATGATGATGATGATGATGATGATGATGATGATGATGATGATGATGATGATGATGATGATGATGATGATGATGATGATGATGATGATGATGATGATGATGATGATGATGATGATGATGATGATGATGATGATGATGATGATGATGATGATGATGATGATGATGATGATGATGATGATGATGATGATGATGATGATGATGATGATGATGATGATGATGATGATGATGATGATGATGATGATGATGATGATGATGATGATGATGATGATGATGATGATGATGATGATGATGATGATGATGATGATGATGATGATGATGATGATGATGATGATGATGATGATGATGAAAACAATGTTTTTTGCTTACCTTGATGCTTAAGTTTTAATTATATTTACAAGAAATGAAATTTTTTCCTGAAAAATTAATAATCAATCAAATCATATTAAACCTGCTCATATCCATATTATTAGTCTTTTCAGTTCATGCTGAAAATTCGTTTTTTTCTATTTACATTTATTTATTAGGTTATCAAGTACATAGAAAAACTGTTCGTGAATTCATGACACTAGATTATCCTAAAGATATTCCCGAAGTATACTGTGTCTATAGTTCCGGTTTATTAACAATAAAAAGACTTGTTTATAAACCACCAAGTCTATTTCGCTTAGAATTTCCTAATCAGTCACCAAAGTTAGAATATGAAGATGGTGATGGTACAGTGAATATGCAAAGTTTACAATATTGTAATAAATGGCCTAATGCATCAGTTATACACTTAGCCATATCTAATCATGTTCCAATTTTAGCTGATAAACGCTTTTTACAGTTTGTACAAAACCATGTTACTACTAGTAATTAAAAGAAAATCATACATATTATTACGAAATATAAATTCGTTAAAGAAGGGTATTTGTAATTGTGTTTTATTGTAGTGTCGTTACAGTACTAAACAAGGAATTGAACCAATCCTGAAATTCTGCCTGATTGCACGCAGCTCCCCTATAAGATACTTCTACGTAAGTCATCATTACATAATGAAGTGATTAGTGGTTAGGTATCAGGAAAATATGTTCCACACGACTAAGATTTATCATGTTATTTACCTTGCATAAAACATTTAATATTTAGATTATTTGCTTGACTGCTTTACCATATGCTAGTAATGTCTTAAAGAAATGTATAAACTTGACAAAAAAATCCGATTTGAAATCTTTGTACAGCAAAGAAGCAATCTAATTTCTGTAGAGGTAAATAATTTCGAATAATCCAAGGCCACTTCTAATTATTATTTTCGTTTTAAAAAATAATACAAAATCGACCACTAGGCGATACTTGTCAGAAGAAAACAAATTTCACCTAAATGACCCTTTGGAAGACAGATATCAAGTTTTCTTCCGTACAATCAAGGTTGCTGAAACTGTCTCATTAAATCACAGTTGTCGCATTAGAAAGTTATCCCATCTGCTTTCAGAAGACGGTAGGTCTCTTAAATAAACCATTCAAAAAGAAAATGTCAAGCAAACTAAGCATCAGTTCTCCGATATCCTGAGAACTGTAAGGTATAATTCAGCCGTTAACGTTTATCTCTTCGTACACTTAAAACCATCTGGTAAATCTATCTTACCACTTGACAATTTGATATGTAAAGAAATTATTTCCCTTTTAATGATGAATTAGAATAACTCCAAGTGTCATCCAAATTATAAATGGTTCTGAAATTGCCAAAAAATAAGGTAAACATATGTAGTCGTTTCATTTCCTGTTACATTGCAGGATACTCTCCTGAATGGTTGTCCAAGGGAGACCGTGAAACAATCAATTTAATTTGCTAACGCTGTCAGTTTTCGATATGGGATTGTAGAGATTGTTGAATTTCATTGAAAACATAAACCAATCAAAGTTAGACCATCATTGAAAAATTAATAGAACTGAATGTCCGTTTCATCCCAATGTGGGGCGCCTCAACAGTGCAAATCCACGACCCCGAACTTGAAACGCAAACTCACGGCCTATGCCTAACTTCTAAATCACAAATCCGCCACCCAAGTGTTAATGTCTAACCTCACTTAATCCACGACACTCCGCGATGATCTTCTACTGTCTTCCGTGGACAACAGTCTCATGCCTGGCAAGAATAAGCCCCGCCATTCACAGCTTCTCGCCAGAACACCAAGCATTACTTCTCGAAGCTATTCACTGTTTAATACATGATATTTTTCAATGTGTGATTGTGGAGATTGTTAAATTATAACATTAACAGTGATTGGTTTTATGCTCAGTGATCTAGAGTTATGCGTTCCTGCGAGGGACGGGAGATTCTGGGGTCGATTCTCTTTTGTGTAGGGCTATGACTACGTTCTCCAAAGAACTTTCTTTATACCACGAGACGCTCTGCAAAGAGCTTACGTGTTTTTCTATCTTTGTCTAACTTTAATCGGTTCATGGTTTCAATAAAATTAACAATTTTATCAACTATATAGGGGTTGAAAGTTGTTTAGAATCGACATAATAAATAAGCAATCTACCGGTATCATTACTCCTTCAATGTACTACTAGCCACATACAAAATAGCTATGATAACTGTGATCATATAAAGAATGCTGATGGGTGGCCTATGCTCCTCCACGAGGGGTAACAGGCGTAAGTAAATAAATTTAAAACAGTTAGTCCCTTTGATAAAATTCGATGATGATGTTAGAAGATGACGATTATCAGAACTACGTGATATAATAGCGCAATACATTTCGAACAATCTGGTCACACATATATAAGTAAATAAATTAGCGAATAACGAGTTGACAGTTTCTGTTAATATTAATTACAAATCGACTAAAGACAACATCGACTGTTTCACAATTTACTGTTAAGATTGGGCTTAGAAACGCCCACGAGTATAAACACATCACCAACACTCTAATAGTAGGCTAAAAATATACACACACGAGATCGAATAGTGAATAATAGATCTATCTTTATTTAATATATTTTAATATTTATTTGTATACTACTGTTACATTTAAAAGTAGGTAGCAAACATATTACGATTTCGTCTCGTTAATTTTAGCAAATAGAATGTATTTCGAGGAATTTGTACTAATTTGGATTTTTCATCTGTTTCTAAATAATTATCAACTCCATTGGAATCGTGTATTGTGAAATATTGTTTCAAATATACCATAGAAATATTAAGCTTGATGGATTATTATATTAGAACAACACATATAAGCGAACAATTGTTTTCAATTAGATCGTCATCAGGCTTTACTCTAATATACATGAATATTTATACGAAAATGTCAAACCAATCAAGGCAATATGAGTCAATAATCACAATGAAATAGAATAAGTCTCTACACATAATAGGTAAAAGTACAAGTTGATAGTAGGGAGACAGGTGAACTGATAATAGTAAGAATAATAAAATACAATAACAAAACTTCGATAGAACAAAACTCGTATCAATAGTTAAACGTTGGAAATAGAAGATCAAACATGGGTAAATAGACTAGTAATAGTAATCACAAAACATTAAAATCGTTGCTTAATAAGATGTGTGTAAATAATTAGATAGTGAAGAATACGAAGAGGCGGAAAATTACAAACAAATAATGGATGTGGAAATAAGGTTAACGATAACACAAATAGAATAAAATAAATAATGATAATAATAAAATTTTAAAAAAACTGTTAGTTAAGTTATAACCGGCCATGGAAGGGATAGGGGGGTTACGTATTTCTTCTGTACACATAAATTGGGGTTATATGTACGAATTGCAATGCCTTCAGCTATATGTAGGAGACGGGAACGGACTCCATCGGGAAATAATGGAGGTATACGATAGATAACTCGAAATGATTTCGATTTATCTACAGCATGACCGCTACCAATGAGATGTGCCAATATAGAACTGCGAATAGATTTTACCTGGCCCTTTATGTACCAAGTTGGTAGATGTTCACTCATTCGTTGGTTAAGTTGCCTGGTAGTACGCCCTATATAGCTATCTCCACAGGAGCAGCTGAATTTGTAAATGCACATAGAAGAGTCCAACTCAGGTAACTTATCCTTCGTTTGAGTAGACATCGCTGGTCGACAAGAGAAGGTCAACTCAAGATTGGCTGCGTAGAATGTCCTGGCTATTACTTTGATTAACCTATATTTCAGAGTGTCACTAGCCACATCCCCATTGAATTGCACTTTCATGTATAAAGGTTTCTTACGAACAGTCGAAATCTCCGACTTCTTTATTATATTATACATGTACTTCTTAATGAAAGCGCTGGGGTAGCCGATCTCGGTCACATATATATAGATATATATATATAAATAAATAAATGAGACAGCTCAATTCATAATATTTAACCGATATAACTCATTTTTAAGGTGTGTTTAGTTAAGCTTTAACTGAATCGTTTACTATTCATTTTGTGACCAAATTCAAAAATAAGATGCTGACTGAATAATGGTACTGACTGGGCGTTGAGCTATGTTATTCATTGGCTAAATCAGAATATACAAGCCACTTAATAAATGAATGATAGCATGTTCACTAGAAAACATGAAAGTTCTGTATTTATACTAATGTGTAATTGAAAAATTATACAAATTGAATGATCCCATAAAGTCCATAAAAATAGTTTTTTAATGTTTCTATATTAACTTTTCTTGAACGCCCTCTGAGGCTACTGCCAATCCCAAGCCGGAATAAAGGAGGAGAGTTTGATATGGGGTTAGTGACCTTATCCCGTAAAAACTAACTCGATAAATAAATGCTAACCAGAAATAAAAGTAATCCAAACCAATGTTTCTTATTAATTATAATCATCAATTAAATGAAATAATAAATTCACTTCACTCCAACTGAAGAATTCCTTAAATTCTAACAAACATTATAGTGTAAACCAGTTTTACATGTGCTTAATAAATGATTCATGTGAAATTCATTCTATTTATCATTTATGCATTCAGCAACATAAACATTATCAGTAGAATCATCAAGTGTTTTATCAACTTATCGTTCCATTCAAGTTACTTTGTTTAAAATAACAACAACAACAACAACAATGAAAAAACAAACAAACATATTTTATAAACACTTAAACAATGAACTGACTAACCACTTTATAAATAAAAGAACATTACTGCATTGTAAATAACATTATTCTCTAGAGTTAATCACTAGAGAGCAAACAATTTTCTAATGTGTAAAGTTTATGCACAAAACTTACTAAACAATAAAACGATTCTCTTCAAACTACTTATATAAAGTAGGTAATTGGATTGAGTTATTTTTAGTAACTATCGATTTGTTTTGTAATCTACATTGGTAACAACAAAAATAGTGGGTTATTTAGGCCACAGAATTATATCTGAGAATTATTGTAAATATATCTAACCACAAGAATTGAAATTTAATTGAATAAATAAACGCGAAATTTATATAAGGACAGTTATTAGCTGGTAAACAAATACATATACAGTACTTTAGATAGATTTAGTGTTATTTAATTTATCCCTATTAGATTCATGATGGTGTAATACTAATGATTAAATAGCGGGGACAAAATGATGTTGATGATGATGATTTTATTTTTGATTGTTTCACACAAATGTATACTGCTTGTGTTAGTCCCTCAGAGCAATTATCAACTTTACCATATGAGCACTTCATGCTTACTCACAACACACATTTCAGTATATTTGTGATTATGTAGTTAAGTATACTTCACCATGTAAACTATTGATTTAGATAACTAGTGTGGCACATAAAACAATATCATTTCGTTCAGTTGGTTCTGAACACAAAGACAAGAAAGTATAAGGTTCAGCAACTGCTGTCTCGTGAATATCATTTTTCAGCTTACAATAAAAATGAAATCACTGAAATTTATTTCGATATTGTTATATTCTATAAAACTAGATACAAACATTTGGTCGCTCAGTTTATCATGTACATCATAGAAGCCAGAACATATATGTGTCGATCCACGTTTCTACACCATCTCAGCACTGCAGATGAAATCGTCTTAACAAAACTCAGAGCAGTACAAGCAATAACAGTAAGATTGGAACTAGGAAGATTAGGCATAGACAGTATGACTATAGAAGAAAAGACCGATTAGCGGAATCAACAAAGATAGGTTTGAAAAGTAGGGGCTGAGGAGAGGTAATAAGTGAATGCATCAATACCATCCAAACACATTCTGAGTCATGCCACCCCACCCCACCCATTGGTTACGATAACCACAGCCACGTAATCAGGATCTACCAAGATGGCACAATCCAACAGTCATCGACTGATGTCATGCTTTGTCTGGCCAGCCCTAGATTTCTCCCAATATACTCCCACACCAGACGACATCGTCCGTTGAAGTTGGCAGGGGATGAGTATACGTAATACATGTCTCAACCACCTTAGTCGATGAAGATTAAAAGTAAATGAAAGTATAATAGTCAGTTCATTTCTGTATTGGTTGTTTGAATCTTCCCTCTGATGTTTAGGACTCCAATTAATCAGTCTCTTATTGGCATATGTGTCTCCCGTGCAAGATGCCTCAATATTGCCTTCAGTCACAACCACCATAAGCACAGAGGGATATTAGCTAGCAGTGGAATCCAAGATGAGCGTTTCGTCCTATTTGGGACTCGTCAGATGCATCCAAATTTGTTGTTCACTCCAGGAGAGTTATTTATCAATACAATTTACTTGAATGACAGTAAAATAGTATTTTTATTTTCAACTGTTAGTTAATTTGGATAGAATCATGAAAAGCAGTGGCGACAGCCAACATTGAACTAACTGTTTATTCATCTAGTTAATTTTAAAACAGCCAACCTTGTTGATAGGCTGAAATTATAAGGTCAAACAAAGCGAAATAATAATACTATCGCAAGCTGATTGGTAGATTGACTGATATGTGTATATAAGATACACATATTTGTATGATTGCTTTCACAAGGTTCATATCACATTTAGGAATTCCTCATCATGAAACAGGTTTAAATATTGCCATCGATACACCTAACATGTGTTGTAATACTTTTAAAATGCCCCACTCAATACTTCTTGTTCAATATATACTTCTATGTAGCATCACTTTAGTGTATACTATTCCGATGCTTACACTGGTTAATAACAATCACACTGGTATAAAATATCCAATAATTTTAATTCCTGGTTTGGGTGGTAGTCAAGCTTATTGCAAACCTAAGGATGTGGGCAGTTCTTTTGCTCCATTTAATCTCTGGATCAACTTTTTTCACATGTTGTTACCTAACAAAGTATTCGATTACTTCAGGTAAACAGCAAGTTCATATTTATCAATCTGTTTCAAGATTACAACATGATCCATACACCTATGAGTCACATGATTCAAATGAATGTGATGTAACATTTCCCGGATGGGGTGATACATGGTCTGTGGAATATCTATCACAACATATATCTTTTGAGTACTTCGGTTCACTTGTGTCAGAACTGATGAAAGATAAATTTTATGTGAGAAACTTCACAATGCGTGGAGCTCCATATGACTTTAGAAAATCACCAGGTAAGTGAGTACATGTAAGGGTGTTATTTTTTAGTTTTAGTAAAAGATTATGAAATATGATATTGAATAGATCTTCAGTGTTTGTCGAGCAGTAACATGAAGAAACACTAATTTGAAAATATAATTAACCGAAATTCCTCTGACAGCAAAGGTTGAAAGTTTTCATCCATCGTGAGCTTTCAGTAATAATTACACACATGAGAAATGTTATAAAGCATGATCAAATAACTTTCTAGATACGTAGCAAATTAGATTACAACGACAAATTTATTGTTTCATAAAAAATCTGTACTCTGACGGTGACTTTACGATACATATTTTTTCATACTGCTTTGTTAAGTAGAATATTCCATACAGATAAACCGAATTAATAATTAGCGTAGATGAATAATGTTGAGTGTGGAAATTAATCGAACAGTGAAATATACATCAACTATTAAAACACTTCATTATTTGATGCTTTAGTGAGAGATCTTTCATAGTAAAATAATCTCCGTGGATGCGCACTTCTGAGGAGTCCCACAATAGGGCGAAACGGCCGTCTAGTGCTTCCAGGTTTTCCATGGTGGTCTAGCTTCAATTGACCCATGATCTCAACAATTGAGAATAATATTCCATTTGAATTACACATTTTGTATATAATTTTGTGGGAGAAGTATGTTTTAAATTTACATTTCAAGAGGACTGCTTCCGGATAAAAAAATCTCACATCACCTGCCAAGTCGAGAATCCTATATGTGAGTTATTTTCAAGATTTTATTCGTCTCATTAGTTTAAAATTTAGTCATGAAACATCGATCTACTCAAAACTAATTTTATGCTCCTGTGACACCCTACCAGATTAAACACTGGAATTTTAGAATATAAACTGAGTGCGATAAAATCGATAGGTCGCATTATCTATGCGGTATCTAAACCTAGAATAATATGTCGATTGATTTATCTCTAACCCTGACAATTAATTGAATTCGTTTCAAGACAATTCAATATGGTGCTCAAAATTTACATGCGATTTTATGGAAATTTTGTATCAGTAGAAAGTCATTTTTATTACTATGATCTAATTTGTGTAAAAAGGATGAACACCTGACCGATGCTCTTTATTTTCGATTGGTTTTCCAAATCATATCAGTAATCAATGTGGTAAGTGTACTAGCTGATGATTCCTTTACACTTAATTGAGCGTTTATTGCGAATTCTAAATATAATACGTCTAGTTGTGTTCATCTAGTTTAGCCTGCCATAAATTGTATTATTTCGGGAATTTCTAGTTAGCACATTAATTGGAATACTTTTAATTATCATATTGGTGTCGCGATGGAGACTGTGATTGCACAGTTTGATACACATTCAAATTCTGAAGCTTTCGACAATTACTTGGAAAGGTTTGAAATCTGGAATATAAATAAGAATGTTGAACATGATCAAATTGTGGTTCATTTCCTTACCTTCGTCGGAAAGGATGCGGACTGCCTACTAAAATATTTACCATTTCCGGATAAACCTATTTCACTCAGATTAAGGACCATCTATCCCAGGTCTAGAAAATTTAACAATTTTTCAGGGACAACCTCCCAAGTTGATCACTGAAGAGTGTTCTAATGAAATGTTTAATAACTTGTTGACTACAGAATCAAAGTGTGAAGAGTTCCACACAACCCTAAGACATTCCTATTCTGATGTTCTGACAGAAAATGTCAAGCTCTTGGAAACGACAATTATTCATATTTCCGCTGTGAAATTCAAAAACCCGAACAGAGAAGTAGATCAAATCTTTCAGTACATAATTGCCGGACCGTACGCAAAAGAAACGACAATGAAATTTCTTAAACAATAAACGTTCATCAAAATATAGAAAGTTTACAGTCTGCCAATGTTAAATGCTGTGGAGGTCTTCTAAGAAAGGTTGGTAAATTCATGATTCGTATGCAAAGCCAGTCACAACAACCATATACGTTACAAGAACTCAGGTGGGTCCGTTCCGATTTCCATTATTAATTTCAATACTAAAGAGTACATTCAAGATTATACAGAGTGTATACCCAGTCCAAAGCCTGACAGACATATGATTGACCTAAGCAGGTGTACAATGGATTAGAGAAATCTGGATCCCCTTTTAAGCTATGGCGTTTGTGATATTTGTATTAACTGATGATACCTTTGTACTTAATTGGACGTTTATTACGAATCCTAAATTTAGTACGTCTAGTTGTGTTCATCTAGTTTAGCCTGCTTTAAATTGCACTATTTCTAGAATTTATAGTCAGCGAATAAATATAAATACTTCTAATTATCACATTAACATTCAAATTTGATGTTTATTAATATTTAAATAATTTGCTTTCTGAGCATCAATCCAATTGTTAGTTTCTTCGTATTTGTGTTATCTCTCTCTTTCAGATGATAACAAACAATTTGTAGTGAAATTCAAAAGTTTAGTAGAAGAAACTTATACAAATGGATTGGATCGACCAGTTGTTCTATTAGGCCACAGTTTGGGTAGTCTGTACACACTATACTTTCTCAAAAATCAAACTAAACATTGGAAACAAAAGTATATTAAATCATTCCTATCTGTATCAGCACCACTTGGCGGAACAGTTAATGCACTTATATCCGTAACTAGTGGTAAATTCAAATCTGTTTAAAGCATTTGGTTCACATTTATTCTAATTTAGTGTTTATATATATATATATATATATATATATATATATATATATATGAGGGTGCATTTCGTTTATTAAAATCATTCGACTTTTCGAAAGGTTTCCTGACAGACTTAAACTTATGCTAACATTGTGTATATAATGTAACTTTGAAGAACAATTCGTACCGATAACAAAATTCTTGTGAAATTTTATTGGTACCTTTATTGTTCACAAATTTAAAGTTTACGTATCGAGTTCAATCAATTTCTTTGCTTCCATATATTCAAGCACAAATATTTCCTGTTTTAATTGAAGGTGACAATTTAGGCGTATTTATTCAAAATCCATCACTATATCGAGATGTGATCCGTACAATGACATCAGTAATTGCTGTACTACCAAATCCTAAACTATGGTCTAAAGATGAGATTTTAATTGTTACACCGTTTAAAAATTACACAGTTCACGATTATCCAGAATACTTCAGTGATTCCAATTATCTTACAGGTACTTATATACAAATACATATGCCTGTTATATTGTGATGTTATAAATTTATTGTTTATTGCCTTATTGATTCTGGTTTAAGAATGAATATTAAGAGACAGTCCGAGTAGTTTTAACGCTTCCAGTTTCATGTATTTGTTAGCAGATCCGAGTTAATGAACCGGTCAAAATTCGGATCTAATACAGAATTCTTTTAATAATCATTTAACAATAGCAACTGACATAATTATTTTACCATAACAGATCTCCATCTTTTAACAGACGATCAGTGTTACTGTGTACCAGTTTTCTTTATATTCCTTTACGGCTTTGAAACACTGGGTCTACAAATACCCGGAAGAACTTTGTAGGCTGCAGGTATAAGTTTCTTCAAAGTATCGTCTGAGTTAAATAAAACCATTAAGTGAGTATTGCTGAGGTTAGACATAGAGATAGTGACGCTTCTAAATTCTGTGTGAGAACAAGATGCAACCCATTAACATAATATTCTCGTTCTTAACACTCCGATTGAGTATCATTTTCAAAGTTATGTTAGCTTCATCTGCTTCCATGATTTAAATGTTTTTACCATTGCGTTCTTTTATGTTTGAAATCAAGGAATATGTACGTAGTCTGGAATACATATACAGTTGACAAATAAAACATGGAGTTCGCGATACCATTAAGATGCTAAATACATTGGAAATTCAAATTTACTAGGTTGTGGATCATTACTGACTGAGATGATTTGAGTATTGCCTATTCACACCTAGACAATCCCAACCCCTAACCATATTGCTGAAAAGTATAGAGGTTTAGAAGAATATTATGGGTGGACAGTTCAATGGATAAACCCTCCGACTATTTGTCTAAATCATGTTCGAAGTTATGATCCTATGGTGGCAGATGTTGCATGATATTGATCGCAATAACACAGTAGTAATCATTGTGTACTTCTATAAATTATGAGTCCGATTTCATTCCATATTATTCAATCTCCCATCTGGTGTATTTCTTTTTTGAAATATTTTCCTCAGTAAGTTTAGTATGTCATAAAATTTGACAATAGAAATCATGCTCTCCGTTTCATTATATCACTATCTCCCCATTGTGCTTATCTCAGAGGCGTACCATTTATAATGTATGATTAATATTCGGGATGCACATTGATTTGATCACAGAGTATTACTTACAATAATTCGAAGAGAGAAAACATCGTTTAACAGTAATAAGTGCAAATTCATTTTAGTCTAAATTGCAAACATAACTAAGTACTAGAATGATTACACCAAATAACTGAATGCTAAATAATATTTAGCTCCAAAAATATTTCCCTGTCAACAAACTGTTTGTCTATAGAAGTCTAAAACAGAATTGCACTGTTCCCTAAAGTATATGTTTAATTCTATACAGCTGAGTTGTATTTCATTTCATTATGTTTCAAAAACATTCGATCCATAAACCATACGACTAATTTGTAGTCAAGTCGGAATACTACTAAATGCGAACAAATAACCATAAATTTGCATGTTAGGTATAATAGCATTATCCCAGTATATTATTATACAAACTAAAGCGAAAACTGGTATATAGCAGTAATTGTTTGGTACCAATTAAGCAAACAAGCGCTACATCACTAAGTCACTGAGTAAGGATCCGACTCTAACTGTTTACAGCTACTGTGAAGTATGCTACTCATGTCGATATAAGTAGTTAGTAAAACCAGTCAAAAGTGGAATGCCTGACAGCGGAAGGTTGAGAAGATCGAATGGAAGAGAACGGGAACAGGAAGTAATTGCTGTGGCATTGAAAGAATGATGAATTTCGAGACAATTGATGGAAGATGTGCTAATGAAGAATTGAAAGTATGGTTTTCACATTTTTTTAAGTACGTCTGGTTATCCCCACCTGTGTTCGAGTTCACTCCACTACCTCTATGAGTCAGTTATCCATAGTATCGAATGATTATAAAGTTGCGAAGTGACTAGATAAGTAATTATAAACTTCAGTTTGAAAAATGTCAATTACAATGTGCCCGTTTAGAGCCATACAAACTAAGATCAAGTTTAAAACCATGAAATTTATGTACTTGTTGAGTTGACCTTAAAATCTGCCTTTAGAAAAGTCCCCTACGGTGAGGTGGTTTTCATTATAGTGTGATTTAAACTTCGTGATCATGTAAAAAATATATCCATCCTTACTTGATTTTTACTATAATATTACTGATGAATAAAACAGCTCTAAACATATATTTCAATTAATGAATTCAAAATCATCATTAAATTGAATTTTATCCGAAATCAGTTAATATCACTGTTTTAAATTATTGCTAAACACTGAAATTGAACTTCATTAAAAATAATCTACTTAATCCTGTACATTCTAGGTTATAAACTATTCACACGTTACCTATCTGCATTCGACCCACTCGAAGCTCCCGAACATGTACCTGAAGTCTACTGTATCTATGGTTCTGGACTATTATCAGTGGAACAAGTCATTTACAAATCACCTAGTCTCTTCATTTCATCATTTCCAAATCAATCACCCAGAATTATATATGGGGATGGCGATGGTACAGTGAATCTACGCAGTTTAAAAGTTTGTACAAAATGGCCCACAGCTAAAGTAGTTGAATTCATTACTTCTGAACATAGACCAATTTTGAGTGAAAAGCGATTTATTGATTTTGTGAAACAACATATGAATATCTAACATTAATAGTATTATAACTATCATTATTATTTCTACTGTTTATACTAATATGTTTATTATTAACAGTAAACCCTATATGGCCAACTATTTTCATTGTTTGATTGAAACATATTGATTTTCATATCTTGGACAAGCACAAACAACAGTTGTGAGTTGGTGGAGATTTGTAGCTCTCCAAGCTCAGCTCAGAGAACAAAACTCCATCAAAAACAGTTGTGAGTACATAGTGAAGTGGAAAATAATCAGTGTTTCATATTTTCGTTTTTTTCTTACAACTAACAACAACAATACTGTTATTACTTAATTGAAGGAAAACTATTTAAAAGTGTATAACAAATAAACTGTACGTGTGAAATTATAATCTTTAATCATAAAATGAATCATTAACGACTGTCCACTAATAACTTTAAACATAAATAGACATACGAAATTCACTTAATAACGTAATCATATCAACCAAGTGTAATTAATGTCTGTCAATTAAAAAAGGATAATGTAGCTACAATTATCCAAGTTTTATTGTAATAGGCATTTATTGTAACTAAAAAACGACTGGTCAATTCACAATAATCCAAGACAATCATTGGCTAAACATGTTTAGTGATACGATTTTAGACAGTTGAGATCATGAGTCAATTGAAGCTAGACCACTATGGAAAACCTGGAAGCACTAGACGGCTGTTTCAACCTATTGTGGGACTCCTCAGCAGTGCGCATCTACGACCCCGCCTCGCGGGATTCAAACCCACAACCTATCAGTCTCGCGCCAGGCGCTTAACCAACTAAACCACTGAGCCGGCATCCAACGCTGTTAATGTCTAACTTCAACTAATCCATGAAATTGAGCGACTTGATGTATTCACACATACTAACTCTATACAGTTCTTGATTATATTCAGATTTGTTTGCACATATTGTACTGCGTTTATGGTAATAATCCACAATGATAGAAGTGCTATCGTTACTTGTTTCGTTTTTAATCATCGAAAATACTTGAAATATGAAAAATTATCACACTTATCTTACTTAATAATTGGCGATGTTGGTCACGATGATACAAGTCTATTAATTCTGTCTTACCTTAGATCTGGAGTTTTGGAATTTATCCCAAACTTTTCTATTACGCGAATTTATTCAGTCTTCTTGAAACATATGGTTTATGTCCAAACTTTACTACTACCACTGAAGCTGTTATCGTTTCTACCATAACAGTTGTCTTGATAATCTTATCTGGCTGTACTGATATGGCGTAGTAGGTTAATCAATGCACATGTGAACCATGTTCTACGTTTCATTTGACGGACTATCAATTTTCATTCAGTGTTTGTGTATCAATCATAAATATAGCTTTCAACTGAAGTCATATATTGGTAAATTTTAAATTTGATTCTGATTTGAAACATAAAGGTGGGATTCCTATTATTATTCGTACTTTAAATACAACAATAATCATGCTGCTTACGTAACGCTAACTTGTATTTTGCTACTAGTTAGAAAGATGGTAGTAAGAAAAGACATAATTCAACGGCGAATACACCAAGGAAGAGAAAATTTTCTTTGAAAACTGACACTCAATATTATACATAACTAATCCAAACTCATTTTTTTATAATATAACTTAACTGAATCATAATAATAAGTAAATTTAACTTGATGGTCAAGCTGTTAGCTACGATAAACACCATTATACCAAAACGTTTACTCAAACAGCAGTCAAAGTGATCTGAAATTCTGTTAGGAGTATGCGTGTGATTGTCACTTGCTGTTTGGCTACATCATAGAAGACTACTTCTTAAGGGACTTTAAGAAAAGGATTGGTATTGATCTTAGTGATCTCGCAGTGTGGTCATAGTGATCAAAGAGGCAACTGATTGACTCCAGTAATACACAGACTTTATGGTAGAAGTTATATGATATACTAACTAGGTATTTTTAACGTCTTACAGCCTGCGATGGAAATTTGTGGATTAAAAAAGAGGTGTTACTTTCAGAGCATCATGATATGAGAATCCGACATCTATGTCAAGGTAGCAGGTACGACCGCGACTCATAAAGCAATCAACATAAAATCACCTGAAAAGAAATGGTACAGTACAGTTTTAAGAGAAACAGCTAGAAGGTAAGGAAATGAATCTTAAGTATGTTTAACTTCACAAGGATTATTCAATTCAATTGTAAAGTTAATAGAAATTACGACTCCATGTAATTTGATTAGAAAAATAAAATATATTCACATATATTGACAAAAATAAATCAACTACTAACAATCCATCATTAGTGATAATAATAATCATATATATAAATATAACGAATACAAGCGGAATAATATGCATTACAATACTACAATTTCACTCAATAATGACATAATTAAATGTAAACTCCAGAAAAGAGCACCGTTTTCTCTCGAGTAAAAATGACAAAATTCCATCAATAAAGGGACTGTACAATTATATATATATATATATATATATATATATATATATATATATATATATATATATATATATATGGGAAATCGGCTCATCATGAAAGGAAGAAAGAGGAGAGTTAATTAAAAAATAAACATACAGCGATATTCTCCGTTATAAGTATAAATATACAGCCACCGGATGATACATCATTAATAAGTACAAATAATAAATGGAGTATTGATTAATGGAAATCCATAATGTGTTGCATAACATCACTTCGTAATTTACTGTGAAATTCGCACATTGGACAAATAACATCCTCATCCTCACCATTACCGACATTATCATGTTCAATAGTATTCAGTCCTTTGTTCAGCTCATTTCGTTTATCATCAGTGTTGTTGTCGTCGTCGTTATTATCATCTATGATGGTGATTTGATCAGTTATTTGATTATTTAAACTGCTATTTGCCATGGTAACAGCCGATGTCTCGGTATTATTATTTATAGCTGAGGTACTGAGTAACTTTCCAAATTTAAGCTGGTCACCAGTAATCCATTTAACAAATCTATTTAAACTCAATCCAGATTCATTAGAATGCTTTGACATTGATAATGTTGATGAATTGATAACGTCGCAAACACTACCACCACTGGCACTATCATCATGAACATCAATGAATTTCGCTGAAGATGAAGATGGTGAACTTGTAGTAATGCTCAATCGAATAGGTTGATTGCTTAACGTAGAAGTAATAATTGTAGTAGTAGTCGTTACTGATGTCGATGTTGTCGTGAGAAAGTCAGAAGTGTTAGATATAACAAGTTGTTTTGTATTATTATTATTATTATTATTATTATTATTATTATTATTTGAATTCTCTTTAAGCATTTCATTAGCATGAGCTGTTTTCTTATGTGTATTGAGATCGTCAACAGTTAAACAAAATACTGGACATAAATCGCACCCATGAAACTATATAAAATAAAACATTTCAATAAAGATAAATAAACAATTAAAATATATGGAGGTAGATGTATTACGAGAATGTTTTGCATAGATTCATACAATCAAACTATTAATTGTAAATAACAACGACCTTCAGAAAATTGGTGAACAGAAAATATATGATCACCTAGTTATAACTATTCTGTCTGGAATTAAACAAAATACATCATCTAACACAACAATTTCTCATAAATTATTAGAGATGAAATCACTATAAACGGTAAACAAATGTATTGAATAAAATCTAGTCTAAAAGATTATCGAAAAAACCACATTATTAAATACAAACAATGTTCAAATGTTTACATATTCACATATCATGGTGAAATACTGTACTCAGATATATTTATCTATTCAAAGACTGAGAATTTCAAATTATAATGGTTCATTTTACATGTAAAATTATGGTATAGGAACGAGCTAATCAAAACCGAAAAACGACTTTTAAATGCTATAAGCAGAAATGATAGCGGCTTACAGGCAGTGGGTCTCTCTTTGTGGGTCATTCCTGCTTATAATGCTAGTGACTGAAGGCAATATCGAAGTGATCCGTACAGGATGCACCTATGCCAATAACAGACTGATCAATTGCAGTTTTAAACATCAATGGGAGAATCCAGACAACCAACACAGAAATGAGTAAACTTTCGAGTCTTCATATAAAGATTTAAGAACAAATAACTTCTATCTTATATCACATAAGGGGAGTGGTAGTTTTACCTTTGTGTAATTGTTCTCAAAGCATTCAAAGTTAGAACTAAAAGTTACTTTAGTCATCATTAGGGAAAATTATGGCTTTAAAAGTTAAAAATATTTAAGTCTTTTTATTTAGATGGTAAATCACACGTAAATTAACCCAAACCCTTAATGCTAATCTTAAACACGAACCAGGAACAATGTAGGAACTCCTAAAAACCATTTTGAACCTTAAAAGGGTTTTTAGAAGGATGTTTTATGGCCATATAGAAAAATCTACCACTCTTCTTCGATTTACAGGCATATAGATTCGTAGTAGACTTTAATAAATTTTTAATTAGGTAAAATCTTTATATTTATTATTTTTTCCAATAACCATTGATTTACAAGAACTTTTCAGAATTTCTATCAACGAGGTAAAATTTATCACAGTTATTTCAATAATCGCTAAAGCTCTTCCTTATGCTAAAAAGCGCATCATTTTAGACAGAAACTCCATAACAACAAAGTAAGTGATTCTACAGGATTTTCTAAATTCTTGTACTGAAACGGCAACAACAAAATAGGATGACATTTATCTAGTCTTTCAAAACCTTCAATTCAAACTAATCTTTAACATTAAAGTGGGTTTTATGAAAAGAATACAGCTTAAAGACAAAAAGAGATCTAGGATCGATAAAAACTATGATAACTTGGGGTATCACTCAGGTAAAATAATTAAAATGTAGAGATAAAATCAATTATTCGAACCCAAAATTGAACCAGTTTAAAATATTTAATACTTAACTCTTTATCAGATGAATTTACAGCCGAATTTTCGCAGCGATTATAGGTTTATTGATGACAAATGAATACCACATTGAAGTGTATAACTAGTGCTCGATTGTATGGGGTGGATAGATAACTTAAAAGTAGCAGAAATGGTTCGAAATAGTAGCAATCGGCAGGTGACAGCATAATTAATTTTAAGTTATGTAGACAGTAGGAAGTAACAACACGCCTTAAAAAACTAACCTGGGATAAGTGACCAATAGCACAGCGTTGGCTACCCTGTTTTAAAGGACTGGCAATAATTTTTGCTGCAGTAACTGTACTTAAGGATGATGACGGTGATAATGTCGTTGGTGTTGTTGTTATTGAAGTAGAAGTATTAGTTGTGCCAATTGATTGAGGTTTAACAATTCGATAAAATTTATTTTTTGCAGAAATGTGATTTAGTTCCGATTCCTTGTTATGACTACTGCAATAGTGTTTCCATAATGAAATTGCTCGTTCACATGCATATAGACATAGAGGACACCAGTACTGATGACTAGCCTAAAATACCAATTTATAAAATGCATTTATATATCACAGCATTTATCATATAGTTATACTAAAATACATTGAAATCTCATTTTGAAAAGGTATAATCATGAATATTTAGAGGGATAGGATTTCCTATTCGTGACACGAGGTTCCAACTGTTAGCATCCAGAATGACAATATTTCTAAGCGGCAGTTTGAATTCAATTTTCTGGGTACTAATTTCATCTGAGTAGTGTTACCACTACTAAGCATATGCCTTTTTATCCAATTTAGAAAAAGACCCGGAGAATCACTGACTGACATGGTATAATACTGTAAGGTTTCTATCAATTACGCAGGAAATGTCAATTATCATTAACTAAGATTGAGAACTTTTTTCAGTTGATCACAAATTTAATAATCTTGACCAAACTATTGGATAAACACAGGCATGTATACGAAATATATGAATGGTCGGGAAATATTTTTAACCTATTTGTTTTCAGGTATTAATTTATTCAAACACGTATGATGTGTGACCATATGAATTTAAGTGAGATTAAACCAGCATCCTGTTCTCAGTCACTTGTATGTGTACATATGCATTAAAATTTGAACTGACTTATTCACCGGGTACTTGGGTATGAGCCACACTCTAAATATGAGGGCTAATTATACTATCCAGTTACTCAAACACAAGTAGGTCGAAAGGGGTCTGAACCTGGGATTTAGTGAGCTAAAATCAAACATCTCAACCACTGAGTGACCGCTCTATTCGAAAGATGAAGTGAGTCTATTTTAGCGCCAGATACTTTGAATGCACTACAAAGATCTAGCAACTCAGTAGAATGATCAGGTCCAGCCGAGAATACAATCAGAACAAATGTGTAAACAATGGCTATGCAACGATGGACAATAGCAAATCAAATCCCGGGTCAATAGTACAAACTGTAAAGAAATTATAATACCTCACTTCTTTTTCAAGTATGTACTGCTAGTGTTGTTGACTAGATGGCAACGAAGACATAACAACGAAATCATACAACTCACAGAACACATCTCTGTGGAATGAATAGTTTCAGAAGCCTCTCTTCCCAGTTATTTTTAAAACTTCTGAAGATCAAAAGCGAATGAATTAATTTATACTCTCAACCTTTTATTAACCTAGCGTCTTTATTCATTAACAATTAATTTCATTACATGTTTTCGTATTCATAGCAAATGTTGGACGTATGGATTTTTCTTAATATTTCATTTCTGAAACCATATCCAAATTAATGTTCCATAATAGTTTGTAATAGTCGTCAATTCATTTGTTGATATTAAGTAATAGTAATAATAATGTTAGTATAACAGCATTAAACTGATGAATATATCAAGGCAACCGTCTGTAATCTAAATATATCGTTTCTGCCTAATTTTTTCAACTGTCCTGTCTTCAAACTACCGAAGATCGAGTGGGTTCGTGTGAGGGTGAAAAGACGATCTGCAATGACAATATATGAGTGGATAAAACAGAGAGTCCTCACCTCGCCCACTATCTTTTTTTTGAGTTTCAGGAACTGTCATTGATTAACAAGAAACTAGATAAATTGAGTTCACACTAGCAACAATCACCAAAAAAATTAAAACACAAAACATTTAAATTGTGTTACGATCAGAATTGGAATCTAGTTGAGTTGTAATTTAATCACATGAGAGCTATGGGGAACAGAGGATTAAATATGAACTATTTATTTATTTATTTATTTGTACATATAAACGTTAGTAGAAGGGGGCGCCAAATACATATAAACGAAAGTTGTGTAGTAAATATGACAGTAAAACGAAAGTTTTTTAAATAAAATTCAGATTTATCTACTCTGTCACATAAACGTTCACATGTTAAAGTAAAAAAAAGAATAAAATGAGAAATGTAAAACCTTATGATTTGTTATAGAATAGTAAAAGATAAAACGTAAGTGGGACGATATAAATACATAAAAAATAATTATTGAATGACAAAATGATAAGAATTTACCTGAAAGAGTAGATGTATAGTCAATAATATAATTGACTTTGAACTATATTTCATCCATGATGATTTCAAAGACATCGACGAATAAAATTAGACTTTGGTGGAGTTTTGTTCTCTGAGCTAGATGGTTTGGTTGTGAGGCTCTCATCGTTCCACTGAACGACATCATCAGCAAAAACTTTAAGTAGGAGTGAAGTTTTCGAATTTCTCCACATATGACTACCAGCATGTCCTGTAGACCTCGATCTTGACTGGTTATTGTTGACCTTTAACCTGTCATTGTTTATTTCTTTATTTTGATGGCATCTCCCATTGATTTGATTCTCGGTCCTACATTTGTCCGTAATTTTTTTTTATTGTTTGATATTGATGTCGTTCAGAAGAACGATGAGAGCTCCACGACCAAACCATCCAGCTCAGAGAACGAAACTCCACCAAAGTCATCTAATTGAGTTACAAATCTTCACCATCTCAAAATTAGACTTACACGAAAACAGACAAAAAAACACTGTGACTTTTATGAATGATTGAAACCTGCTGATATGATTATCAATCTTTGTATGTCTCTAGGTTTATCAGTATCAGTCCAGAAGTGTACAAATAAAAGTCTAACAATGTACTTCTGTTTGACAGACGTTTGAATATTTTGATCACAGCACAAATCTTCGAAGGTTTAAAAAAACTTAGTTATGAGCACTTACTATCCATCAGACTTAATCTACCAGTTAATACAGTCAACACATAAGAAATAGACGATATTATAGAAGTGAACTAACTTGTGATTAATATATAGTGGAATGTATATCAGTAAATCGTAGGTAATATAGAACTTAGTACGTTGGTTTAAGTTGTAACACCATATAAACATAGTTAGATGAAACTATCAAAACAATAGTAGGGTGACTGAAATAGCAATAGTATCAATAGTAGCAAAAAACGATTCGACATAGATATTATGGTTGTAGAAGAGAAGACTGATTTGTGAAATAAATAAGCACAAGATGAGTTTGAGACTCATCAACAAAGGGAAAACAAAGAAAAAGTGCATTTTTGCCATAGTGTGTGATTATTAACAGACCCCAGCCAAATTGTTTTCATCTAACATCATGGCTCAGTCCAACAGTCAATGACTTGATGGATTGAAACCAAGTCTTGATTTGGTATATCTTAGCTTTCTTCAAACTTAGTACGCTAAAGCACTAAACATCGAACGTTGAGGCAGGCAGTGAGTGATCATAAAGAACAGACGTTTCAATCACATCAGTTGATATAATTAAGGATATACAACACAAAAAATTACAAACCCAATAACTACAATGAATAAATAAAGAAAAACTAACTTGAGCCATATGTAATCTAAATGATTAATTGTAATAAAATGTGCATTACAAACTGAACATTTCCAACATGGTATTTCTTCGGGTTTTATATATACAGCAATATTATCCGGTAATGAATATGATACGGATATTGTTGACATGGATAATGATGAATATAATGTAGAAAGATTAATTAATTTTGAACTCATTGTTAAATTATTAAAATTTATTTTATTATTCCTTGTAGAACCATATTTGCATATATTATTATTTATTTCATCTGGTACAGTGAAAAAGTGTACAGTTTGTAAATGAATTATAAATGAAACCATATCCGAGAACACACGACAACACTGTGGACAATTATACACATCTTTATTCAACCGATAGGCGAAGTGTTGCTAAAGTACCAAAAGAATATTATAATAATAAATATCAGATAAATAATATGAATTATGTATACACATATCCATACAAAACTATAAGATTTTTTGTGAAAACAACCGAAATAAAAAGTGAAAGTTAGTAATTCCAAAAAACAAGTAAACACCTAACAAAACGGTGGTATTCAAATATTTACCAATCAAACAATCATATTTAGAATCCAACTTTGAAAACTGTATCCTGAACCCAAATGTAAAACAAGTCGTAGCTCAACTTAGCTTTACAATTGACCAGGTACATAAATTCGTGTACTTGACTTCGAGAAACACTTTAAGTGTGGGGGTTAGTGATACTAGCAGGTTGCCTAAGTCGAAGTAGGTGGAGAGGGGCTTCAATATACGATTAAGTAGCTGAAAGTCGGACGCTTTAACGATTAAACAACCGCTGAGCTTCATAGTTATGAATATACCCTTCAAGTGGGTAATTTCACATTAGTTCCCAATCATTTGTAAAAGCAGTACACCGAGATAAAAAAAACATAATCTCGATCCATTTTTCAGTTAATTACGTAACAAATGCTGGCGGTGTTTCCTCGATTGGCCAGATGGTAATTTTCAATTACGTAATATCAAGAATTCTTTTTTCTAATAAGAACTTGGTAGTACGGTCATCGACACACAACAACAGTTCAGAGTTAATAATCCACGCCCCAATAAGAGAACATGGAACATCAGAAGAGGTTTACATGTTGAACAGAAGTCAAAATCGAGAAGGGATACCCCTCTATATATAGTAACAAAGTATGACATAGGACACGAAAATTGCTAAACTAAAAGTTTTAACGGTCGATCAGAAAACAGTGGAGTTTGTGCGAAACTATGAATTCAAAAATATTATTGCGATTGTTATTACAGAAAATAGATTTACATTTATTAACAAAAACTAGACAGCTTAAAGTCTCATTGGCATGGCCATGACCAGATATTGCTAATTTCATGGCACTCTCTATGTTGGGTATTTGGATAAAACTTATGAAACAATCAAGACCAAAACGCAAAAGTAGTTCATTTTCGATTGTTTTGAGCCATAAATGAGGCTTCAGGCTTTTTGCTAAGATTGACAGCAAGATAATCACTAAACATAGCTATCATAATCTTTATAAACACCATTGATATCTTGAAATATCTATAGAGAATTATATAACAAAAAGGTGAGTAAATAGAAAAGGAAACACAATAAACGATTCAATGGAACTTCAACTTACAGGATGCTTAATAATTTCATGTAGATAATAAGTTGAATTACACAGTGCTTTTTCACCGCAAAATGCACAACTAACATGTTGATGTCGGATTACGCCAGCCTTTGTCCAAAATAATTGACCGCATAAACGACAAGGAATTGTTGGGATATGTCGCAAACCTTTAACCTGAGTATTCGTCGTCACAGAATATACATGAAAATGAATCATATGACAATTAATTTAACTAATAATTAAACAATGTGAATAAGTATTGACCAATTTAGTGATAGTCAGTAAAAATAATAAAGATATATATATATAAAATGTGGCAAAGTAAATGGATCTCTATGATTTAGAATACCGAATCTGTCATTAATGAATTTAAACAAAAATAACCCACTAGTAATCAACTTTTTGCTAAATAGTAATCACAAACAATCATATTGGGGCAATATATCTGATGGTCATCTTCAAACTAACTAACTATAAGTATCAACTCGAGGGATACACATATCATATTAAAAAATGATCATTCAGCTACATACTAATCAGGTCTTTTTGTAGTGCGTCATCCTGAAGGCATTGTTCAACAAGTTTGTTCCAATAGTAGTGTGGTGTATGCTAATTATGTTGACAGACATAAGTAGTATGCAATTGCTATTTAACAAAAAGTAAGAATGACTAATGATCTGTCCACTGTAATCACTTTGCTGAACACTTACCACAGATACCCCAATAAAGATAATGCTATTTTTGCGAACCAGTTTTTGCCTACTCAAAGAACTTCAAATCAATTTGAAGAATGCAGACGACACAATTTCATTAAGTGATAATAATACTAAGATTTTATAATACCCCAATATGAAAGAATATATAGAGTAAACTTTGTACTTGTAAACATAAAGATTTCTAGAGTCTGGATCTACTCTGATGTCTGTATATCAGCAAGATATATAGAAGCCTACTGGTGAACAATAATGATCCTAAGTATATATCATAAGTGCATATCATCAAATCAATTTTTACATCTGAAGAAACTATCGAGTAAATAAAATTGATGCATCTGGCTTATCCATCTGTCGTCCATCCATTACATGTGAATGTCCTGTAACAGTTTAAAAAGCATAATTAGACCAGCATTTATTCGTTGATTTTAATGCTAGTTTTGTTCATCATAACACTGGAGAAAAATGTAGACCACAAGTTAATTTTAAAGTGATTCATGTACAATTCTGAGGACTGATATAAAGTGCTAAATAGCAAGATATTACAAACCACCACTTAATTAATTAAAGACAACACATATTAGCTCTTAACTAACAAATATGAATTGACTCGAAGAATCTTGAGAAAACGACTAAGCTATCATTAGTATATTATATAATGGATTATTACATATCCTAAATATGATGTAACTAGCGAGTGCAGAGCATATAAGTCACATTAGCAGAACAAAAAACTATTTAGTAATACATGTATTTTATCATAACTTAAGTGACACTTGGTACAAAGGAACACCACGACATTTTTCACATAACCTAAGATGATAACTTCGAGAGAGAGAAAAATCACCATCCAAATCTAGTTATCCAACTTATTATCATCGAGTTACCAACTAAAACATTGATCTCAGTCGGAGCATCAATATACTGTACAACACAAAAAGTAGTTGCATGTTTCAGTCTAGAATATGAACGATTACGAAATCGGTATAGTGTATTGATTAGAAAAACTGAAATGTGACTATCAGTGTGATGTAGAGTGAATGTTTCATTCTATCTGGAACTCTCCAACTGGATACGCCTTCATTTCAGAGTTGTACTGATTAAACTATGAGGTTCGCAGATTTCTTACCATATTTAATAAATAAGCAAATGTTACAATAATTTTTTACAGAGGTGAAATAACCAAAAACCTATCGTTTAGTCAATTAGTCATAAGCAAGTGTAGAACCTGGCCACCAAGTACATGTATAAATTCAAGTTGCTGCAGCATATCAAACCAAATTAGCACGATGATATAAAACTATCTAGAAAATTACTAAAATAGTAGAAGTAGTAACAGGTGCTAGCAGCAGCAGAAAATATTGCATCCATGTTACTCGTTAATGTAAAAATCTTTTTTATTTTTTATGAAAAATTCACCTAATTTTATATAGACTTATTTCTCGTGTACATATATATATTTGTATAATACATATGAAGAATAAGAGGAACCTGTTGAAATATTTTATACTGTGCTTTGCAGCTTAATACTTACTCTATGACGAGACATAACGTGAAAACTTTGAACAATTGTTTCCGTTGGAATATTGGAAGGGCACAGTTCACACGGAACTTCTAACATTGGCAAAACACGAGGTAAACTACGCGGTTGACTTCCCAGGCATCGCCTAATTTGACCACTAGGTCCCACCTGAACACGAATAGTATTATCTCCACTGTTAGTATGTGAAGATTGTTGTTGTAATAAATTATCAGATGCTAAACCAACAGAAACTGGTATGACAGGTTTTGGTTGAATAGGAATTTTCGATTGGTTGGAAGAGAGGAAAGATAAAAGAGTTGGATTTGATGACGATACAACAGACCATGATGATGTTGTAGCTGAGATTTGTGTATTTCCATGCATAAAAAGGTTAGACTGTTTACTGATTGTAACACAAACAGGAGGCATTGGTTCAAAAGGCAGAGTATGTTTCACTGAAACAGATGGAGTTGTAGTAGGTTGACTAACTAAAACAGATGGTAATATGGAGCCTGTCACAGATTTCGATACCAAATCAGAAACGGAAGTAATGGGAGACGAATTAGGTAAAATACACACTGATGATATATTAGTTAGATTTACACTAGACGATGATGAAGCAAAACATGGCTGAATCGGTAAGGACGATGAAACTAATACAGTTGATAGGGAAATAGGTATAGCACTTTTAGAATTGCATGTCCTTATTTGTGCGGGAGTTGAAGTGTAAAAAGAAACAGTTCTATAAAAGAGATATACACAAAACCAACATTTTAATGGTTGAATGAAAGAACCAATATACTTTTTGCTATATCCCATCGAGTAAAGAAATTGTATTTCTGATGTTTTGCGACTTAAGATAAACCACTTCATCAGAGTAAATAATTGACCGAATCAAATTAACACGAGTTTAAATAGTAAAAAGGAAACAACGTAGAATATTTCTAGTACAATCAAAATCATGATGGGTCTGAATATGCAAATGTCAAATTATTCTTGGTCAAGGTGAATTTATATGACCTGTCACTGTATTAATTTGTGTATCAGAAGGTGGACATGAAAAATGTATGTCACATTATTTACTCTAATAAATGATATTCCAGTTCACATACTGAGAAAATACTGGTTCTCAACTGCTGCTTCACATCCTTTCGACAAATGTTCTTTCAACAACAAAAAATAGAAACCACGCCTTTCAGACAAATCATTCATGTATATCTGTCCTTCACATGATCGTAAACAAGCACGACTTTTGTAATTATTTCCAAAATATTTCTTATTAAACAATCTTGGGTCACAAATCATTTCTACAAAACAATATAAGCATATGTAATAATTGTAAGCCACTTCTACCAATATAGTAGTAATGACGAATTTATGAGTTTAGAGATGAGAATGAGGCTACCAGCTCTAACATATCTTAACAACTATAAAGATTATATAAGCACTCTGAAGGTAAAACAAGAATGGAAACCTTCTTATTACAGAACTAATACTTTTACTAGAAACGATTGTACAAAGGTTTTCTCATATGTTAATAATGAAGTCTACAATACCAATTAAATTTAATGACGTAACATGAATATTAATTATCTTAATTTGTGTTCGTTAACAATCTTATCAAACGACTTACCTCTCTTAACTAGGACTTTATACGCGAGTTAAGAACTATTTAGAGATTTTATCAAACGTGAACAACTTAAAAACATTATTCGTAATATGAATATCGAGTGCTCATATTTCTTAGCTTCAACAACTATGACACCCCTCATAGCTGTATAATATTATGTAATTATGATGATCTCAAAGTCGTTTTAAACCATTCACTTCAAAAATACAGACGCAACAGATATTTTCATATCTTCAATTCATAATCTAACATTAATTAGATTACAGGATCTTGTAACAGGAGAAACAAAGAGGAAATTATGGCGATAAATGATAATGACGAGTATGGATTTGAGTTACTAAATGTTGCTGACGAATGAAGCGAGAAACACTGAATAAAATCGAGAACTCCATGTATATATTTACACGAATTCTCCCAAATTAGGGAATATCAATACCGCAAAAAATCTAGACGATAAGACTTAGCATAGAAGCTTGGAAATAATATTTATGCAATTTCATCTATGTTACTCATGAGTAGCCCTTATTTCTCTGTAGATTTTCTACCGCCAACCAGTCATTTTCTCAATTTAATGTAACATGGCAACCAAACGCAAGTCCATGTACTTGACTTTGAGCTACAAACTTCGTGTTTCATTTTTCAGATTGATTTTTATACTTTCGCCAATGCTGATCAAACCATTTTTCCTATCCGTACAGAGCATCACAATATTCATTTACCTCTTTGTCTTACCAACAGAATAATGTATATTGGTCTATCCTCTGGTTTTATTTTAAATAAGAGAATACGGCAGCTTCTTATGGTTATTAAAAACGCAAAAAGGCAACTCCATATACGAATATAATTCAACAGTCCCCTTTAGACACCTTTATCAATATTATTGTTACATCGACTCTATTGCAAACATTAAACATATTACACGAATGTCATCCCATTCGTGTCCATCTTCCATTCTATCATACAACCCCTCTCCTCCAATATTTCCTCACAATCTCATTCCTTTATTTGTGTGGTAGAACTTACCTATTTTAGTGCCCAGTTGTACCAAAATGTGCCAAACAAAATAAAATAAATTGCTATTTCTTAGTTATTATGACTATTTTTATTTACTTTAATGTAAATATATAATTAACACTGAACTCAAACTTGGACGCCTTTATTTGGATGAAAATACAGTACATGAAATTTTTGAATAACAGGAAACTTCCGATTGATTGACGAGAGTAGTAGCCAGTCAAATGTAAATATTTCAACTTTCTAGGAAGTCATTTGTGATCGAAATAGCTTAGTGGTAAAAACTAATTTCATAGCTGGGTGACGCGGATTTGAAGCGTACAGAGTTAATTCCTCCAAATTGCAGGTACGGATTATTGAGAAGTGCCAACTAGCACGAGGCCTGAATTCAGGGCTTCCTGGTGACTAGTTTCGGGAAAACTTCTATTTTAATGCGTAGGGGACTGAGTGAAGAAAAACTAAGGAAAATCATTAAATACTCTCGGTACGTACTACGTTAAACAATTATTTAGCGAACTAAATTCGTATATTTTCCCACAAAAAAACACGACAAAATTGTATATTTTCACAGTTCTAATCACGAACTGATTTAAGACCATCATTGAAAACTTGAAAGCACTGGACGACCGTCCCATCCTAGTAGCGGCTTCATAGCAGTGAGCATCCACAACTCAGAACCCGTAAATCGAACCCAGGACCTTCAGTCTCACGCGAACGCCTAACCTCACTGATGTAAGGTCGCATGTTTACATTGCCGAGGAGTCCCATACTAAAACGAAACGGTTAGTCAGTGCTTCCAGGTTTTTAATGGCGGTTTAACTGTAATCAGTTCGTGATTTAAACTGAGATTATGCAATTTATAAAATATCCCTATATTAACAGACGGTATCGTGTCTAAATTGTCACTAACCTATAATATATCAGAATCATCAAACTATTAAATCAAAGCATAAAAATGTACTAAACAAAAAACTTACGAAGGAGTCGATGCTTCTGAGAATACAGATTTTAAGCTGTTATTGTGTTCTAAAATTCTCATTTTTGATTGAATCAGTGGTTTACCTTGATCTGGATCAACAAGTTCACCATAAATGGCTGATATTGCTGCACAACATCTTAAAGTATAAGACTGAACACTCCAACCACCAAATTGATTTATTCGAGCCATTAACATACGTTGAATTAATGCATAGAGAAAATGAGCAACATGAAAGGTAAACCAAATCGAGCATACATAGTAGGATAAAGCATAAGACAGGCTAGTGCGTGAGCGTCACATCCTGACCATGGAGCACTATTATGTATTGAAGAATTACTTTTACATGATACATGTATTGAAACATCGGAGTGCAAGTGATGAGAAGAATGTCTAATTAAATTAGTCTGTGTAGGGAAGCCACATATGGAACATAAGATAACTGTTGGTTTTTCTATACGACCAGGGGTTAATTGTGGATGCACGCTGCAATTATAATTATTTTTTAAATAAATAAAAGAAAACAATGATTTCAATACTTACATTTATTCTCTTTTATATTGTACCAAGTTCATTGCATTCATTCAACTACTATATTCTATGTACACTTTAAGCTATACATCAAATAATTGGATTGTAGATGCTTTCAGGTTTAATTGAGAAAACATTAAAAGTATTAATCTACCAACTTCTAGTTTCGATTTCCAGATAGTTTTAACTTCACTGACGTGAACTTGCTAATTGTTGAAGATTGCTTTCACCATTAAATGCAAGTGTATCATAAGTGTTTAGTGGGTTGTCGGTTCACTTTTCCTCGTGTTCTCCAGATTTCTCTACATACACAGCTCTGTATATTCCTCCAGCTCACAAACTACCTGCAGGTCAGACGTAAATCTACCAAAGGCGTTGAAAGTTACACATCGACAACCTGGTTATAGATAAAATTACACCATTTGAAACCAATATCCATCAAGATTAAACAATTGGGCAAATAACCTTTCCAATTGTATAGACTTTCTATAATCTACCATCGTCAATATCTTGGAGTAAAGCCACTTAACAATCAAATATATATATCGATAAGTAGAAATAGAAAGACTGGAATGAAGGCAGACAGATATACTGAATTAAACAAGCAAGAACTAGGTACATTATTCATTTACGAGTGGACCATAGAAACCTGGCTTGACTGCGTCAGCAAAACTATATAACTTAAGAAGCACGTTAGTTCTAGTGGGTAGGTGTCTGACGAAATCTCGGCACTTGTGGCGTAAGCGGGACTTCCTTACCCTAACTAAAGAGGAGTTGTACTGAGCAGTCCGCTCTGCAGTACTCTATGGCTGGGAAACATGGTTTGTGAAAATAAGACATGAGTAGACTTTAAGTGTTCAGTAATAGATGTATTTGAAGCGTTGCTTGCATATGATAAAACAACCGAGTAATGTTGTGTTTATGCATAGGGTGCTAGGGAAATACGGAAATACGGTTGATAAGGTAGAGTCTTTACCAACGGAAAATGTGTTATATAACACTAACCACTGATAACATAGACGGGAGATGTTATCTGATGTACGGGTGAGTTGGAAGCTAGGGACGGCCGAACCAAAACCTGGAATCAGTCCACGAAGTTACTGTTGGTCTGAGCCATGTTCGTATCTACAGAATACCTAGTTGAAGTCCACACGATAATCAGGATTAGCTGGAGAATTTGGGTAACAACTCAGGATCGGTTACAAAAACCCAGATGTTGTTTTGACTTGTTTACCACCTATCTTGTTAACTTCATCTCATTGTACTAATATGGTATGGGAACTTAGATTAACGAGTAACTATGCTGAGATCGATGTTGATTATAACTGACTAGTGCCACAATTTTAGAATACCAGATAAGGTGGCATGGACATATCCTACGAATTTCCTTCCGGTAGCTTCTATACCTGGGATTGAGTACAAAATGATGAGAGACCGCCAAGGCCTAGTGGGATGAAAGGTAACCATGTAGGACACTTTGATCCGTCACCACTTCTAGAGTAGGGTAGTGAATATTACACAACTCTGTGAATTGAAGTGCTATCAGACATAGTTTAAAATAAAAGCAATCCTGATCCTGTTGGGGTTACTCATCAGATAATCGAAAGATTTGAAACGCATATCTTAAAATAACGAAATGTATTTTGGTTGTTTCGCTTGACTGTACTCTATTGGTGGACATGACTCTTACTCTGTATTCTACTTCTTCGGTGTTGTCAATTCACACTACGTGGTGAACTGAGTTGGGGTTCTTTTGTATCGAAACCTTAGGGTTAAGAACAAAATTATAAAACGTACATGTAACTCATATTACAATGAAACTATAGTGAGACCACAAACTCACCATTGAATAATAAGTAAATATTAATTGTATATATTAACAGTTAACTTTGTCCCGAAATTCTAATTTCTTAAAGGCTATTTTAACTACTTATCAATTTGAGACCCCGAGGCTAGTTACACTGCAATAACGTGAAGTAAAATAACTTCTAAATAGATTAAAATACTGAGTAATAAATAATGGTTGGTAAAAACGGTTAGTGTTTCATACTACTCAGAACTAGCCAGTTGAATACACTTGTATTCGAACAAAAATTGGTATTCATGACGACATTTAAACTAAATTAAACAGGTAAGCATCTAATACTAAGTATAATCTACTTCATTTTTAACATATGTGATACTACTTGATTTGTGTTAGCAGAATATACATTGAAGTAAAACATGTTCCATTAAAAATTGTTTTGGGGCACGGTGCTTGGCCTATTCTCAGCCAATTAGCGACAGGGTGTAAAATTATAAACATGATAACGTGTTTCTTACTGGAATTCACTCCAATTCAAGTTGATTTATTTGGAATATAATTACGTACTTGTCCAAACCGTGTTCTGATTTTGGAAACCAGTCAAGTGAGGTGAAGTGTCCACAGAATACTAAGCACTAAGAGTAGCTAACTTGTATACAGAGATCTTAACAATTCATCTACGTTATATAATATAAAGGTGTCTGTTCAAAAACGCCTATATCCTATGGAGATAAAAGAGGGACATTTTTAGGTGTATCAAAGTAACACAATAATCTAAAAGTGAGTTAATTCTATATGAATAAATATCCAGTTTACTATCATTGATACTACCACTATATGGTAGAAATGATGCAACGAAGCAACTGTAAAATAAAAAAAACATTGTACTAACCGTTGGAAATGATTTTCTAGTAAACGTTGAGACTTATTCACTAGTCCACAGACAAAACATGTATATGGTGATATATTTGAAGAGGAATCGAAGATATTTACAGTGAGTGGGATATAAAATCGGCTTATCAGTTTATTGCCCAATAATTCTGCTGCATTAAGCATGCATTCATTACAATTTACTTTTTCAAGCCGTGTTTTTTTAGGTATCACTAGTGAATTAACATTAACTAGTTTCTGGTGACCTCGTTCTAGATGTCGTAATAATTCTAAAGCAGATGTAGGAACATAGGGACAACGACAACTATGACAATAATTCCATATGTCTTCCCAACGTGGATGACGCGCTTTTGGTTTCCATTCTAAATGAGAAATGTTGATAGTTTCTATACTGATTTTATCTGTAGATAATCGAGTTGGTTCCTCATCAACACGTCTGCGTTTACGTCGATTACTCAATAACTGGTGGGGAGTTACTTCTTTACCAACCGCTGGTTCATACTGTGAACGCACAAGTGCTGAACCTGAAAATGAGAAACAAATAATTAGGCAGGCAAAAAACATTAAAATTGGGAGTAGTTTCGATCAATATTAAATATTGACTGCTTTAAGAATGAATATCGCAATACACTGATGCTCAGTGAGTAAATTTTATGACCGATTTCAAATGACTTTACACTGATTGACTTTGATCTTTCCTAAAACTACAAATCCATTCTTCTACCAAATATTTATAAGTCAAGAACAATATACGTTATTTCAAAGTTTTACCGTGCAATGAAGAGTACACTCTAATGCTAAGTTTAGAATTCGGATAAGTCACAATTTCAAATATGTCATGGTAACTATGCATAATTACAAACAAGACGGGTCTGGTTTCTAAATTACTTGGGCTAATATAATGACCGAAATTACACTATTATCGAATGATTCAAAAATACACAAAAATCAATCTTAGTTTCGTTTAGCATGGTTCCTCAATGCAGTAATTCCAAAAACCCGGTGACGGAATTATCCTTAAAGCTTTTTGGTTTAACCAAACATCAGGACTGAAAGAATGCAACTCGATAATTCTTTGCATATTTGTAGACCAGATGTGAGGTATGATGATACTATATGGTAATGACGGGGTGGTTTGATGATTAAATGCTTGAATTCGCCAACTAGTTTCAAAGTATGAACACAACTCTCACTAATTGGGTTTAGGCAACCACGTAGTAATACCAGTTCTTATGCAAAATTGTGACTAAAAGCTAAATAAATGAACTTGATAAATAAGTTCAACTAACTAACAACTTAGTTATTGAAAGCACAAATCCTGAAAATTTGAGTTGACTTTAAACTTATGACAAAGTATATAGTTTGAATTCCCACTTTTCTGGAATACATTCATAGATTTCAGACGCATAGTGAACGAACGAAAAGCATTATGAAAACAAAATGTGTTTGAAAAAATAAAAATGAAATGAGACTATTAATTGTTAGTATAATTACATCAAAATATTTTCTCAGCATCAACTACATTCTAACCACATAGAAACTTTCAGACTAACTTTTAATAGTCATTATAATGGTAAGATTATGTTTTATCCTAATCATAAAAATCACTAATAACGAAATACAGTGATGCACACCATTTGGTTTTCGACATAGGTATCGTCTATGTGAAAAAGGGTGGGTAGTTTCAACTCACTCATAATTACTAGATACTTTGGTTTTATCTACTACATGACCAGTATCGACAAAATGGGATGGAACGACAAGTGCTCGTTAACTCGTTGGTTAAGTTATCTGGTTGCAAGCTTGGTATGCCATCCATTGGTTTAGTGTCTCATATATGAAGACAAATATCCCTACATATTAAAGCCTGCTGAAGATTTATTCAGAAATAATATCGATCGTTAATTGTATTTAGGGAGAAGTGTTCAGAGAAAAGGCAATACCACGTTATTATAAAATAGAGGTCAGTTATGAGAATATCCGTAATGCATCTACAAAGTGAAAAGATCTAACCTAATAAAAAAAGATACAAGTTCCTACAATTACCCGATAGCCATACACATACATATATAATGTATCATGCTTTATAAGTTTACTTGAATCTGGAGGTGATAATAAGCAGGGAATAAATTTGAATTCAAAGCTGATGATCAAGGGCCAACTACTACTAAGACTACTAATTTATGATTGTACAGCGCTTAATATAAATGAAGAGGGAATGGAACAAAAGCAAAAAAACAAGTTAAATAAAAAAGTTAAAATGGTTGTCGTCAGAGTAGGTCTCGACATCTACCAGGTTTGAAGTAATCAAATTTTTAAAATAAGTAAAATCTAGTGACTTTATTGTTACAGAATATTCAGAAAAATTAATCCATAACTACAAAACTAATGGACCTGAGGTTCAGTGGTCTAAGTACACTAATTCCACTTATTATATTACAATCCCAACCCCAATCCCGATTCGATTGGTGTATTTAGCCCTTTCAATAGACATGGCTGAATTTTTATTATCTGAATATGTACCTAAATATCAAGTTGTATTGATTAAATTCTGATATTAAATACATTCAAAATGTTACATGGTGCTACAAATCAACTCCATGGAACCTTCTCAAGATCCAACTTACCTATACGAAGTAGAAACTTAACCACCGGACGTAGACTCCCTTTCTTATTAACATTAAAGCCAGAACTAGATGGTCCAGATGGAAGCGTATCAGAGTTAATAGGAGTTCGAGGAATTGTATGAGACGGTAAAAGAACCCGTTGGTGCGTAACTCTCAAATAACTACGAGGTACGACGTTATTAGCATATATTGAACGATAGTTTCTAAGAGGGTTGAAATCCTGACTACTTGATTCAATATCACAATAGTGAACAACATCTTCACTAGACTCATTTTGTTTGACCACTTCGGGAGTGATAATCACTGTGTGATCCTGGTTTGATTTTGGGGCAATTGCTCTAAATGAAGACAATGATGACGATGAAGACGACGGTGCGCTTGTTAATGGAGTCTTTGAAAAAAAAGATAGTACAAGATGTCACCTAAGACAGGAAACATGTTTTATGCTAGCACAAATTCATGAAAGTGATATTAAAACTCTAAATCCATTCCGATAGTTAGAATTTACTGTTTCGAACCACGTGATATTTACGGAAACATTAAAATATGGAAATCCAATTTAATGGTGGAGAAATGTACAGACAACGTTCATTCTTCCTAGACTTATGAATCTAACTTTGACATAATCAAATTCAAATTATATCAACAGTATAGGGATTGATGATATTGTTAGGATAACATCAAATTGATAACTATCCAGATGCTAAAACATTCGGAAGAATTATCAAGGATAGCGAACTAATTAAATAACGCGAAAGTACTACTGATTAAAACGTCTTGTACTAATCTATCGTGTTTGGTCAATATATGTCGGGCTTCCCAATCAATAAGGTCGACTTGCAACTAGCCACCAGAAATCATTAGCTTTTGTGATTTATAGAAAAGCCTAACAAAAGAACTAATTATTGGGTGCTTGAAATTCTCAACAATAGATGTTCCAAAGAATGTAGTGAACACAATGGACGTATGAATCTTAAATTAACACGGCTTGATTCTACCACAAACCAAATGAGACTAAGTCCAGTTATAAATAAATAACTTGAAAATCACTTACTTAAAAAATTATAACACATCGATGTAGATTGTATTAAACTAATGATAAAATCCATAAACCGATAATGTTTCTGAGTTACTTGATGTTGATAAGCCAAAAATCCACACACGAATAGCCAACCAATTTAATCTGATAAACTTAAAAAGTTAACGATAACTAATATCTAGGACATGAGGAGTTGGTATCACAAGCACTTTACAATAAGAGTACAATATTCAAGTATCTATCGGTATGCAAGCACAAGTATTGGTAGATTTTCATGACAAATTAAAAAGGATGAGACGTGCACCCTAGATTTCAACTGACCACAAGTTTTAAAGAGTTACATTAAATGCAAGTCACTTAAATTTTAGTTAGCTTTAAAAAACTATGAACATTTAAATCATATATAGTATAAAATTAAATTGTAAATTGAATTACCGAATCAACTCCTGAAGTAGACTTCTTGTGATTAACAACAGATAGAGTCGAATTTGTTTTCGGAAGTATGGGTCGTCTCGAATTGTTTGAGGTCATACTACAGTGAAACAATAAATAAATAAAGATAGAGGACCGTTACATGTGGGTTTCAGATTTAATGACTATCTGGGATCACATATGTCAATTCATTGAGGGTAGATATGAAAGAGAGAATACATACCTAAGCGACCTTAATGCCCTATATAAAAACAAAACAACTTATTCCCTTAGAACAAGATAACAATACATAACAAAAATAAATTGAAGATCCTACTGAGATAGTTCGGACTTCTTTGTCACTAAAAAGGAGGCATTTTAAGATTTCCAACTTTTTATAACTTCACTCCTAACATATGCTTTACATAAGTTCGAAAGTCAGTTATTACTTGTACGTGAACGAACGACAGTAGATTTAAAGAAAAATGCAATGAAGTTAACTTCAAATTACTTTACGCTCAGAAGATTCGGCTACTTACATAAGAGTTAAATAATTCGGACGCATATGGCTTATCGTGGCATACTCATAATAGTTAAGAGAATATTACTGGAGATTTCTTAGACATAAATATAATAAATGCAATGACCAAAGTATAATTTAAAGCACTGGTGTGTAGTTTACGAAAATATTTCAAGAGTGCTACTACTTAAACCGAATGTACGGACAAAAAGACAGAAAACAAGCTGACGGGAACTTTACAGATGATTAAAAATTCTTTATGAATGTGATCAGAAATTAGATTTAGAGAAATGAGGCTTCGATATTGCATGCATGACCGCGTACTACGTCATAAATCACACCTCCGCAAATTCATGTTATTTTCCTTCCCTACAAATATTAAAGAGCAATATTTGGACTACAAGAAGTCGTATACTTTAACTGTAGTTATTAATCAGCTCGTAGAATCCTTTAAATAAACGAACGCGTAACTAATGTTGTTTTGTGTTTAATCATCGACACCATGCAGTCAAAGTTATAATACACACTGTTTGAAACTGCTGTGACGAGATTTTGCTGAGTTCGTTTTGTTCTACACAAATTACTGCATGTATACATTTTTAAAGAGATACATTATGCCTAGGGTAAATACCTTACTGCGTTAAAGTGCCAATTTTGCTTTATGCCAATTAAACCTGAATTATTTATAATATTTGTGCATACATTTAATATTCCATAAAAGTAAAAAGGACCTAGCCGAAACATCTAGACGGAAAAAAAGGAAACTGTGAAGATCTATGTTGACAATCAAAAATATAATCGTGTATCTATAAACGAAGATTGTTTATTATCATTGCTAACTTTATTGAAAATTTAATATTGTTGTTAACTAAAGGAACAGAAGGTCCAAAAAAACTTATTGCCACGGCTAATGCGTAAGTAGTCATTTATGTGACCCATAACAAATAAATATAAGCCCTACACATACTCAACAGTCATGAAAACCCGAAGCAAGAAGAGTACGTCAAAACAAAAGCAAGTCAACATTAGAAATTAGTGAGTGCCTCATAGTACGCGCCTGCAAAGAAGAAACTACCTTGACAAGAAAGCAACCACACCGCATAAAGTTCTATTTAGCGGGGATTTTATAGAACTACTCAAAACCTCTCAAAAATCTCCAAAAACTATGTGAATACGAAAATAAGACTGACGAAAACAGACATTTAATAGATTGTTTAAATGAGGTCTTAAAATTTGTCACTAAAATTTCAACATGGATGCTTCCTGTGACCTCAAACTTCCGGTGCGATAATTAAAAGGTATTTTAAAACTTTCATAACGAAAGATCAAGTATTGGAAGCTGATGTTTCCCCCAGATATTCACTGATGATTATAATATCCAAACCAGCATCCTGCGTATGCAATGACAGACTTTTTTATCCTATCCTTTTGACTGGACGTTTACCTTTTATTATACCTCTGATATTCAGGATTTGAAGACGATTTTGTCCGTAACACGCTTATAATCGAAAGATTCCAGGCCCAGTCTTACCAAAAGTCAGAAAATGAGTTCGGAGATATAATTGAGTGGCATGCGATTTGTCGATGAGTGTTTGGGTTGGGTTGAAGGTTCGTAGAATGGCTTACCCAGCTATGGTTTGGCGAGGATAGGTGACCGGGTGCCTTTACCTACGTATCCACATTAAGACCACAGAGTTAACTATCAACGTCACAGGTTTGTAAGATTTATTTGTTGAAAGGCAAGAACTTATCTTTGTTTTAAATAACACGCGGTGGTATTTGTTTGGTGGTTACTTGTCAATAATCCTGAAGGAGGTCGTAGCTTCACTATTTATGCACATGTATCCGTGTGTTATTACATATAATCACGTAGATCACCAATGTAAATTATCTGTGTCAAATGACTGGAGGCATGCTCGAGTTAAACATGATTGGTGTGACGAACCAGACAACTTCGAAGTCATTATATCTAACGTGGATTATACCTTCGACGTATCAAATTACTGTGGCTTCTTTGAAGACCGTGTAACACAAGAGACGTTATTATAGAAATAATACTCAAAACAAAACAGATTAACCTTTTGTAAGCAATGATGAATAGTGGCTAGTAGTGGAATCCAGAACGCGCGTTTCGTCCTATTTGGGACTCGTCAGCTGGATGTACCTGCATCACAGAGTTGACGTTCACTCTGGGACTCGAACCCAATACCATTCGCTTCAAACGCCATCGCGTTATCAACTCGGCTACTGAGTCCTGATAGCCACTTGTTTGTGCGATGGGGTGAAGTTAAATTCATTTGGTATCTTCCCACTGAGGTTTATTGCTGCAATTGATTAGTCTGTTATTGGCCTGTGTGCATACTGTGCGTATGCCTTGATATTGCCCTAATTCACAAGCGCTTTTTAAGCAATGATGGATAGTGGCTAGCACAAGCAGACAGCTATCAGAACTCTGTAGCCGAGTGGATAACGCGATGGCGTTTGAAGCGAATGGTATTGGGTTCGAGTTCCAGAGTGAACGTCAACTCTGTGATGCAGGTACATCCAGCTGACGAGTCCCAAATAGGACGAAAAGCGCGTTCTAGATTCCACTACTAGCCACTATTCATCATTGCTTACAAAAAGCGTGGGAATTAAGTCAATATCGAGGCATACGCACAGTATGCATATATGCCAATAACAGACTGATCAATTGCAGTCTTGAACCTCAATGGGAAGATGCAAGCCAAACAATACCAAGTGGAAACAGATTAACATTTTATAACATAAAACTAGCGAGCTTGCCTGAAGAAATACATTGACTTGAGTAGCAGCAGTAAAAACCCAAAAAGCAAAACTGAATCAAATAAAATTTACACTAACATTTGGAATATTGCATTATTTGAGGCACAAAAGAAACAGTGGGATAGAAACACAGAACGAAGAAAGCCGACCGCCATCGCTTACAAGGATGGGGGATATAGTAACTTCACCCTCGTTTGGATTGATCACAAACAGACTGCCACGACTTCGAAAACAGGTTGCGTTTAATTTCAACCCCCCACTCACTTATATCATTAGGTTCATACCCTAAAGAGTATTTTAAAAAGAAACTAAACAGGAAACGGATCAGGTAAGAGAGAGGTTTCTGGATAAGTCTACAAGCCTATTGGAAATTGTAGCCAGCATAATTTACTCAAGTGGGACTGAAAAGATTCCATTAATAACTCCAAATGAATGGCACAATAACTAACTTAGGGAGGTATGATTGGTGTTATTAATGCGAACGGCACGTACGATTTCCACCAATCACAAACCACTGGTTTCCTTTCTCTTACTTATCTAACCAGTGATCTCTAGCCGACTTGATCATCCATTTTCCAACAAATATAAAACATTTCTGATTTGGATAATTTGGAGATTGATGCCCTGTAAGAATGATATGTAACTGGTTTCCCAGAAGTATATTGTTATTACTACCAAACGAATCGTCAAACCATTTCTCAGAGTTGACCTATTTGAATAAACTGAACCTTTGAACAAGGCTATATTCACCACGATTTATTATATTTTTTAGATTGACTTTCATTACATATATTACTGCTTATTGCTATTCTGTTTTTTTTCACGTTCCTTTCCGTCATTTTCTTTTCTTTCTTTCATTTAGGTGACCTCAATATTCCTCTAAACTCTACAGAACTTGTTCAAATATGGCCAATATTATACAAACATAGTTGCAACATTTGTATAACTGAATTTCTGAGGAAACACCAAAGTCTTTCTTCATTACACCCATGAACCGATAAGCCATTCGTGAATAATAATAATAATAATAATAATGAAGCCCAGACATCCATGATTAACGCTATGTTGTTAGGATATAAAGCTGGGGAAGACGAAATAAGTTCACTTCCCGTGAATGTCCTCGCTGTCAAAACAATAATAGCACCGACCTTTAAAAGGTAGTTAGGATAGTTTGCGGGGGAGCAGCATTTCATAATTGCTTTATGAAAACCATTAACAAAATCGCTGCATCACTCTACAGTCTTTTGAGGAAAGAAAGATTCATTCGTGTGCGAAAATAGCGGAGAATATTTCATCGAACCAAATGACTATTAGATGACTGACGCACAACGTTGAAATTATCCATCCCCAGCAAACCGTTTCTGGTGGCCACAGGCTTGGGGGCGACGCTCAAACAGAAGACTAGATTCATGGAGTGCGCCAGCCACGTTCCAACGTCTGACGAGCGGAAGTAATCAAACATTGTAAAAGAATGTTCAAAGATCGTTTGGACGGTAGAAAAATGCAGACCTTGACCAACGATTCCACAGTGAGACTGGCCACAAGCCAGCACAATGGATAAAACAACGAAAGTCTCTATATAGAAACTATCACGAAGGCCGTTGTGCCGAGATAGCGTAATCGTACGATTGACCACACGCCGAGCTTAGAAAATCGGTTACATATTTTCAATCCTAAACACTGAACATTAATGGTTTCCTAGAAGTAGTTCTTGAGATTAACACGCCTCAGTTTGATCCAGGAACATATGTTTGTCGCCAGGACTCCAACTCAACGCCCACGGCAGTGAAGCGAGCGAAAGCCGAGGGAACGGACACTAATACTGTGAGGCTAAACAGGGATATAACCAAACGTTCTAATCAGAAAAGTCGAATGAGATTGAATGAAGCGGGAGTGTTGACCTGAGGAGATGATAACAGTCGATCTTCATGAAACTTACGAACTCAAAAATAACAATTAGACCAAACTCGAATTCAGACAAAGTTTATTCGCAAATTACAAATAAAAGACAAATGTCATTCTTTAATTTTTTTGGGTTCCCGAGGCAAAACCTCCTAATACCAAACCAAAGACAAAGAGAATAGAAATGTCCGAAGCAAAGGTATGAACATTTATGTTCAGAAGTTGAGTGAAACAAATACATCCAAAAACAGTGAAATTAATAACATTCGATATAACAGTTTTTTCTATCGGTTTTCTCCGCTTCTCCTGTTATAGTAGTCCCCATACACTGTGGGATGATCCATGAATAACAATAACCGATGCATAAAGGTATTTCAAGAATAACAAACCACCTGCAACAGTTTGCATCGTGACCAGGACTGAAGAGAGATATAACGATGTATGTACTCTTCCCACTAACTGAGGTTAGTGGGAAGAGATCGATGTGTACCCATACCTCTTCAGCCGATTGTTTTGACAATCATAAGAGGTCTGTGGTCGTCATACATCATGATGCCATCTACGCAAACGTATTGGATGGTGATGGTAGAGCGTGTTACAAGTTGGCTGGAAGAGGTCATTACTAATCAACGCTGATGGGCTGTAGAGGAGGGGGTAATTCAGCACATTGTGTCGACGAGTTTAGGTCCCGCCTAGATGAACTACTCACCGCGGTCATTTAGGGCAGAATGATCTGAATAATCCAAGTTCACTTAGCTTATCTTAAATTGAGGCCAGAAACTGACGTCCCCTTTTAGTCAGCGCAACGGCAAAGCACACATGTGTTTGTAATCATGAGTTCCTAGAACGACTACAAAACGGACAAATTCACATTTTAACACCCAGTTCTCCTTTTATCAGGCAACCATATCAGAACACCTAATGTTCACATGTAAAAGGAGTATACAATTTTAGTTCAGTAACATGATAAGTCTCCAAATCAATAAAGTCATCATGGATCGCCTCCCACTAGGCCCGATGCTAGCTAAAATACATATGTTGGACTTGGAAAAGACAAAGTCAAAGGAGGCGATGAAAACTGTATTCTGCTATGCCTAGGGTTCTGATGTCTGTTACTTACGTTGACAAATATAAATGGTATGTAACACAGAAGTGGAATGCATGACAGAAGAAAACTGAATTGAAGAGGACAGGAATATAAATAGGGAGCAGTTGCAATAACAACATAATCACGAGGAATGTAAAGGAAAATCTATGGAGGATATGTAGAATTATGTTCTACTTTGACATTAGTACTGTTCTAATAATAGAGCTAACCCTAACATTGTACGTTTGTCATGACTTAACTGCCTAATCTATAGGATCTTATGTGAGTCACATCATTGTCTACCCTCACTCATCATATTGTAATAATCAATATATGGTGAATAACACATTTAGGCTGAAGATAGAACAATATATTTAATAAATATAAAAAAAATTTTGCATAAGTATGACAACACCTGCAAAGCCGAGTCGTGCCATCCGATGAATGTAGTTTCGAATGAATGTTACCGCGCACACCATCATTGATCTTCTCTTAGTGTTACACGTTGAAGGTCTATTTCCCAGTTATCTCATATTAGGCTTCGAGGATTGTCGTTAGGATTTAATGTATGGTTTTCATATTTTAGGCAGGCACTGAGTAATTTTATGTTAAATAATGAATTGGTTTTACCCACTAGGCCTTCGTTCACTATGGGGCAACGTTAACTTTCGTGCTTGTAATAATCAGAAATATTCTACACATCTACTAAAACAGGTAAACAAAACACGTTGAGAAATAGAACTAACTAAAAAAAACATGTGGACTGACGAAAATCCGGTTTCATAAGTGTTAGAATTTAATGAAATCCAAAGCGAAAGACATGGAAATGTATTTGTCGGAAAGATGTATGGAGTGAGTTTTTACTAACTACAAGAGTTCCTGTCATATATGACATAAAAAGACAGTACAAAACTTTTTGACACTGACTATATACTTCCCACCAAGGTGAGGTCAGACGATAAACATAGTTATTAGAAAACGTCTATGTAAAATTACACCTCTGAAGAAACCCATTCAGAGATATTCTTAAACTGAAGGAACTGAAAAGAAAACCTTCCTTCATCTCCAGTTCAATGAAGGTGAAATTAGTTGGAGACATAGTCACGGAATAAATGTTGAAATAAAGATCGATCATTAAATTAAAGGGCTAGTTAATCTGTATGAAACAAACACCGACTAAAATAAACAAAATACGATCCCTCTTTCCTCATTGCCTTCAGCGTTAAGTGTCCGTTTGTAAGTGAGCGCCAAAACACAAAATGGAGGAACAGAGAAGTGAACACATGTTCATATTTATCAGATCTCTCGAATATTTGATACTGAGAGGTTGAATAGCCATTAAACAATGAGATTGTTCCAATTTAATTAGTAGCAGACATGACAAAGGTTTGTTATCCCTTTGAAATAATTAGCAGATAAAATAAATCAGTTGCTTTTCGTTTCGCCAAAATGACAGAAATTCATCTTCCTATGCAGTTTGTTGTTATTTCAGCCACTCAGAAATTACATTTTCATTCACTGGCCTACTTGTGAAAAAAAGGGATAGCTATATGTAAAGTACCCTCTTTTTCATATTCCGCCACTTAGATGTTTTGTGTTACTTATCGGCATACAATTGCCGCTCACATTGCCAATTTTTTTCATAAGAATTTCCAATGCATTTTATAACAAAATCATATATTTTGTAAGAAGTTGTTTGATTTGTTTCTTGTTTATCACACGACTATTTGGTATCCAATTTAGCAATTTAGCTTTTGGTATGTGACGTAATGCAACCGAACAAATGACATGACAAAACGGTAAGTGATCTAACTTCATGATGTACTTTATGTACCATATTAAAATGATTCTCTAAAATGCCTGATCTAGCCAATGAGAAAACAAGAAATCCACTACGTGATGCACTATTTGTAGGCGATACTTGTTATACTCCCACTTGTGTAACTGATGTCAGGCTGACTATCTTCAACAAAAGTGGAAGATCTACACTTTTTGATCATTTTACCGATCACTTAGTGTCAGAGGTGCATATCAAAATGTCGAATTATTCATGGAAATCGATCTACATTTGTAACCTGTGGCCAACATATTGTAACGGATTAAAAAAATAAACATTCGAAGTTAGAGTTCAGAAAGAAATCGTCGACGGGGATTATAACGTAACATTCATCGTTCATCAGCCAAAAAATTAAAATGTTAGGTACTGCATTTATATTAGACACTGAGAGGCAGACGAGCTGAAGTTGTAAATGAGATCTCCCTGATCGCATTTTAAACGGAGACTTAAACATTGTAGTGGGACTTCGCGAATAAGTGACATAAAATAACCTCCAAATTATATCTTCAGGCAACCTTCAGCAATTTCTTTTGGACATGCTTTTAGACAACAAGTTGCTAACACTTTATTGGTAGATATCACAAATCGACTAATTCTAGACCACTATTAAAGACCTGGAAGCAGTAGACGGTCGTTTCGCTCTAGTACGGGACTCTTCAGTTGTGAGCATCCACGATCCCGCTCGCGGGGTTTGAACCCAGGTTTTCAATGATGGTCTAACATCAATCGATTCATGGTCCCAATCAAAAACCTAACAATTTCCACAGCCCCATATTTTACTGATAGTTCGTTGTCCGGGGTTTGTTTTAACTTTTCGTATAAGAAATAGCGTCCTACCAGAACATCACCACCGCGCTTCTCGGGATAACACCCGAAAAGTTGCAGGTTGAAGAGCTTCCACCTCTTCTCATCAAGAGTCGCCTTCACTTGGAATGCTCTTTCAGCCGAAGTGACCACAGTCTCTTTAGAGAATAGTCCCAAAAGGAGAACTGAAAAACAAATACTCACCTATGGATTACCCTCTCCCTCTTGGACTAATTTCCCCTGATGTATGTCTCGTAGCTCATCCGGCATTATCACTGTCATATATTGTTACCTTATTCTTATATCATCTGCCATTATTTCCTTTTCCCCTTTCACTCTTACATTTCAGTCCTCTCACACTGTCTTCTTTATAAATAATTAAATTATTTACCTACTTTGTTCTCAAAACACTCATCTTCTCTTTGATTTTGCATTTCCTCTGCATTATTTTTCCTATTTCAGCCAACCGAAATTCCTCCTGACAGTATGTTAGCCGCTTGCATTGAAAAACCTTGCTGACCTGCGGCAAACGCATTGGCTTAGATTACATGATGGCAAACCGACTGATAACTACCAAACTGGATGGAAATAGTGAATTCGAGTGGCTAGAATAAAAAATCCGGGATATTATTAAACGCCTGAAACCCTGATAAAAAATAAGAAGCAATCACAGGTAGATTAATCATTTTTTACAAGCTCGTGATAAAGATACTGGATAGTGGATACATCGAATATATTGGAGCGTTTAGAACACATTTAGATTTTGGGGTTCAAGCGGCTAGTCCTTGTTCTTAGCATGAGGTAGATATAAAAGAACAATTTTGATGATGAAGGACTGAAATGGTAACAAGTCTCTCCGGCCTATCTTGTAAAAACATACTGATACAAACCTATTTCTGTTGTCTTACCATAGGTTACGGGTGACCTAATACTCGCTTACTGTATACTGCAATAAGTCTTACCTTCTACTTCCGTTCAGGACTGATCACTTTAGGGACGTTTCAAGAGATTTCAAAGACCGGGATCAAATTTTTTACGTCTGGAGTTCCGTTTCTCACACTGAGTAGCGAATTAGTGGAATTCTCTACCAGAACGCGTAGTACCATTACCTTCTGCTGTAACATTCGAAGCCGAATCGTATCTTCATAGTACTTCAAACTGAAAGGAATTCTATGGGTCGATAGACCTCTTATCATCACTGCTCAGAACTGAAGGCTGTTTATCTATATCATATCAAGGTTATCAGAACAAGCGATGCTCCAAAAATAGGTACTTATCATGCTTAAATGGTCCAAGTAAGTTCTGAGTTTCGGGACATTATTCTTGTGTTAATCCGTGTCTAGTAGGTTTCCTAGTTTACACAATTCCCATAAGTGGTCAATATTGAAAGTGCGACTTTTTCGGTATTATATCCCCTACAATGAGTGATGAGGCTTATAGGTTTTTGTATAATATGGCCCATTTTGGTTTTTCTCTCATGGTACTAGTATCAGTGGTCGGGTTATTCTGACGTCTTAAAACGAATTTATGGTGATTGATGAGCTGGAATACTGTAGCGATACAGGTCTTTCCTATAGTTTTCATAAATCCTGTCAACGGTTTTTGTGTTTGTCAGGTTGTTGTAAAAATAACCAAAATTTCCTTTAGACATCGATTGTAAACCAAATATATGGTGCACTCTAAGTCAGTCCCTTGATCCATGTGTTTGCCAAGCTAATGCATTTTGTCTTCAAAACTATTTAAGATTTAGTCGATTTCCGTAGTTTTTGATTTTCAAAGTATTGACATGCTGCTTGTCCTAAGAAAGTAGTTACCCATCTTTACGATCACAGACACTGATCTGTTGTTTTCAACATTATTATTCCTAACCTGAGGTCTGATTTTTCATCTCGGCTTGTTTTAACCCGTAACATGAGAAGTCCTCAATCATCACTTTCTACTCTTTCACAAACTCCAACCTCATGTTGTTCAAACATAACAGAACAAAAGCCAACTGTTTCTCCACGAATTGTTTTGGCTAGCCCTTTTGTATTCTTGTTTTAAGTCGAAGACTTGAAATAATTTGACCTGATATTTAAGTACAAGTCATGTACTCAGTTGGGAGCCAAAATTCTGTGATAGGTGGTACTTCTATACTGCCCTATCTGTAGTAGATTTAGCAGGGTTTGAGTCTAGGGTATAGTGGCTAAAATTTGGGTGCTTTAATTAGTAGACAACCACTCAGCCCAGATAGTAGCTCAGTTCTAGTTATTGACGTTTCAATCACCGTAATTGATCCATGTACATTTCATCAGTTGATTTATCCACTTTGACTGTTGCATGTATGAGAGATAAGTTAATAATTTTTATTAATGACATAAAAGTGTCTAATTCGTTAATATATCAAGAATTCTGTCAAATTAAACAAAACGATATTACTACGACAGAATATGAGACAAATTCACACAGAAGGGGAGTAAAATACTTCTGAGGCATAGTTTGATTGAAAATACAACCAAAATTTATTTCGTTGTTATTAAGTCTACCTTACTGCTGTAAAAAGCAGCTACAGACCGATTTCCAACTACAAAATCGACAAATAACGCGGTTCAAGCGCCGCCAAGATGACGTCTGTTAAAAATGACCAATCTAACAGACTGTTTCCAAATGAAAACGTTTGTTGGATCATAACCTCGGATACATCCAAACACGCTGGCAAATTTTATTTCTATGTACACTGAGTTACTATCAAATCCAAGTAATTCTTCAATGATGAGATGCAGAATTGTCGGGCTTATTTTTAATCTTCTTAGTGATAAACTCTGCTTTGATTTAGTTGCATATCAAATGACCTGTTCTTACCAATTTAGTCTGGATAGGCTTTAGAAATCGTAAAAGTCAACTACATACATGATAAGCTTTTTGATTCAACAATTTCAAAATTGTTTGAACTGTCACAGTATTAATGTACCAAAATCAGGTATGGTATCAACTAGATGGTTGCTGGTTTCTAATTTTTCTGTGAATTCTGATCATGCGAATCCTGGGATATTAAAAAATTCCCTCCAGAATTAGGATCGTTCGGTGCAGATCCTCATAGAAAGTCAACCAGTCAGTCGTAGCGTAGAACCTGACACCTGTATACATCCGTTCAAGTTGCCATTTCCATTAGTATATAGAGATGAAATTGTCAGGAGAAATCCTAGTATATTGGAAGTAACAATAGTACTAGTGATAACAGAAAAGATTAGGCATCGGAGGTGCAACTCAAGAAAATAAAAATTTAGTAAAATATAATAATTATTGGGAATTTAGAAGCTTAGAACCGAAGGGGAAACGAAGAATGGATGAACCTACGCCATCTCAAACGGTTTGGACCCATATCATTCAAAATCTCTAACCACTGATTACGATGATCACACAGTTCTCAAGCAGGTAGTTCACACCTGTTAACATAGCTTACTCTAATTGTCGGTGACTTCGTAGACTGGTCCCACGTTTTGATTTGGCAGCCCTAGCTTTCTCCCAACCCACTCCTACACCACACAACATCACTCGTCAAGGTAGGCAGTGGTTTAGCATACGTAACATGTGTCTCAACCATCCCAGTTGATGAAAGTTTACTGCCTCATTAATCGGGTTGCCATATTTACTTAGTACACTGTCTCTAACCCAGTCACTGCTTACTTGGTGGTCCCAAAATATACGAGCAATGACCCAAGACACCTATGATCTAATACTGTTAATCTACAAATATCTTCTACTCTCAATAGTCATGTTTCACACTCATAAATTAAAATGGATGTGAAGACTTAGTTGCATTAACGTTTCACTTTTTAACTTTTGCCTAAAAATTATGTAGCACATCAACTAAATTTTTAACCTTCATTGTGTTTTCCTACTAAATGATTCAACCAATATTATTAGTTTTACAGAATTCAACCTGTTAGAGGAAATTCAAAATTTAATACACAAGTAACTCTAGATTATATTTATATTCAGACCGTATTAACAAACATTTTGTTAATCAAGTTCATTTTCTATTGGTCTCTCTATGAACCTATCATCACTTAACATGTTATTAACTTTTAGGGATAAAAAAGATGAACAACCTACAGATTGGCCTAAATATGCTGAACATTTAGAACATTGTGTTGACGATGTACGACGTGTCGCAAGTGATGTACACAGAGGTCTAGTGCAAAATGTTCTCGTCAGTAAGAAAAATGTATGTTACCTTATTTTATAAGACGTTTTATGTTTACCTCCAAACTGTTCACGATTTTAATAAAAATTCTGAAACGAGTTTATAAAAACAACAGTTACCGTGAAACTTTTTTATTCTACAAACTACTTTCCCCATTTTCGTTTGTATTTCGACTGCTTTGTAAAGATTATCCTTTTTAGTCCATCTAGTTATCATCTCGCCATTTCTTAGTGATGCATAAGCTAGTCTGACTTACTAGTTTTCCATCCGTTAATCTGCAAATTTTAAATCCGCTCTACTTATTTCAATTATGTCAGCTGGATGGTAAATATGACCTTTACACAAAGGTGTGGCTCAAAAGTGGAAAAACAGATAACTTTGAAGTCAACACAAGTGTACACTAGTTGGTATGATCCACATCTCCATGGCCAGAAAAAAATAAGAGGGAATACAAATAATTGAAGGTATTGGAGTATTGGAAACTAAACAAGAAATGCAGTTCAAAAGTAACAAATAAATTCGAGGAATAAAAAGTATGGAATAATATTCAACTCAAGATGTAGGAAAAGATAAAAATAAGTTTATCTGTACCAAAGGAACTAACTTTAAACCACGCTGTATAACATTTAACCATGGACTACATCAAACTTGCAGGACCAAGAAGTGTTCATGTACGTGCTACACACCTCGGAACAGTGACTCCATAGACCTAGAGTTTCCTAATCTACTTTTGTTCAAACAGGATAACCCCTTAAGTTAGCAGCTGAGGATGCGCATCACATGCCTCAACCATATTAGTCGATGCAAGTTCACAACCTAATTGACAAATATATCATTTGTATTGTAGTATGCTATATACAACACTACTCATTTGGTGGTCTCACCATGCAGACGCGCGTATATAGTCATTGCCAGGGAAGTCCCACTGCCTTTTCGCGGCGGGGGAAATTGAGAGGACAGAAAGCGAATGTCCGGCACTTAGATCGCGTTGGTGAGTACGGAGGATCCATCTAGGGGAGTCGGAGATCCTTATTCCAACCCAGTGATGCACATAGGCTCCAGGATCCTGAGGGAACAAATGGCGTTTGAACCTATTGTTGGTCACCGGCTACCATGGAGCCGCATCTCTTAATGCCGTTCCACTACATTGTGGATTATACCACTGAGTAAAAGGCTCGAGGAGTGGTCCTCTAATAAAACCAACTGTTTCGGTTTAGACACTTGGACAGTATCCCATTCCATAAAAAAACTGGGTAATAACTACCTCGTGTGTCGCACCAATGCTTGTATGTCTAAACAAATAAAGAAATAAGGTTAATCATATGCTGGTAATAATTTTAAGATACGTATGAAGAAATATCAGCAACTTACTTATATCTTCGATCTTCGAAAGCTATTTTTTTATTGCGTTGTCATAATCATTTTAACAATTTAGTGATATTGTTCAAAAGTTTTGTTGTAATAATCAATAGATCATCATAGATTCATGGTTGACAATTACGTTATTTCATAATTTACATCACACAACGATCACAGTTGGACAACCATTAAGAATCAGGGACCGATGTACACCCGTTTTGTCGTAGGTGGGCTTTCCTCATCAGTGAGGTCGTGGTTGCGCATCGTTATTGAGTGCCGCACTATGATGAAACAACTGTCCATTACCCCCTGGTTTTCACTGTCTGTCCTACTAAGTTCAGTCCGTGATATAAACCATTCGATCTAGCTATCTTTGCAAACTCCCCCGCAGTAATTGCATTGTTTCTTATAATTGGTTACATGCAAAACATCTAAATTATCGTGATAGCATTAACAAAAACATGTGTTCAGATTCATATACGATGATAGTATACTTTGAAGGACCATATATATGTGTGCATAATAAACACCTTTTTCTGCTTTAATTGATCGTTTTCTTTGTAGAAAAAGTATCCTGAGTATGTACTGTCAACTATTTTAAAAGAATCCGTCGATAAACCCAATACAGATGACCGACTTTTTGTGTAAGTGCCAATCTTTGACTTCTTACTATACTACTCTATTTAAAAATTGATGTAACCTCCCATTTAAACTATTTTATTATATGCTTATCTGTTTATGATTTAGTTTGCTGCAAATTGAAATGATTACAAATAAGTAGAATGTGCTTGCAGAGGATGAAAAAAATCCATTTATATATCCCTACTTTTCTATTTATAACCAATTTAAATAAGTTTTTTAAGCGTAAGATAAAGTGTTTTTGAGATAACATGCTGCACTTAATCTTTAGTAAAAGTGAACTGTGGGTTGCTAAAAAATCTAGAACACACGTTTCTTCATGTTTGAGACCCATCATCTGAATGAATTTGCATCTCAGTATTGATGTTTACACTAGGATTCGAACCTAGTACCCATCACTTCAATTAACAACACGTTGTCGGCTGAGCTACCGATTAAATATGAACAATGGGAGAACTCAAACCTTTACATATATGTGCTACACTTCGTTTAAAAGTGTTTCATTTAATTTTAATGAAAACATTATATTGATCATATGACCAAGATTTTGGAGTTAAAGTTCGCTAATCCAGTTTTTGAAACCCTAGCCCGCAGACCAATAAATTACAGATTCATTATCAAAGTGACTGCTTGAAGCAGATGAGTTGTTCATCAATGAAGATTCTAATATTATTGGTTATCATTCTTATTATGTCTAATACAAGTACATATTAAATATACATTGATCAAGAGTACATTCCAAAGATAAAGAAAAGTCATTGAAGATGACTGTTCATTTCATAATTAAAATCACTGACTGATCTTAGTTAAACAACTACTGAAAATCATTAAGCACTGGATTGTCGTTTCACATTGATATGGGACTTCTCGGGAGTGCATATCCATGAACCCACTACCTGTGATCAAACCTAAGACCCTCAGTGTTGCACGCAAAGGCTCAACCTCTAAACCACTGAGCCGGATTCCAATAGTTTAAATGTTTAGCATCAACCAATCTGTAATACCGCGCAACCATCTAGTGTACTTGGTGAATCACTGCCTCATATTCAACATAATCGAACTTCAACAGTCACGACTTCCCGAAAGAACGCTGAAATTACTTCTCAAAATTAGTTACTCATGCATGATTGATTACTAAGAGGAGGGATTACTGAGATTTTTCGAATATCATTAAAAAAACTATTATTAATTCCTAACACAGAGGACACTTTCTATTAAATATTAGTGAAATATAGAAGCTTATTAGGAAGCAGATAGAACAGTTTTCTAGATAATGATGGTTTTTTTATAGCACTCGGTCATCCATCTGGGGACTAGGTTGCTAGTTCGGACTTCTGTTTGTCCCGTTTCGATTAGGACACCGGCGTGGTCCTAGTCCTTACACCAAACACCAGTTATAACCCCTACTACCTGGTTACTAATTTAACCAAGCAACCGACATAATCTGGACTACCCAACCATTCTTAACTTCCTAGTCTCTGTGCTTTTCGTCACAAACTAACGTATATGGAGAAGATGATGTAATAGAAAGATTATAATACTAGATTACATAATACGAATACTAACGATATACTTAATAAGTTAGTAACGAATTATAACGTGAATGTAGTAGGATGATTAAAATGTTTTTGTTACAATAATTAAAGGTCATGGAGGTGTAAAAAATTAATAAAGTGATATGATGAGCATTTATAGATAAATTAATGAGAATATGAGATATAAGTAAATGGGGAATGCAATAATAATAATAATAATTAAGGCCGATGTAACGATAACGATGGGACGTACCTCTTTTGTACGCATATGGAAAAGTCATTGAAGAAAAATAGTTCTATCTCATCTCAAGACTATTCCATTTTACTGTTGCCTACCTTCCGAAATATTTTAATTCTCACTTATTTCATTATGGTCTTTACCTTTTTTGTAAACTGTCTGGAATTTCGGAAAGTCACATTTCATTGAATAAGCTAGTTATGTTAAATATTCTATAAAAGTATTTTCTCTTTTCGGAAATGTGAACAGTTTAATAGATTAAAAATAAACAAAATAGCTTATTTAAAAAAACTTAATAGTTCAGTTTTCTTAACAGATTAGAGGTTACTTGTCTCAATCAAAAATGATTGAATTGTATGATAAACATCTATAGATCACTTATTTAAGTATTGTCTTTATCATGAACTGGTATCAGTTAAGAAAGGAATATTGAAAATTCAAAAAGCCAACTTCTCAGTAATACATAAATACAATCGATTCTGTGATTGTTAAAGATATTTAAACACCTCCCGCCAAAATAACCGACTTACTCGTTATACTATTATTCCCATTTTTAAAATTTAGATTTCGGTTTCTTTAACATCAAAATCATCCATGAGATCCATCCTTTATTTTTACCTCAGATTAAGATACTTTTCCTTGTTAGGTTGTTGCTCTTTTCATATGCTTAATCTCCCCCATACTCCTAATGTTACTATAAGTCCATTTATACTCAACAGATGTTTGTCTGATTTGTTCTAGAGCTGTATGCAATGTATTCGAATTTAATCTGACTTTCTCATCATATTGACAGTCTGTATCAAGGATCCAACCCATATCCTCTAAGTCATATGACTTTATATTCACTTTATGTGTTGACCTTAATCATATATAATAGATTTCGTTTGTCAGCGAACCAGATTTTCGATGGATTAATAATACTAGTGCAAATTTCTTCGTCTTAAAGTCTTCTGTACTAAATATACTTTTAAAGATGTTTAGATTACCATACAGTTCCAAAACTAAGTTTATTTGAGGAGAGTTTCAGTTGCGGGTTGTAATTAACTGTAAATGGCATTGAAAACTAAATAGGATTGATAGTTGTTTTGCCTCGGTTTGAGAATTCTATCTAATCGTCCCTGATTTTCAGTAGTTATTTTCCAGCTAATTTTCCTATAATGGCTAACAAGTTCTCGAAAAATTATAAGGTAGGGACATCTGTCAGTCTAGATATTGTCGTAACTGCTTTAATGTTCACTGAATCTGAAAATTTTCCGTATTTATCCACTATGAATTTCCGGCATCGTACCTGTCACATGTAGAGAACACATTTTTCTTTATGAAGTCGAAACCCTTATACAGCTACACATAAATGTACTTGATCTGCTCCCATAATTATTACATTATCCATTACTCACTGAACAATTGAGAGTACCTTATTATCCTCGAATGGTTGTCGGTTATGCTGAAATAAACTTTTGTGTGTACTGATAGTAAGCGATTCTCTTCATTCTCCAGCTGCGTGGATATACAGATAAGCTTTAGATAAATCCAACTTTTGAGAAAAAGTTTTGCCCAGTTATTTTGTCAAACAGTCTTCCGACGATGGTAATGGATGCTGATGGGTTTCTGGAAGTGCATGAAGTCCGGTTGAATAGTCAGCAAACAAGTAGACAGTACCCTTAGGTTTCCTAACTGTAATTAATGTAGCCCGTGTTAAAAACGTTAGTGGGCCGATAGCACCAACCTTCTTAAGTCGTTTGAGTTGTTGTTTGACAATTAGCAGCGCTACGTATAACATTAATCTTCTATGATCAAATACTAGTGGTGCTTTTGGACAAGGCATATGAGTCTAATCCGACGAGATAAAAAAAAATAAACACATGTTGCCGCGACACTTCCACTAAGCACTCTAATGGACGCTTTATTAATGAACTCGGTCTATTCTTAGAACCAAATAGGCAAAGTATGATTAAAATATTCCAACACATCGGAAGATGAAATGTCAAAAATCTGTTAAAAATTTCAGATAAATCCGAGGAATTTATTTTCCAAAGCCATGTCAAAAAACGAATGTTGAGTGTCCTCGATAATTTTGTAGAAGCTAGGGAAAGGACCGAAAATACTTCGATTTATAGGTGTTTTTTGAAAACTTTCAGGAAAAATTAAGAGAATGATTAATTGCCTTCTTCTTATTCGGATTGTAAAACTGTCGAATTTGCTACCAATTTTAACATTTTCTCTGGAAGACTCTAGAATCTCAAGACTACCTATCATTTTATGGATGCTTTTCTGTATGTCCTCTTAACTTTAAGGTAAACTTCAATATTTATTGCCTTCTATCTTCCATAAGGGTTTCAAGAGTAGAAAATCTCTATGAACTAGAAAACAATTAGAAAGTATGTAAAGCTTTCACTGTACATGGCTTAACAATCAACAGTAGACATTATTTTAAAACTATGAAGATTACTTAATTAAAGATTTGTTTAGGAAGCATGTAAATTAGAGTAGGGCAATGTTTTAGTGATTAAAGTACTCGACTACTAAGTCTCATCTTAGAACCCCACAACACTCGCACACCAACAGTTCTCCACAAGCCGAGTGTACAAGAAAGCTTGTGCTTCTGTCGTGATTGAGTGTTAGACATGGGGTACTAGGTAAATATGGTAAATAGATTGATAAGGTAATGAATCTTCACAAACTGAGGTATTTGGTACATGTGTTACGTGTGCCTAACCACCGCCTACCTCAACGAGCGATGTTTGCTAGTGCAGAAGTAGGTTGGAAGGCAGTTAGAAGCATCAACCTATTAAATAATTGACTCTTGCTTTGAACCATTTTGGTGATTGCAGACTATCTGATTGAGGTTCGCGTGATAATGGTTTTCAATGTTTGGTGACATTGGGTAACATAGCTCAGATGCATTCACTCTTTTTTATTTATTTTAACACATAGATATTGGTACAAGGAGGCACCAAATACATATGCGCCACACAAACCTCATTCGATATGTGTGAGGGCTGTGATACTGCCCGGATGCCCAAACCGAAGCAGGTGATTTTCTTAGGGGGCCACACCTGGAGCCTTCGACCTGAAGGTCTGATCCACAAGGTAGTGGAGCAACGTAAGGAGATGCAGTCCCATAGTAGTCGGTGACCAACAATTGGTTCATACACCATTTGTTCCTTCCGGATGCTGGAGCCCATGTGCACCATTGGTTTGGAATCAGGGTTTTCCAACTCCCCTAGGTGGACTCTCCATGTCCACCAACCCGGTTAAAGCGCCGGACATTCGCTTTTCGTCCTCTCAATTTCGTAAACAACACCCGTGGTGTCAGAAGGCAGTGAGTAGGACTTCCCTGGCAGAGGCTATATACGCGTGGCCATTTGAGAGCATTTCGAGAAGGAGAACGGACTCTCTCCACTCTCGGCCGTACCAGGGCATTTGGGGGCTCTTTACCATTCTCTTGATCTTGAATACCAGTATCCTTTCATTCTATCCTTCCATTCTATATTTTCAAACCAGGTGTAGTCTCTCCGCTTATTCTTGATACTACATTATTTCTATCTCTTTGTTATTTTCATCATATCCCGCTAATTAGGTGTGGCAACAGGCTAGTGCACATCTATGTCAGGCTATATATTAAGGACGTCTATCTGTCTGTACTTGATAGAGAAATTAAATCAAATCAGTTCGGAATAAAATCACATTTGTGATTATCTCATTAATTTTACTTTCTGTTTTTATTCTGATAAAATTAACTAATAACATATGAGTAAACCAAGTCAAATACTATTAATTACGTACAAAATGAATTAGTTAATTAACATAACATTCCAATAAAATAAAAAGAATAGTTATAAGTTATTGAACACTTTCAGTAATTACTTTATTTATTTATGTGTTCATTATTTAAAGCTTCTTGCTCATCATTTTAGGTCTAGATATCAAAAGTATCATTTTTTCCTGTTCCTGTACATTTTGAAAACTATAGAACTTTTTTAATCTTACCTCTTTTTTTATAACAATGTTAGTGATGTTCTACAATATCGTACTTTTTCTTTTAAAATATTTCTCGATTGGTTAGTGTTCAATTTGTGAACGATCATATGTGTCACTAAATATAATAGATGTACTATTCTGAATGTTACTTTTCTAGTTTCCCATAAAGTAAACCTTTTTTTTACCTAAAACTTTCAAATATCCCTTCGTCCTTATGACTGTTATTTGTTTCAGATGAAATGCATTTGTCAGTGTTACTTATTTTTACAATCTGTGGAAAATTTTCACAGCTTGTTACTTCTTGCTCATGTTACTACTGATTATATTATTTGGTCAACTTTATTCTGCTTCATTTAACACTACTCTCCCCTTTCATTATTGATAAAGGTTTCTAGTCATTTTATGTGGACATAATAAAGTTTTCCCTCTTGGTCGAAGACCACCCTTTCATGAACAATGCACAATGTTTGAAAAAAACCCAGTTGTAACCTTTTTAAACGAAAATGACTGAAAATGCTACAAAGTCTTACTATTGATGGTTAATTACTTGCTTACTTACGCCTGTTACCCCTCATGGAGGAGCATAGACCATAACTTTAATTTCTAAACACTTTCAGATGAAGTTTTTCACAAGATGTCTTATGTGATATTATTTGTGAATCTATCACCTCGGTGTCTTTTCTTGTATTTGTTTGTTCCTTTAAATACTCAAGTTGAGTCTCCAATGTTGTCAGGGAGACAAACCCCAACTCGATTTTCTTGTTTTATCGGTGATCTCGGACGCCGAAGATTTGACTTATGGAATTTACCTGGTCTACATTGCACTGTGGTTTGCTAGCTACCCTGTTGTTGTCTAGCCGTGGTATAAAAGGGGACGGTATATACGTATGCATCTAAAGCAAATAAGTAACATTTTTCAGATCAAATCTGTCTTTTCGTTGCTCTACCATGCATATATATAGTCACTCAGTGGATAATGCAAATGACTTTCAGCCACTAAGTAGTAAGCTTGAATATCGCTCGATTTTCAGTTCGAGTGACTTAATAGTATCACTAGCTGCCATTACTCCCATTACAAAGACAAGAGTCTGTCGAGAAAGATAATATTACCTTCACGATCAAACCGTCCGGCCAAGAGAACACGATACCTTCAAAATCCTCATCTAGAGCTACAAATATTCTTCATAATTTCAACACCAGTCTGTGCCTGTTAAATGAGTTATTAATGAACTTTATTTTTATATAAAGTTTTGACATGGTTTTACGTAAGACTTGTATTTCCTTTTGGATAACCTTGATATTATCACTAACCGTAACACAAAATGTTTTGCTCAAAACCGAATACGTAAATTTGTGTTTTATAGGTTATTATATTTTAAACAAATTTAAGTCAAGCATTAAGACTGATAATTTAAACTACACTGGTTTAGTTCCTTGATTACAGTCAGAATACTACCAAAGATTCAGTAGTGTACGTTCATATTGTCATTGACGCACCATTCCTAACCATTTGCCTCCGGCGAACATACTGTATATTGACAATCTATAGTGTAAAACAATTCATCTAACTCCATTGTTCAAAATGAATCCGACCACTGATTGATAATCAATAATAGGTGATTTATACATATTATCTATCTACTAATGGGTTGCAGTGTATTTAAAAATCAAATAATATTTTTTAAAAATCGCGGTGATCAAAACAAAAAATGACTTCAACATTTTACTCGGCATTTTAATCCGAGCTTCAGGGAAGTAATCAAAATTATCTAATATACCCAGTGTTCACAACACAGCTATATACTAAACGCCTGTCCAGTTATGCCGAGTGGTTAAATTCGGATTGTATTAAAATATGGATATGGGTTATTTAGTAACATGTAGCTAGATCGTAATAATAAAAGTAAAGTATGTGTATTGATGTGAAAAAAACCGTTGACAGTATTTTATGACCATACACTCGATGCTCGATTGTTATGAGACTAGTCGTTTAGATTTGAGAAATAATTCATAAAAGGTGTTTTTTTATTTATTTTTCTCATTAGTTGTGTCACTCGTGAAGCTAGTAAAGCTTTGTTAACTCTATCTACATATCATCGAGATCATGAGAATAGAGTAGAACGTCAAATTGTTGAACCATTAAATCGTCTAACTGAAGAAACATGTGTCAACATTACAAAAGGTCGACGTAATTTACAAAAATGTTTGACAGATGTTCGTAATGCACGTGGACAATTACAAAAAACTATGCAATGTATACAAACAAATACAAATTCAAGTTATCCTGGTTCTTGTAATCCATCTGTGACAATTGATGCAGTCAATCGAATTAGTCAAGCTCAACATCAATTAGAAGAGAAAAAAGTGAATTAGAATCTTCAAAAGTACGGATGGAAAACTCATTGTTTTCTTTTACTTTTTTAAAACATATATATTTCACTTAAATTTTCCTACAACTACTTGGGTTAATATTTGTTAGATAACGTATGTTTTTAATAGAGATCTACTGTAAACCAAGGTTTTATGGAGAAAGCAGAAGGATTCCTTGGTTATAAGTTGATGCCGTTGTATGAAAAACTGGAATCTGTTGGTTCATCTCAACCTCTGATTGAGGTCTTAGAGATGATGCAACTCAATAACTTAAGACATTATCAAACACAGATCAGTATAAAAGCTAATATCGATTCTGCCATGGGTTTTTTTTAATTCTTCACAAAAGTGAAATAAACCTCATTTACTTAAGGAAAAGTCTTGCTTAGTTGTGTTTTCAACCGAACTGTGACTATCCATCATACACTATTCTTATCCAGTTATTTTTTATTGCATTTCCCCTCCATCCTTTATTTCTTCACAATATAATCTCTTCATTTGTTTGGCACATATTATTTTTGGTGTGCAGCCGTATCAGACTTAATGCAAATTGAATAATAAGTTAATATAATTAAAATTTTCTTTAATTTGTAGTTTTTAAAGACTATTCTAATCAACGGTTGTACTGGAACTTTACATATTTACAGTATAGGTCTTGTGAAGATTGTTTAATTTCATTGAATTTATGAATATTGAATATTCAATTCCGATTGCATTTTTGATACTTTTGTAAAGTTTATTAAACGAGAATGCATTTTCCCTATTTATTTAGTACTTATTTCTATTAAAACACTTTATGTAATAGTTTTGTGATTAGTACTAAGTAAAATTATCTATCCTGGGATTAGTACTTACTAATTAGGGATAGAGAGCTTTACATGGGTAAATGAAAACCTGTAGGTGTCTCATATCCCAGCTGTTACTTAGAGTAAATTATAAAACTTACGAATCTCTAAACAACAAGATGATATTACGCCACGTCTATTTTTCTTTTGAAAACGCCTAAATTCGTGATTAATAATCTTTTTCTTACAGTTTTGCTGTCATTCTAAGAGCATAAAGTTTATATTTCTTTAATTGAACATGTTCTATATGTGTACTACATAATAAGTAAAAAAAGCAGAGTAATTCTTGTGTATTGGAGATTTGAGTCTAGTATTTAGTATAATCTGTTGTTGAAAGGGTATTGAGACACTAAGTCAACCACGATATTTAACTTATACATAAGAGTATTTAAAATAAAGAATAGTAATAATAAATAAAAAAGTAATAATATCATCAAAGTAGTATATGCTAATCAAAGTTACTTGTCAGAAAGTGATATAAATAAGTAGGAATTCTATATGAAACGAGGACAGACATGGAAGATACGCTCAATTATTGTAAGTATTCCTGGCAAACATTCAGTGTATGAAAGTAGTAATACGGTTAGAAATCAATTATAGAGACCCAGAAGTGCACTCATTCTTTATCTTTTCATAGATTTTATGTCCCAATATCATTTCATAGTCTCAGATTTTGTATCACAGAATGACCAAAGTTAGATAACCACCGAGATTGAAAAATAATGGACGGCCATCTCGTCCAAATATGGGACTCCTCAGCAATGAACATCTACAACCCTACGGAGTGTCGAACTCAGGACTTTAAGGCCTCTCAGCTAGCTGATTCTGGATTCAATAGTTTATACTAACAATAGTAATAATCATGTGCTCCCCAGTAAGTAATCTCCAGAAGTCCTAAAGAGAAGCTGTGGTCAGTGAAGTTCAACCTTGTTGACTGTGAGGTAGTTAACCATTAATGTCATTGGGAGATGAGCGGAAAATATCGCTAATCGGTTCACACTAGATATATAGACAACTGGATTAGTGATCCCAAGGTTAAGCGCTCACTACGAGGCCCGAAGGTCCTGGATTCGACTCTCGGTGGGGCCACGAGTGGTCACTGCTGATTAGTCCCATACTAGAACTAAACGATTGCTCAGCACTTCTTGTTTTTCAGTGGTTGTTTAAGACCAGTCTGTGTTAAACACATTTATTTCGACAAAGGCTCTACTTACAATTCCTTTCAAATTATTGGCTTCAGTTTGGTGTAAAACTCGGTACAAATTCAGTGTTAATAATGATAATTCCACCCAACTAAAATTTGTAAGTTGATTATTTATCCTCCTTTTTTGTTCTTATCAAAAAATCCAGGAACAATTACTTCGTGATCTGTATTCATTCGCCGCTGAAGAAGAAAACTATTCACGCCTTATACTTAAGTACTTTGAATTACAAGAAAATTATTTATCGGATAGTTTACAGTTGGTTCAAAAAGTGATTTCCGATATATCTCAAACTATCAGTAAGTTGTCATTTTAATATACACTTCCTTTAAATTTTATCTTACTACACATATGCAACCGTCAACACATTATCGTTTTTCCCATATTTAAATTCAGGCGTACACAGTGAGTGAGCTATTGTTTCGACACTGTAATGGAATATAATAGTGCATGATAAAGCTTTGTCCACCCTATGCATTGTATCCTACTTACTAATAACTGATGTACTTTACTGAATTTTGATTAGTATATTCACTGTCACTCGAAAAGGGTGATGATGTGGAAAATGGGTGGTTGGTAAAACTAACTTCCTATTTTATGTAACTAAACAAATGCAAGAGTTCACTTTCCCTTTCAAAATCCTCCCATATGGCCATGCGTATATAGTCACTGCCTTCTTGCAATGGGAGTGTTGTTTACGAGATTGAGAGGACAGAAAGCGAATGTCCGGCACTTAGATCGCGTTGGTGAGTACGGAGGATCCATCTAGGGGAGTTGGAGATCCTTATTCCAACCCAGTGATGCACATAGGCTCCAGGATCCTGAGGGAACAAATGGCGTTTGAACCTATTGTTGGTCACCGGCTACCATGGAACGCATCTCTTAACGTCGTTCCACTGCATTGTGGATTATACCACTGAGTAAAAGGCTCGAGGAGTGGTCCTCTAATAAAACCAACTGTTTCGGTTTAGACACTTGGACAGTATGCTATCCCACACAGAAACTGAATGATAATTAAAAACTCAAAAGAATTATTCTCGTTTCAATTCCCTCATAAATTATGCTCAATTATTCGGTAACATTCGTTTTTATGTTACATTGCATCATTTGTCGATTCTTTTTCATCCCCACTTTGTATATTCCTTTATTTGTCAATTCATACATCAGCTCGCCAATAGTTAAAAACCTGTTCTGTTCAAACGATCTCAGGTCACTGGTCGTAAATCGTATGCTACCCCCGAATAGGAATTTTGAATCGGGCTTTCTGAAACTGCATATGCCATTCAAACTGGCCTCATTCAACGCTTGCATGCTAATGCAGATCGGACTACAGACATGATTGGCTGTCTTTAGAATTCCTTAACATAGATTTCTGCTATCTATCCGAGACCCATACTCAAGAATCTAGTAAAGTACTACAAATTCACACTCCATCTGACGCCCCGAAAAGCTTGGTATATGTGCGTTTATCCGTGGATCCTGTGACATATTCGTTCGGTTTTGCTGGTGTTAGTGTCGCACTAAGCACTAGAGCTTAGATGGCACTAATTTAAGTCCTCACTAACAGTCGATCATGTTTTGTTAGATTAGGAAGCTCCATCATAGCGGTAAGTCGATGAAAAATATAATGTATTCTCGTTATCTCTGCCTGCGCTCCGACCAATGGCAGTCCGGATGCAATCTAAAATCAGTTTTGCCACCAGTTAAGTGATTCTCAGAAAGTGCATTGTAGTCTTAGCTTGAAATTCGAATGCACAGGTCGGCCGTTTAGGCACAAGAGAGAGTCATTTTGGTGTCCGTTTATAAGTGTTTGTTTCTACAGGATCCTTGCAACTCATTGAGGCATGGTCTACTCCGGGTAACCGCTAATTTGACGATAAACGTGGTTCAAGGTTTTCATTCAGAATTCATATATACTAACAGTTGCTGATTAAAATTCAATTCTTGAATGTCAGCATTAGAGTAATAAAAATTTACAAATTCGTAAGCTGTAGTTTTACAGATCACAATTTGTATCTAACGTATATTATTTTAAATATCTAACTACTTTTTCCGAATTCTCTTACATACACTAAATAAATTTACAACATTTCCGCATATTTGCGCGGTTATTATTATTATTATTATTATTATTATTATTATTATAGCTGAAAAACAAATATGGTAATAAACATTTAATCTGAAACTTATTGTCAACATCAGGCACAAAATTAAACATTGAGCTCATATAAATAAAACCATAGTTTTGTTGTTAATTTTGTCATATCTTAATAATCGATGGTAATTTGTAGGTATCATTACCAAGGTCTGACTTGATAATTCCGAATAAATTGAGCATTGGGTAGATTGTTATAAATAAATTAATTGGAATATTACAAATATATTTTTTTATTTATAATAGGCGGTAATGTTTCGCGTTTTTTCATAACGTGTATTTGTGTTTGTGCGCCGTCATTGTGTAGTTGTATAATGTAAAATATATTTATACAAGCGAACCTGTCTTAAACTTACAATCATGTAATATGTTACCTATTCCATGACAAAATATTTTTTATGCATGTTTTCTGATCAGTTTGAATTTTATATATTAAGATTATAGTTTTTTTTCGATTAATTAAATACGAACTTAACTCGTATTTGTAATAAAAGTCTATTCACTATATAGCCAACTAAGTTATAACTCCTTGACATGCAAACAACGTAGTCTGATTATCAATAGCTGGTATTTTGTTGTGGTGATAGTTGAATATTACCCTAGCTTGGTTGAAATGCTTTTTTTTCTGATGTCTCGTTGTACCACCTACCCCATACTCCATGTCTGAATATTTTTTAAACAACTAACAGTTTATTGTGTCGTTAAGTTTTCTATTGAACCGAAATTTAGCCAACGTTATGCGCGCCATTATGAACGCTCAGTAAATGTGTTGCACATTGGACTTTGAATTTTTCTCTCGTTCATTTAGTATTCATTACATATTAAAGTGCAATTTTCACTATAACTGTCTCTTCATCCAGTATATTGTGCTGGGCTTCACTACCATGCCCAATCTAGATAGTTACAGATTCCTCTAGACGCTTTAAATGGAATCTTTAGTGAAAATTACACACCGATACTCAAAACGCCCTCTAAGTAATCAGAAGAATGGTTGAAAGTACCTTATACAACACACTTATTGAAGGTCGAGGTGGTTGTTGATGAACGTTGAAAAAAATAATTCTGACTCAGTTAAAAAATCCATAGTTGACGGCATCATTTACTAACAAAACATAATTTTTCAAAAAAAATTGATACACAAAATCAAAGGATACCTATTTATGTTACATAGAATAGATGGGATAAAACGGAAAGTGCATCCTATATTCTACCTCGAACTACATCCCATCTATCATATAATAACGTGTAACATAATGGCTTCACCAAGGCATTCCGTACGGGATATACAATACCAACTGAGACCGATCAAAGTTCAGCCAAATATATTAACAATTGGATAATCCAAAGCTGTAACAATTTTAATTTTCGTTATTTTTTTTTCATTTAATTCATGAACGATTAATGTTAAACCACCATTGGAAACCCAGAAGCATTGGATGACCGATTCTTCTTAGTACTGAACTCCTCAGCAATGTGCATCCATGATCCCACACCTAGGGTTTGAACGCAGGACCTTCTGTCTCGCACTCGATCGTTTAACCTCTAGGCCACTAAGTCGACATCCAACAGTGTTAATGTCTAACATCAATCAATCCATTATATTGCACGACCATCGACCATCCACTGTTTTCAAGTTTTCATTGGTACTCTAACATTGATCGGTCCATGAGATTCAACTGTCTTCACAACTCAAGAACGAAAAATTTTTGAACCTGAAATTTTATGTATTGTCATATCTGACTTGACATATATGCAACTGAATCGCATAATATTTTCCAGTTAGATAAAAGAACTTTTATCAAAATAATAAAAATCATTATTCGGAATCTTTTCAAATGTGAAAGCTTATGAATACATTATGGTATTCAGTGTCCACATATATTTTAGAACATTTCCTGTTTACTTATTTACATTTTCACTTGATCTTGTGATAGTTAGTCGAGGTATGGAAGGCGTAACTACTTGGTGATTAAAACATTTTGTTTTTTAACTTACCATAGCTGAATTTAAGTTTTGAACCCTTCCTTACTTCGATTACACGACTCAGTGTCATTGGATCTCATACTTAAATTACAAGTCAAAACTGAACATGTGAATTTGTACTTGATAAATGTGGGTTTTGTTAAATTATTAATTGTGGTAAATGCTAAGATAGGAAAATACCCTAGGAATTAAACTTCGCTTACTCCATAAGCTTATGCGTTTTCTTTTGTATCAAAAAGTTGGACAGTTAATATTTTGTGAAGATCTGTCACATTTCTTTTAAATGGGTTCGTTAGTGCCTGTTTTATCCTTCGATAACATATTTTTTTCAAACTTTCAATCTATCATTTCTATCTGTTAGATCGTTCTTTTTCCTTTTGATTGCTGTACAAGCCCGATACATTTATTTATCATTGGTTTTTTTTCTGGACTATAGGACTACAGAAATGTCTTACTACATTTGGCAGACATCTACCTGATCATTTAGCCGAGACTAAACGATCTATCGCCTATGTCCTAGACGTATGTATTAATTATTTGAATCAAGAATCTATCATGCAAGAAGAGGTAAGCTGAAATACTGCAGTAATTATTGCTAAATCATATCTTAAATGGTCCATGTCTTTTACGCGTTGTTCAAATGTTCATTAATTTATATGCTCCGTTATTCACAATATATATTACAAAGTGTATTTTCACCTAATTTATAAAATAAAGGTTAACTTTCTCGCTATTCTGAAACCATAACTCATATTTCGAATTTAAAAAAGCCCCATATTCTGTACTGATTGGTGGAGGCTTTTATTTACCAACCTTATTTTTTAATGATTAACTGTTCTGTCAGGGCTTTTATCAGTTATCAAAAATTATTATTACTATTATTACTAGTGGCGTTGGTGCAATATATAATTTTCAGCACAAAGTATTTCAGCGAGTTTCCGTTTCTTATTTCTTGATCGATATTAACGACAAATATTGAGTAATCTCCAGTTAGATGTTAGCAATTCAGAAATTGATATCTGAATAATTTTCTTTCTTTACAGTGTAAATTGTCAGCCACCACGATGTCTCAGATTGTACTTTTTTTTTAAACTTGTACAGCGAAAGGTCGTAAACTTTACGTAGATGCGCCTGAATAGTTTATGCGATTAATAGACATAATTATATATTAAAACAAACACAGATAACTTGTTGAAATACGTAGATGGTAGGAACAGGTTACCCAGATATTTAAACAGGCCGCCAAGGTTCTCTTCGTATCTGTCAATTATTTTTAGGCATTTAGCTTCAACCTATACATTTTTATGCAAAAACTAAATGATATTACGTATCTACCGAAGTGAGTGGAGCAAAATTTGAGTTCGAGGTTCAGCACTTAAAAGCCAAATGTTTCAATCATTAAATCGCTGCTGTATTTCTAATATTTTTATTACATTACAAAATTACCTGTTCGTAAAAATCCAGCCACTGAATGTTACAGGAAACTTCATATATATCATGTAATTTTATTGTTATTTTGTTTGAATTCATTAAAAAGACTGTTTTACGATTAATTAAGATTGCTTAATAATATGATCTTTGGGATGTATCATAGATATAATATACCATATTATCATCAGTCACCGTTAGAGATCTACAATATGTTTGTGTGCACAACGACATGACAGTGTGGCGGCTACTCTTCAACATATTCAAAGTACCGCTTATGATTAATAATATATTACGTCTTATTGCACTGTTCATTCAGTTTAGTTTAATTACGTTTAATTGAAATTTACTCTTACTTTAGACTAACTGAGATTAAGATCTCCTATAGGAGCAGGTGTTTTCATTTAACGGTTTATAGATTTTATTTACACTGATTGATCTGATCCCTACTGGATTGCTGTTAATTTCATATTTATTCTGTCATTATTTCTGATCGAGTGACATGATCAAGTTGCAAGAAATCTTGATCAAGGATTTTCTTTCAATCGCCTAAAACCAACCAGACATCAAAACATAGTTCATGCAGTGTTTGAGTCATTTAGATTAGTCGTCGTATACCAGTTTGGTACTACAAAACATGACATTGACTACTTCTCAGTCAGTGTAAATACTTCACTTATATACGCCAGCCGTATAGCTTACTACTAGCGCATCAATTTATAAAACTGAGTGGTCCAGTTTCAAATTTACCAGAGACTATCATTTCCCTCGATATTGCACGTACTCTGTGCTGACGAGTGCCAACGAATACAAAACCTAAATCTAAGGTTTCCTGTTGACCTAACTTCTTAACGTTTCTTATTCACGACCTCAGGACTTTCGGGTTCTATTCCTGTATATATAATGTCAAAAATTCTCCTATCTTAATTACATGTTCCGTTGTTTTTTTTTAGCTAGTATACTTGAACTATTACTACTTATTATCTCGATTTTAACCTTAATACTTCTTAAAATATTCCATTTGCCATCTTTATGATTAAGTTCTCAATGTTTTTTTCTAAACTACGCTAACATATATTTATATGTAATCACTTAGTCATTTACTTTAATGAATTTAACTAATTTACATCTAATACACATTGTGCTATTATTTAAGAGATTTAATGTGTCTTTTTTTCCAACAAAAAATGGAATAGATTTACACAAGTATTCATTATTCTTTAATTAATGTTCAACAAACTTATACACCATTGTTCGTTTACTGTAGATTTGAATTCTGAATGTTATTGTTGAATACTTAACATCCATTATTTTCTCTCTCTCATTAGTTATCATTTTGCATTGTGTATTCTGTCGATCAATAAATGTCAAAAAATAATGTCAAACATTTTTGTATGTCTGTATTTTTATATACATAGATTTTCATGTATCTATGATTGGTGGTATTGTTTCTATGTTAAGAAATTCTTATTCTACCTTAATGTAAGAATGTGAGTCGGTTCTGCCTTTAGATTATGTTGTATATACATGTATATGAATTGATTTTACAAAATGATACATCACATGAACATCATGTTAATTAGAACAGATTTCTCATAAAAATGTTTTATTAAGGTAAAACATTATTAAGAAAAAGTAAAATAAATCCGTTCACCTAAAAGTGAATTAACATATATGAATTTATCAGTAGCAATAGGCTAACAGAAAAGATTACTTAATCCTTACTAAAATTGTTGTGAACGAGAACACAGATTTGACCAGCCGAGTTATACCTCAATAGAAAATTACAGAGTTCTTTCGTAAAATGTGAAGACTATATGTTTAATCTTTTATTTGCAAATCCTTTATCAATTGTCTCAAACTTCACCATTCCTTTGTCACAACAATCACTCTCTGTTCCCGATCTCTTCGATTCGATTTTCCTAACCTTCTGTTTCCAGACATTCCACTTCTGGTTGGTGTTACATACTACTTATGTTTGTCGACATAAGTAACACACACCACAGAATGACCAGACTTAGGTGGTGATCGTCTTAAATGACTAGATGCAATCTTAATGCTAATTGATCACTGAATATAGTTAGTTAATCACTACTATTTTATCTAGACGGTTTTATTACTGATAAAATTCAGCAGATCCATCTTAGCCTGGAACTCCTCAGCAGTACTCATTCAGGACACTGCCATCGGGGATCATACTCCGAACCTTCGGTCTAGCGTCCGAATGCTTAACTTGTACACTACTGCATGTTCGTGCTCAAGACCAAAGGTCCTGGGTTCGACCCATAGTGTCAGTGTTGTGAATGCGCACTACTAAGGAGTCTTGTGCTTGAACCAATTAACTGTTCAGTGCTTCCAGGTTTTTGATGGCTATCTTACTTAAATTGGTCTGCGATCTCAATAGCACTTAACAACCTCGTCAATCCCCATACTTTCGATCGAATCATGTTTTCATTTGACCATTAAGTAGTTAATTGATGCAGCAGTTGGCAAGACTCATTTTTATCCTTAGTTTTGTAATTATTGATATTCACTAACGTTAGTACATATATATATAATATATTAGATTAGATTTCGAGATTTTTTATTGTATTTGAAAGAATAAAATATATTAGCACATCACATTGGCCACTTAATAGACGGTGTTTTGTTATATATTTCTATGTATAATCGTTTACTCATTTATTTGAATTAGAGTATAGAAAACGATTTTTACTGAAATATGTATTAAAATTAATGAAACTGAACATTTCTTAATGTCAACACTTACTATAATGTGAGTTCAACCATAATTATTACACTCATTACGACAAATGTTCGTACTTCTTTGTGTACAAATACCTCTCATTTATGCTATTTTTTTCCTTTTTAGAACTTCTTTGCAATTATAAACAGAACCAAAATATCTCTAACTTATTCAAACTAAAGCGCACTTTTCTGAATGAGGATCTCTTACTGTATACTATTAAGTATATTTATATAAATAAGTTTGTATTTCGTCGCCCGACCATAGGTGTTAATCCTGACATAACGGTCGGATTTGTATGTCATAATGACCCAGTCAAGCTATATTGTTTCTTTATGTCTTACCATACCACATAGCTCGGTTAGAGACTAAAAGCAGCAATTTAAGTTCTGAACGTGAGGTATTCATGATTGGAAACAGACCTATTTGTGTATTTAGCTGAATATCTATCATAAATAAATAAAATTAACATGTCTTGTAAACTACCGCTATTCGGATTAGTCAAGTTCATGTGTTCAAAAACAAATTGATGTCTTTAGAAAAAATGTGTTTAATGGTTTAATGATGTTATACCAATAGGTTATATAGAATTTACAACATAACATACTTTACTTTTTAACCTACATAGTCTGTCGACACGAAAGTATATACGATTTGATTATTAATACTATTATTATTATTATTGTTATTATTATTATTAATACTATTTTTATCTAAGTGCTATTGTATAATGTGGGTCGCCATATTTTATATCTACCTTAAGTTTTTTGTACAGTTTTCTTGATAATTCCTTAATGTTTATTCTAACAGTCATAATGTTATTCATATATAAACTTACATCAAATTTTTTTATTACTTAAATTAAAATTTTATTATTATTATTATTTCAGTGAGACAATATTGAAGCACGCATTAATATGTTATCTCTTTTTATTATGGTTATCACTCATCTATGTCTATCCAAGTTATCTAAACAACACAAAGCCTGGTATATTTGTTTGTTTGTTATTTTTTCTGTATTGTTATCGTATTAATCCTGATAATTGGTTAGACAATAAACTTTGAACCTGTCATATGAATGATACCTTGTCATTTAGTACTAATTACTGTTAATGAACACCTAATTAGAAGAAAGTGAGTGTATCAAGAGAAAATGTAAAACTAATCTCAGCTTCACTAGTGCCATACAAACCAGTATTCAGTGTTACCTTAGCTGTATCAAGGTGGTTACATACTATTCAATGGTAATTTTTACTGAATTTATATGGAACTGTTAATTGACATTGGATTCCAGTTAACCAATATTAGTAGATCGTAATCATATATGTTATCTGATTGATTGAGTTTTTCATTTTCAATTCATTGGAATAAAGTATCATAAACAGATTAATCTTTTCAAATAGAATAACTCCTTTGTTCAACTGCTCATCTGCAATTAGGGCCAGATGACTTATCGCCCATGTTAGTCGATCGTTTTCAATCCGTCTGACTATTCAGGAGTTCCATATTTCGAGTAAACAATTGTCTGTGAATATCTACACAACAACCAGTCACTTCCTAAAATATTTATAATCTTTAAGAACTTATTTTGATTTCAATATGTGATTACTGATGTTATATGGTGTCGATTTTCAATCGATCAGTGCCAATAAGGTGGTAATGTTTATTTGTTGTATTTTTACATTCGGGAATTTCTCGTTTGATACTGGAACGTCTACTGATATAGATCTTAGATTTCAATAAACTAATTCATTGGTATATGGCTTTTCTATATATCCATTATTTGTTTGTATGCTGTATCTTATATTATTAGTGTTATTCTATTATTTTTAAATTAAAACACAGATACATGAACGAAGAATATTCTTTTCAATAATTTCTCATCAGGTTCTACAATTATAAATCCAAATTAATAATCCATAAAATTGGCGAGATTTAAGGCAGAGTACATCATTTAAATTTGTAACATGTGAATCCTGTTATTTGTTTCAGGGTCTTTTTCGAAAGTCTGGATCCCAAAAACGGACAGACCTCTTAGTAGTAAGTAAAAATACTCATTGTAGACTATAAAAACGTTTACAAGTAATAATATTGTGGACATTTCCTATGATTACCTATGTATTTCCTTATAAAAAATTATAATAATCATGACAATAATATTGATAATAGCTCTATCCTGTGCTATAAATTTCGTGTACAGTGAAGAATTTTCAGCACTAGTTGTGCGACGTTACAACAAATATCTTTTAAATATACATTCAAATAGTAATTATTCAAAACACTTTTTAAAAATCTTTTTCTGCAGTCATTATCTGTCATCAGTATTCAACCAACCATTAGCACTTTCTATCAGTTCAGCTGCTACAAGCATTTTCCATGAATTGAAATCTATCTTTCATTTCGGCATGGTGTTTAGGTTTTATTTCTCCAACATTTAGTATCTCAAAAAATAAAACACTTGATGTGATATAAATTTATTTGAAATCATGAATTTATCATTATCAGACCACCACCGAAAAGCTGGAACCACTGGACAACCGCTTCATCCTAGTATGAGACTCTCCAGGAGTGCTCATTCACAATCCTTCACAAGGAATTCGAAATCAAGATCTTTCGGTCTTGCACGCGCACGCCTAACCTCTAGACCACTGAGCCGACAAAACGGTATTTTCGATACCTTACCTTTCCTTTTACCACTGATACTATTACTACCTCTGCCATTCACAGATTTAGCCTGCCAATTTCATCTATTTGTACTAATGGTCTATGGCAACTTGAGCTGACGTACGTACGTGCTAGGCTCTACGTTGTGACTGGCTGCTTCTTACATTATTAAACGTTTTGAATTGAAATCTCATAGGAAGGACATATTTTTTCGTTATAACAATTTGAAAATTACTCGTAGGTTCATTATTAGTCTATATCTCATGTTCGACATCTCATTATTAGTTCCGTTAACCTTAAAAACTGGTAAATAAAAGTTGAATACTATTTTTCTTAACACTATTTCACATGCGTAGCGGTTGGGTTGAGGTTAGTTAAGTAATGCCACAAAAATTATGTACGTACGTAACGGGTTCCCTAGTAAGACATTTATCTTTTCAATTTTTTAAACTTAGATGTAGGTTGATACTTAAGTTGTAATACAGCGCTTTGAAGTCGATAGTTTACACCACTGTATCATATTTATGCAATCTATCCACCTTAAATTTGCTTGTTTTGTTAAGAGGTGTTTCATGTCAGGCGGTTAAAGGTGGGCAGGAAACCCTGTTTCATGCACTTTTCAGAAAGGCGAACCGGTTGTCTTAGGAGAATCGGTGCTCTCTGTGGCATTTTTATCCTCATTATCCAGCTTCACAGTCTGAGATTTTATAATTGACTGTTTGGGCTGCGACTTATCTTTAATGATACTGAGATACTTACGATTGATTGATCACTAAGTGATCATCAATGTCCTGCCGATTGATATCTTTACACAGTACAAGATATGTTGATTTACTTATACTAGTTGCGACATTGCAAGTCCGTCGACAGGATATCAGTTGACAAACATGGTATTTATCACTATTCAGCGACCAATCAATTATAGAACGTGATTTTCATGATATGTTCAGATCATCAAGTTAGAATTCATTGGTTTATCTTTTCGATTTTGAGAAATTCTTCTATGATAATATCTTTGTCATTCATTCCTCTCATTTCTGCTACGATGAATAGTTATCTCTAATCGTGTTTCATTTTGGATTTTCACAGTTCAGCTGTGATAATGATTTTGATAATAGTCCCCAAATGCCCTGGTACGGCCGAAGGTGAGGAGACTCTGCTCTCCCACTCGAAATGCTCTCACATGGCTACGCGTATACAGCCACTGCCAAGGAAGTCCTACTTACTGCGTTCTCGCAGATGGGCTGATAATTACAAATTGAGAGGACGTAACGCGAATGTCCGTCGCCTAAACCGGGTTGGTGGATATGAACATATCGACATTTTCTGTACATTACTTTGTTATTAATAATATTTTTATTGTTAATAACATTTTTTATATCATTATTCAGAAAGCTTTAAATATCATGCAAATCGATGAACATTTACTTAGAAAATGTGACTGTGCTGTTGTTGCTGCTGCTTTGAAACAATATTTGCTTAGTCTTCCTGAACCATTAATCACTTATGATTTCGCTGATCAATGGGCTGCTGCTTCTAAAAAGTAACTTCCTTTTCTGGATAAAATATTTCATTCAGAAACACCTTATTTTTTATTGTAAGAAGAAAAGATGTGTTGCGTTTAATGAATGATCATATTTTTCTCTCAAATTGTGAATATTTTTTGGTTTGTGTATTCCTGGATGATGACTGCGTTATGTCATCGACGTATAGTATTAATGATACGCCAATGATCGTTATTAGAAATTTGGATTAGATAAAGTTTTATACAACATGCATCGTAAATTTCTGCTTATCTCGCCAGTCATTTTATGTTATCTATGAAGACATTTAACAGATATGTCCATATTTTTATATGCTACTTACAAAATCAAAAGTAGCATTTTGATGACATTTTTTCAGTATTTATATTACTAGGTAAAAATTGGGTCTGTTAGTCAGGTTTCAAATCTTTTTAGCGAATGAGTGACCTCCAAATTCACTTTTTTTCAACCGGTTATTTATTCAGTGATATTGAATCAAGTTTGATTTTTGTGTAAAGGTATATCACCTTGCTCGAAGAGAAACCTATTCTGCCAGTTGCTCTTTTCATAACTTGAATAGCTATCAGTCAATCGTATTGTTTGGTTGCTTATCATCTATTAGTAAGCATTCTGTTTGTCAGTTAATTAATCATAAAACTTGCTCACCATTATTAAAATATTTTCTGTGAAGAACTCACATAAGATTACTAATATAAAGACGTTTTTTGTTAATTCTTATTCTGTTAAATTGGAGAACTACTAGATATAAGATACTCCTATGAGTTTGTTTTGTTCTAATTCGACAAACCTCAATAGCATTCATCCATCACAACCGTACACGGGTTGGGATTTTAGTACGGCTTCGACAACTTAGTCATAGGATGATCTTGGAGGTTGCTTGTTCCGAGAAAATCGGAACTCGATTTATTTCGCGAATTCATTTCTCAATACGTTATACATTATATACCTTCTTTAAAACTGTAACCACCTCATAGTTTATTCGTTAGTACTTTTCTGATCTTTGAGATAATTTTATATTCAGATGGCTATGTTTTTTTCTTCTGGGCAATTTAACTAAACAGACGAACTCGTTTTCCCATGATTATCTACATTTTAGTTTTCCTGTTTTGAATCCGAAAATTATTCGATACGGAAACTGATTCATCTTTGTTTGGGGACCCTTTCATAATGATAAATAGTTGCTTAAAAGAAATCACATGGCTCCCGATATTTTGGTGCTTACTCTCGTAATGATTGTATCAAAATTTCACAGTACAGTAAAAATATCGATCAATTAATCATACTGCGGATGATCCCGACGTGTCTGCCAAAATAGCTCTAGTGATTACTTAAGTTTTTATTACCTCATTGCATTATAAGTTGAGTTATTTGTTTGGATTTCAAATTTAAATACTCATGTTCACAATCACTGGAGAGGGATTTTTTCAATAACCCAACTTCCTTTCAATAGGTTCTCACTAAAATTATTCATGCTTAGGTAAAAAAAATTAACACTAGTTCGATATAATACCTTTTTCAATCGTAGTCAATTCTCGCATACAATTAGAAATAGTTTAGTTGTATTTACTATCACTATTTTAACACACAAATCATTCATTCTGTCTTTTCCTCTTTTAATTATAGACCGAATTCAGCAGCGGTTAATTTACAGTTAATTCATAGTTGCCTTGAAAAAATGCCTAAGGAGTTTCGTTTAAATTTAGGCTATTTAATGTGCTTCTTGCATAAATTGTCTAGTCAATCAGATGTGAATAAAATGACTTCTGATAATTTATCAATAGTGATTGCACCAAACGTGTATAGACTTTCATACTGTTCCATGGGTACTGGTAATAATATTGCCAATGGCAGTTCAGTACGACAAATTGAAGATTTGTAAGCAATTGTCTTTATTTTTGTCTGAATGAATTTTTGAATTTATTTTTGCTAATCCAGTTATTATGCGTCAATCTCAATATTAATCCTTACATCATGGCATAGTATATTTTCTTAATGGTCCACTACTTTTATTTGTAAAGGTTTTGTGTGTTTTTTTGCATTGTCGACATTCAAGACTACTGAGAGTGATTAGTCTATTTTGTTCTGGCGGAAAACCGTAAACTTCTTGAACATATTAGTGTCTATCATAACTTTAAGGCTTATAAATGGTAAACATCCTAATATTTGAAAGTTCTAATCTAATTATGATTCTCTAAAAACTAACCCTAGCAACAATGTCACATTATTGAGGGATATTCACTCCAGTTTTCATGATCATGCTCGTATTCATGATTAGCTATCACTATCATGGTTCTACACAGCTAACTTACAAACTGGGAAGAAATACCCTCTCATTGCTCCTTGATTCTCATTGCTACACCATCTACTACCAATCTATGACGAATACAATCTACTAATTTGACCAATCACCATTAAACCAAACTACAATTTATCGTAATTTTAAACAAATAACTTCTATTTCAAGTTTTGTTAGATCGTTAAGTTGATTAGTTTATTAGTTAGACTGATTAGTCAGGCTGCATAAATGATAATAAATTCATTGATTAGGGGCCTATAAAACGACAACACATTCTGTCGTACTGTAAATAATACAGAATTCTTTTAGGTCATAAGTGTGATTGGTCATAGTCTCGTTATTTAAGGTCAGCGTAACTATGCAGCCTAAAATACGATATATATATCATTTTAGTCTTACAATGTAACTCACATAAAAATGATTTCCATTTCATTTTTGTGATTAAGTTTCTGTTTACAATTTATGCGTACATTTTTGTTGATTTTGTGTATATAATTAGTCAACTTGATTTCTTACTTTCCAGTTAAATTGTTATTTATCATAGTCCATTCATCTGAGTACTGAAAATATTGTTTTGTTCTACCATACATAACTTATAAATTTTAGTGACTATATGACTTCTGTTTAATTGGAGTAACAATATTTTATGAGTAAAGTTGTTATTCTCATCTTCCTTTAAGGGTTGGATAATGGTTAGCAATGAAATCCATACTATGCATTTGCTCTTACTCCGGGTTTTCCAGTTGGATGTTCCTACATTTCAGTGGTAATATTCATATTGGGATTCGAACCCAGTACCCATACACATAAAGTGCATATTTCTTCTTACCATAGTGACGTTATCGTCAGTTTACCTCATCATTCTTCTAACTCTTTCTCGTATTGCCAATAATTTCATTTCTAATTGACTGATGTTAATTCATGTTGCTTCTACTAGCCTATTAATGTGTGTTTAGTTACTTCATTGTGTAATCAGGTATTTTTTTAGCTTTGTGGTCTCTTATTACCATATTTGCTGATCCAGACTCCTCTCTCACATATTCTATTTACTTACAACAGTACATTTCTTCAATTTCATCAGTCAGTCAGTCGGAGGTTGATTATGAATACAGTGGTCTTGAGTGCTATTAGAGGTATGAGGGCGGTTATCACTTCCCGGTTGCCCACACCGTGGAAGGGTTGTTCTGGAGGTACCTGAAAAGGAGATTGGATTAGAGGTGATCTTAGTGACCTGGTAGCGTGACCGCCGTGCCCAAGGGACAACTGCTTGAGGTCGGTCACACACGACCTTTTTATGGGTAATTTTTGTGTTAGCTCCATACTTGTTGAGACCTTACCGCTGGAGACGGATATCCGTGGGATAAGGCGAGGTGTGCATTCATAGAGTCGACTTTTTCTAACCTTACCCCTCCTTGTGGGAAGGCAGCATCGCTGTTATGCTGGTTGTCTGAAGGAAACACCTCACTGTTGTCACACCTCTGTACAGTCAGCAATACGACTTCGCCTTCGGACCTTGGGTTTGTTGCTTTTAGTCTTACCGCTCTTCAGCCGACCTGTCTGACATGGTAGGACCTTGAGGAACGGTTGTTCCAGCCAGTATAGCTCGGTTGCTTCATCACGATAGGCAAGCCCGACCACCACGTCAAGTTAGCAACAACAATCGGGTTCAATTTCATTACCTTCATTGGAATCACCATTCCACCATGATACATAACAACATCTAACAAATTTCACTGTTATTCGTCTGTTAATAATTTTGATTTTAAAATAAACGTAAACAGCTGATGAGATGCTAACAAAATAAAATGAATTCATGTTATTGTACTCGATTGTTTGTTTCTGCTCACTTCACAATTAAAAAAAGTGGAACTAAGTTTATGATATTTTAACTAATCTATTTTTACAAATTCGTTGCATCATTGTTACTTTTTCTAATTGTTCTTTTCTTGAAAACTGTTGATTTACTGGAGTTTAAGTTTTTAATTTAGAAATAAATTAAGAATTGGATGGATATTCCTTGTGGTAATAAAACTTATACAGTCACAATATGTAAGAATTCAATTTTCCACCCATTGGAATATTACAAATACATCATTATTTTATCGTTTATTGACTGTTAATATTAATGAAATGTTATAACATTATATTCAATTACTTTTATTATTTTTGTATTCAGAGGAAAATCTTTAGATTTCTTACAAAGCAATGGTCCAGGAATTCATTTAGTAGATATTCTTATCCAAAATGCAGAACAGTTATTTGGTCAAGAGCAAGGTAACGACTGATTTGGTACATTACTTCATAGATAACTTTGTAGTTTTACAATCATGAATTAACCTAATTGATTATGAAGTTTGGAGTTTCACTACCTGATCTAACTTCGGTTAGAAAATATTAAAACTAGGCGACAGCAGATAACTGTTTTACCATAGTATTGGATTCATCTATTCAGTACACATTCACAGCCTTACTGGGGATTAAACCCATGACCTTCAAATCTGACAGCAATTATGTATTAGAGATTGTTAGTGCTGATTTTAATGATTTAAACGATTGGAATCAATATTTCTTACATCATCTGAAGGAATACGAAGATTATAAAGCACTAGACAGTCGCTTAATCTATCTCTGTTCGTTCTTTACTTTTCATCAAGATATATCCCTAATTCTCTTTACAGTAATCAATTATAAAAGATATTCCAAGTATGTACATTAACGTTGTACGGACTCTCTACCCTAACACTATTGGTCGAATCTAAGCTGAATATATATTACCTATTAATTGTTGTAATCATTGACTGAAATATTAGTTTATGTTTGAGTCCACACTGGCCCGTATCAAATTTTTTTTACCTAATATTTTATTCATATTGTTCACTATAGATTATCGTACAATTTTCTTTCTAATTAATTTTAGTTAACCTTTTTCTATTGATCACATTAGTCAACACACTGAATGTATGGTGTGTTATTTTTAATGTATTAACTTAATTAAAAATGAAATTTCTTCACGTTTACAACGTAGAGTGTTTGTCCACATCTTTTTCGATTACTTTCTGCACGACAGCCTCGTTTCGTGTAACTCATGTTCCACCTAATTTCGGAATAAAAGTTTCTTCACAGTGTCCATCTACTACTGGTTCTGTACCTTCATTGAAGTCATCGAATTCCGGCACTGGTGTTTCTCATGGATTTGATAGCAGTACCATAGCATTAAATGAACAATCATCTCAGAATGCTAACCAATTAATTGCTCCCAGAAAATCTGTTGGTGTTGATCATGATTCTGGTGTTTCTACTTCTCATTCAACTCAGTCTGCTATAACTTCCAGGTAATAGATTACCTTAATAAGTTATTTCGTTCTAAAAATATTTCTTTTCCATTCTGACTTGTATATTCTTGTTATTAGTTGTCTATAAAATCTTTGTTGAAGGATGTCAATCTACGGTCCTTGTATGATTATTGACTGAACTTATGTAGAAATCACAGTGAATTTCACCGGATGATGCGAATCTGAAAGTGTAGTTGCTCCTTTCCATCCCAAAATAATTTATGTCTTACTGAGCTGCGGAAATATCAGTTAATAACATCTGATCTCTTATTATTTATCGAAATTACAATTCTCCATATATCTCTCTAACCAACCTATGATTGCAATTGTTATATGGTTCAATGATTCACACTAATTCAACGATAGGTCTTTTAGTACAATCAATCAAGATCGTAAGTGAGCAAACGTCTACACCTTATTGATCTATGATCTAAAATGTTGTTATCTAACGTTAAACTATTATTATATCTGCACCTACTACTGATGATTAGCTTTATACGATTCACTCATTGTCAGGTATTTAATTTTTGCTTATATGTGCTCTTTCATGCATTCTACATTGATTAACAATATTTATGAGCTAAATTACAATCCTATTTGCTAATATGTAATCGACTTAAATAAAGCTATTTTATCTCAGTAAGCTAACAGTTGAAAATCAGATGATTAATGTGTACCTTCTAAATGTTACTTTGTGTGACATTTGTTACATGTATCACTTGTTAGATTTGTAGTGAACAAGAACACCCGTGGGAATAACCGAATGTATTTAACACAAAATTACAGGACTTGTTAATAAAATCTAACAATCATAAAATAAATTCTTAATTTGCAAAATGTCTACCAACTGTCTCAAAATGACTCAGACTTTATTGTTCTTGCATTTTCATACAAATTTCATCTGTTCCCATTCTTTACTGTTCGATCCTCTTATCTCTCTTCTGCCAGACCTTCTGTTTACGACTAACATCACATTCTACCGATGTCAATATAAGTAGCATATACCACAAATTAACCAAATAACATAATGTCCTCAATACACATAATAATAATAATAATAATTTATATTCTGAAAATAATAATTACAGAATTCACGCCAGTTTACAGGCATGATCAATGCATCAGCCGGGAATTTTTAATATTTCCTAAATGGACAACCTGCTGATTTATTAACGGAGTAATTAAGGTCGATTTGTGTGCCAGATCGAATTAATGATAATTATCTACAACTAAAGAAATTAAAACGAAAACACAGAGCACGGAAAAACAAAGCAGTAATTACCAAAATATATGAATCAGGTCTACCTAAATGCGTGTGTCATGTGACACAGTGATATGCTGTTTATGTTATTCAAATTAGTTAAACTTGCTAGGGACAGTGTTAACATATTGACAGCAAGTGGGTGGTTTTACTTAGGGGATTCACTAATAAAGATGGCTAAACATTAAAGTTCCTAAAAGATCACTTGTGGAATGAGATACACTTGCAGGTGCTAGACCATTCAATGCATTTTCAGAGAAGCAGTGTGCATCGATGCAGCGAACAAATAATGGGAGTGATTTTATCGTGTGGATAGATTGTGGTAGTTTATTCCATACTCTAGAAAATTTACAAGTGAAGTAATTCATATAAAGAGATGATTTAGAATGAGTTTGTTTCACTAGTGCCAAGGAATTACGGATGTCATAATGAGAAGTTTCTGCATATTGAATTTCGTGATTGGATGTAAACGATGGTTTATATGCAATTTTGCATATTTTTCAGCTCATGTGAAGAAAACGAATACACTACTTTAAGATCATCTGCGTATAGAAGGGGCTTACCGACACAAAAACTTTCACAAATATCATTGATAAACACTAAAAAGAGCAAAGGACCTAAGACACTACCTTGTATTACACCACTTCTAACAGGGACAGCGTTAGACAATGAATGTACTAAATTTATCCTCTGAGTACAAGTGTGAGTGTAGGAAAATTCTTGCTTCATGACAGTGGGCTACATGAAAAAGAATTCTAATATTTTCCTACATCTGAAAAGCTGGAATTGTTCGATCACTGTCCTCATCGACTAGTTATGTACTCACTTTGAAAATCTAGAGTACCATGACATTTCAAACAATGAAAGTTCTTGTCTTAATGGATGAAATGTGAAAAGATTTACTAGTCTCAAAATCAAAGTTATTTAGTTAAAACTGTACAACAGTTTAGTCCTAATAATTGTAGTGTTGTAAGTAATCGATAATTATAATTGTGGGATATAGCGTTTCACTCGTAAATGTAAAATTGATAGATTGGTTTTTAAGAGAGAAGTGACTTGTCTTAAAATATAAATAGGCGAATTTTATTATTATATTTTTGGTACAATATCGAATTTTCAGCACAAAGTATTTCAGCGAGTTTCCGTTTCTTATTTCTTGATCGATATTAACGACAAATATTGGGTAATCTCCAGTTAGATGTTAACAATTCAGGAATTGATATCTGAATAATTTTCTTTCTTTACAGTGTAAATTGTCAGCCACCACGATGTCTCAGATTGTACTTTTTTAAAACTTGTACAGCGAAAGGTCGTAAACTTTACGTAGATGCGCCTGAATAGTTTATGCGATTAACAGACATAATTATATATTAAAACAAACACAGATAACTTGTTGAAATACTTAGATGGTAGGAACATTTCGAGATATTCAAGAAGATTAGCTTCAAGTTGTTAGAATAACTTCAATGTACATTCAAATACATAAAGAACTTAAAAAGTTCCTGTGAGACGACTGCTTTAAAATATTCCCTTATACTGTTCAATTTATGGCAGAATGAAATCCTGAAAATAATTATTATTGATGATTTAGAGACAGGGAACTTTATTTTCGACAATGTTATTTCCACGACTTGTGAATTCGTATTTTAGTTTCTAAACGAAGTGCTTATGCCTCTGCAGCGAACTTATCTATAAGATATTGTAGTGTAGTTGGATTTATAGTAAAAGCTAACTAATTTAAACATTTTTGCTTGTCAGCTGTAAATCTGAGTATTATTTTAACTGGAAAAATAATTCTTAATAATCATATGTTAATGCTAATAATAATTGCATCAGATTTACCAAATAGGTTCTATATGCCCATCTAATCATTATTCAATGAAACCTGCTTATTTGATTCTAATTATTACAGAGATTAATAAGCTGCAGAATAGTTCATTTAGTTTTGCAAGAGCGCACAAAATGTTTTGGGGAATACATGTAATGATGAATATCGTTTATGACCTTTTTAATTTTAAATTTAAGGCATTTGAAATTCATTGGACGTGAAATTCACCAAACACGTCTCAAGCACTCTCCAAACATTTCTCTCAAGTGATTATCCCATAGGTGTTCAAAATAGACATACGAAATAAAATGACCAGAGTAACAACAATAACAAATTGTTACCATATTCGAATAATTACAGTATTTTATTTGAAAGTTGACTCTTCATTAGGCGTCTAGAAAACTACGTTTTTGATTGATTGTATAGGCAAAGGGACAGAAGACGAATCGGACAGATTTCATAACCTTAAAATGTTATTCCCTCTTTCAACGGTCAACTTTTCGATGGTTGCTCTTTTTAATAGTGGTCTTCAATAATACGTACTTTATTTCTCGTATCTTTTAGGATAGATACGTGTCCTAGTTTAAAGAATATCCAGTAATTCGTAGACTGCATGCTGTTGAAGTCTAAGGATGTGATGCTCAATAGATTCAGTTATTTCTCTTTTTCTGTTTTTTAATAAATCACTCACGTGATTGGTCCAATCTAACCTTAGTATATGATTCATACAAATTATGTAATCACTGTTTCATTAATACCCACTATTTTATTGCAATTTGTTTGGGTGGGTTCTGTCGATAATGCCTCTTTTTCATTGGTTGGTTTTAATAGTAGGTTTATAAGTTGCTGTCTCAGTTGGTTCATTTATTTGGAAAAATGTATTCTCCAAGTAACAAACTTTAATTGGTAGTGAATAAGACAAGTAATGGTGTTTAACTTTTGTTAGTGGGCTAACTGTTCAATAATGAAAATGATAATTGTCGACGATATACAAGGCTTAACACAAGTTAATGCTGAACTCTTGTCCAAACATGTTTAACAATTAGTTATATGTATAATGACAATTCAAGTCATTTGATGTGGTATGCCAACAAAATTTAAAATGTGTATGTGTGTAGCGAATAAATTGGATCATGACATAATCATCAGCTTCATATGAAGAGATTAATCATGTGAACCAATTCAGCGACAGTAAGTAGTAGGATAGTGTGTTGTAATGTCACTTAAAATGAATTGGATTTATATATATTGTTTAACTGTCCAAAGAGTTCACTTGATCCACCACGTTTCATAGTCTTACTCTACTTAAAAGCAACATTTGAACGTGTTTGAACAAGTGATTATTTCAAATACTGATCATCATTACTAGACGATTGCAAGAAATGATACTGAAATTAAAAGAATAGTCATTTTTATTATCATCTATTGTGTAGACACGAGATTAAGGTTTTTCCGTTATGTATAGTTATTTTTAGATTATCCCATCATGATTAAATTCGTATATGAGATAAATGTCAACTGAGTCACTAGACGTATAAATGATATAAAAAATAAAAAGCATTTGAGACTGTTCATTTGTCAACTGTTGCATAGATGAAATATGTATAATGTCAAGATGTATAAAATCTCTTTGGTAATACACTGTACATACAAAGTAATTAAATAGGATTAGAAAGTTCACTCTTACTAAGCGCAAGTTTATCGTGATCATATTTACTAGTTTGCCCAAATGTAAATTAACCTAATCAGCTAAAATTGAAGATAACCACTTTTTAAAGCTAAGTATGATAGATATATCCTTTATCTACAACATTCAAGCCAGGAACAATTAAATGATTCACGCGAGACCGAAAGTCCTGGGTTTGAGTCTCATGTATGTGATTGTGGATGAATACTTCTGAAGAGTCCTGTTCCAGGACGATACGTTCGGACTATCCTTCCAGGTTTTCAATGGCGGTCTAACGTTGATTGTTTCATGAATTCAATGAAATAATTTGAAAAATGTTGGTGTTCCAGTGAAGAAAATGTTGTGCCGGACAATGACATTTTCTTAAACTGTACAACCGTAATTATACAAAATTTTACCTTGTGTCATGTAAAGTGTAATATAATACTCAGTTGTAAGTTGTTATTAATTTCATCACAAATTTAATTCTCAATTCTCATTTCGTTACAACGCCGAATGAATCATTTACCGTAACATGTCCTTCAGATTGTACGCACATATTTCGTTAACGTCACTAGTTTAAATTCAGTGGTGAAATGAGGTGTCAGTAACGTATGAACAAAAATATAAAAATCATGTCAAACAGAGAATTAATACAACCGCAGTTGTATCAGACGTAGAATAGCTTATATTTACTGTCTGATACAGGTCAACTGCTTAACATTGGAAATAGTTTTATCTGTCTAGGAAACATACTGATCACAATTAAAACAACAAATTATGTAAAGGTCATTAATGCGGAAATTCATACTTATTATTAGGCAATTATACTTGATATTTTCTATACTATATGTGGTACGCACTTAGTAAAAAGCTTTTACATAGCTATTTCTATTTATTGACCGGACTATTGTTAATACATTGAATGAAAAAAAGGCTGGAGTATTAAATCAGTTTGTTGAGGAGAGCCTAGAAAGGGTCATTTTGCGTTCTTATTGAACTCTTGTTGATATCTACAATGAAATATATCGTTAAGTGTGGTATCCACGTACAGAACCCATAACTATTTATCATAACCGTAGAATTCTCCACACAGGAGGTCACCTCCAGCGGTCCTTGCAGAACAGACTAGATGACTGAATATGCTTCATCTTGAACATCTGATCCGTTCACCAAGACAGCTTTCGACTCTTGGCGGTCGGAGCAAACAACATTTACCACAAATATCAACATTGTCATCGTTAGATTCTCCACTAAATGTAGGGATTTCATAGTTCACTCACATATATACGTTCGCTTCACCTTTGTCTGCATTGCTATTACTGGATATAGGAAAATACAGATCTACATTTCGAAACCATCATTTTTACTGTTGATTTCTTCCATTTCTTGGTCTACGGAAATGGATAGTGTTTCGCTAGTGTTGTTACACAAATGGTCAATTGTACCAAACAGAAATTGTGAATAAAGTTCAGGAATTGATTTTGGATCAACGGGTGCAGCGACTGAACTAGATAAGTTATGTAACATGTAGTTGACTACTAGCCAAAATTCTTGATAATTTATTAATATTTGACTGATATGTTTTATTTTATCATTTGTAGTTGGCTGCCGTTGGACTACTGTGTCTGGTATTCGTTGTTGTAATTCATTAGGGTTTAAATACTCGCTGAACTAAACCCATCGTTTTCTATAAGAACTAGTTTGGCTGATCAGTTCATTGAACTGAAGAGCTTAGTTGATAAGACGTCGACTTAATAACGTCATTTTACATCTAGAAGAGTAATTGTATCCCATAACATCCGTATCTACAGTATACCTCCCGTGTTATCTATAGCTGTAAAGGTATTTTCTGATAACCTGGTCGTTTGACAAACTTCTGTACACATTTCAATTTTCAGCAACTGACATGCTTTTGAACTGATACGGCTTTTTACATCTAGTAATTCGGGACTGGTGTATAACACGACTTTCCTAGACATTTCTTTCTTTATTTCATGCAAACTAGCATTTAGCAAGTTGTCGCTTCTTGAAAATAGATTGGGCGCAGAACCCAAAATCGGACATTTACAATTGAGTTTGTACATTTTCATTATCCTGTGCGTTGATTTCACAAAGTTCGTGTTATTCTACGTTAACAGCATTCCTCTTGATTTGAACTGTCTGGTCTACTTTTCTTTTTTGTGAGCAAGTTTGCTTTATAAATACTTGACAAATATTAGACTCTTCTGGAATATCATTTAAGTAACAGTGGAATCTACACAAATTTATCTATTAGAGTAGTTTTACATTTGCCGTTCAGCGTTTTACGTATACATAAAACAAAGTTGAAATGTCTCGGAAGAAATATTCTATGAGTAAGTTATTAGTTAAACGCAGTAATCGTTCCCGCCGAAAAAAATTGAGTATTATATATATTTGACACAATATATGATTCACTTCCGTAAAGTCCGTAGATTTTTTATGCCAGGACTATCGTTACTAATGAAAGATCTACCAGGTATCCATCCAAAAACACTGTCTCGAAAGACTAAGAACCTGGTAATCAGCTCAGAAGTTTCTCTGGCATATGTATATAGTATTTGAGTGAGTATATTTAGTTTTTTTCCTACTCGTGTCATTTTTTTCGCAGCATTAGATTACCTTTTTCGTTGTTGTTTGATTTGGTTTATGTGTCTTACAAGGATGTCAAATTTAAGTACTACTCCTATACTTCAACGAAAGAAAAATGCTGCTCCAAAACCACCAGTTCTTTTAAATCCAACCAATTATTCAATAACTCATGTGAATAGTAATGATCCTGAAAAATCAGAAAATCCCTCTGGCACTGGCATAGAAAACAAAAATAATGGTGATAGTAACAACATTTGCAGTAGTAATAATTCAGAAGTATTAATTCATCATTCTCATCATGAAAGTCTTCCACAAATTATAAGTAGCTCAACCACAAACTGCACAGAATTAACAACCATTAATCATAATCAAAAATTGTCATTGCCATCACAAATGATCACACCACCAACTATTCATGAATCGAAACTGAATAAAGATCTACCACCTAAACGACCCCCACCACCTGATGCTAATTCTAAGTCGAATAATTCTACATTAGAATTAGATACTGATAATGTAACTGTTATGTAGAATAATCGATTTGTGTTCAACTCTAAGTGTGCTTGTTTTTTTTTCTACTCAACAGAAATTATTATCCATATCCTCCCGCTTTTCTCGAGGTTTTTTTTAAACAATTAAAAACTCCTAAATTTATGAAAATCCCTTGTAATTGATTAAGTTTATAATACTTCTAACTACTACTACTACTACTACTTTTGTCATATGTAAGTAGTAATAGTAGTTTATTTATGAATAAAATATGTAATTCATGTTCATTTCTCCTCTTCTATCATTTAATATTAGTAACTTTTGTTTTAAAACAAATTCTCTATCATGAATTTTCTGATACAAATCATTCATGTGTTTTGTTTTGTTTGTCGAAAGAAACTATAATATTCCTATTTATTACAATGTTGTAAACAATAAACAATTTTTTTTGTTATCCATGATTATTCATACATATGTATCCATTTGCCAACTTCATCTAGATTTAGCTTTACATGCATCTCTAATGTTGCAACGGCGTAAGTGAACAATGAATTTATGTTTGAATGGTCTCACTAAATTGTTTTCAATACTGTTTGTTGTATGTGTGTGTGTGTGTGCATGTACACACTGCACCAAAGATTTCAATTTCCTTCACAAACCAACTTGTTTATTTTTGTATACTTAGAAAAACAAAGTATGAAAATTATTAATTTTCTTCAGTGGCCTAATACATTCCAAGTATATTATTTGGTATTCAAGTTTACTAGTTTGTTGTATCAGTTTGTAATATTGTACAAGAAAGTTGTTGTGATTCTTGTAAGTTAATACAACCATATATAACTTGTAATAATGACAGTTCGAAGCATATGCATATCAATTATCGTATTAAGTGACACATTATCTTTTGCCTGTGCAACAGGAATCATTATCAACATCACAAATAGTCTCGTTATAATATTATCATATTCTTTAATCTGTATACACTATATACTATTTTTAAATCTGTAATTTTAAGTTTGACTGCTTTTCTATTTAACTTTTTGATTCATTAATGACTATTTCACTATTTCTTGTGTTAGCTGTCACTATGATCAGATGCTTGAGCATGAAACTTTGATTTTTCTTATTTCTAAATTACTTATACTTGTTTTCCTGTTGTTACTTTCTAAATCGTCTTCCATTTCCTTTACGAAATAAGCAAAAAATGTTATTTTTTAAAACAACCATTGTTTTTTTTTAAACAAGTACTAAGTAAACAAAAATAAACGCTACCAGAGTAGCAAACACTGCTGCTACTGATTACTATTGCTATTCTTTAGCCGATCGTAATTACTTCAATTTTTGTCGTTAGCTCCTGGAATTCCTTGCACAATTTGTACGGATACAATCAATTGAATTTCATTTCATCAATTTTTAGATGTTAGTAGTTGTTGTTGGCGTTTATTGTTTTTATGGATGATTATTTTGTTTGTCGATTTGTTCAACTGAAATTGATTTGAAGACATTTTAATTAAGTCTTGAAAGTATTTTTCGCTTGAATTTTAAGTGACCTTTTCTTCTCGAGTCCTTGATTTGGTTACTCAATAATACTCTAGAGAGAACTTGCTTCGATCTTATATAAGACTTTCACACGATAGGCTAACTGATTCAACCTTGGGGCTAGGAATGTGTGCGTCCAAATGGAACTCAAATGGCCTTGTACAGTGACGTAAACTACCTGATTGGTTGACAAGCGAGAGTGAAGACAAGTCAAATAAAGCACTACTCGATGTATTTCTGATTTGGATTAGTATAAAAGACACGAATAAATAGATAACCTACATGATCAGAACGCACAAACAACTAGAAAAATACAATTGTGTCCAAGCTGGGGATTACGGTAGAAAAATAGAGTACAAAAGGTTACGTTTAGATTACAATAGTTTGGAACAGAAAACGTTATGGCAGTGAGTCATCCATTAAACGAAAGCTTATGGTTTATAGAACAGATTTCTGACAAAAATAATTGTTCGTATTTTAAAATTTCGAACTGAGTGAAATAACATCCCACAAAATAGCTCCTGTCGTTTGCCATGTCTTCTCTATTTTTTTGCTCACATCAAGAGTCACTTGAATTTTCTTTCACAATTTGTTCAAGAGCATCGTTATAGTATTTATATGGTTTACAGCTGTTCCGTGGTATCTAGTTTTTCTCTGATGATTTGGTGATTTTATGAATGAAAACTTATCAAGTTGGAATTATCACCGTTTACTAAGTGAAAAGTTCTGTCAATTTATTTCGTTTGTATCGGATGATGATTAATTTATTTCATCATTCTAAAATAGTAACTTCTTCCAAATTACTAAACAGCGGTAGTATTATAGAATAAATAATTCGGTTACTTGATTGAAAGTATTGTTAACATCGAATATCAAGTAATCTATAATGTATTTTGGCAACATCTTTTCTATTTTATGAAGTCACATAAGTGCTTGTTGACATGCTAACCAATTTTATACAACATCTATTCTCATTAAGCGGAGATGGATAGTGGCTGGCAGTGGAATCCAGGACGCGCGTTTCGCCCCATTTGGGACTCGTCAGCAGTCCTAAATAACAATGGAAAGATACTAGTATAACAACATCAAGTGAATTTATCTATGATCATTGTTTCGTTTGTTAAGCTGTTTACGCGGCCAGTTTATTTATTTCAAATTTTAGGCACACATAGGTTGTTCGATAGAAACACATGTTATCACTACTTGAAGATATTATTTGGATTTGAAAGCCGTTTGATTTATGGTAGGGAAGAGATCAGTCAATCATGGATAAGTAAAGAGTAACAATATATCTGTCATTAAACTTGAGCAACAAAAATAAATAAAAATGCGACTATTTACAAACTATTGAATTTTAATTTAATAACTCAACAGTGTCTTATTTATTATATGACAGAAAGATACCTAATTCAGTCTTATATAGGACTTCTGGTGAACATAACTGATAGTCTTAGACTAGGACGAACACTTATCCGGTGTCTTTTAGTTTTCTGTTCTATTCTATGTGAGTTCAGGTTCGGGAGTTTGATTATCTGCAGTCTGTGTAGAATCACCTTAAATGACATCCATTTCGCTTAAGTAATTGTAGATCAACGAGTTCAAATTGACTTTGTAAATATATCATCATTTTAATGACTATATTCACCAACTTTCACCATAACATTTGGGTTGAACAAAGTGACTATTAATTGATTATCTGATTCTTGTTCAATTTTACTCATAAATTATCACGGAGTGTACTTGCTCACTATAAGCGCATGATTGACTACTCACATGTATGTTAACTATCTGATTAGTCATGTCCAATTGAATATGTTTTACAAAGGCGTAGTTAAGCATACAACTTCATATATATATATACATATACTTGTCAAAGATGTTGAGATATATCAAACTTTTTCAATAGTTTGTAACACCATTATACTAAAAATCACTAATAACCAAATTTATTAGGCAACAGATTTCAAACTATTGGGTTTATTGTTTATAACAATAAAATACCTGTTGAGATTTGGACTACCAGAGAATATCATTACTGTTTACAAAAGGCATACGTGGCTCACAGTGTGATATACTAATCTGTATTGATTTTCTTTGTTATAATCAGTTATACAGCAGCATAGTATACTCTAATTTGATTAATTGTTAATGAATAGATGGAAATGTACAAATTTATTGTTTTTGAATTAACTAATAGGGTCTAAGCTAAAAGTACGTTTAGTTTGACATCCTCGATACGTAACCAGAAGGTACCAAGCTCAGTTGTGTTTAGAGTCTTGCTTATACACTGGTAACGAGTCCGGTAATGATCAACGAAGACTTGAACAAAATAAACATCTATCGAAGTTGCCTAATGATATCACAACTAGATAAAATTAACCAGAACAATAATGATAGTAATGACTTAAAAATAGACTTACTTTTTTTTTCTGGTTAGCGTTTTTTCAGCGAGTTAGTTTTCTACAGGATGAGGTCGCTAACCCCATGCCCAACTCTCCTCCTTTATCCGGGCTTAGGACCGGCAGTAGCCTCCGGAGGGACTCCAGGCGGAGTTTAAAAAAGACTAGATATAGGGAATTTAGTTTTGAAAGGCAAAATGAATTCGTAAAAGAAAACGTGTCATATAATTTTGAAACTAAACATCTAGTTTAAGACTTCCAAGATGAGCTAAGTAGTCAGCAATATCTCCCACTTCATGCCTTATAATTAATTTAGACGCTGATACATGTCAATCTTGAATGAAACTCTCATTCATGCACTTGAAGCTTTCGATCGAGAGTTCGAAATATTTTATAGAAAACGTATGCTTACTTTTATTTATTCAGTAGTCACAATGAATACTTCCAAAGTCAACAGACATTAAAAAACATGCAAGATACGTTTATTCGATATTCGAGGTAGTATTGTAATGGGTTGATTTCTTTAAAAATTCAAGCTACCTGGTGTAGCTTGCTCTTTATAGGGACCTAATTTGTTGATACATGACAATGTCAAGGCACGGTATACTAGCACAAACTGAACAGTTATCGTCTTCTACACAGAGAAACTAAAAACTTTCCCAAGCTGTTTACATAAAATATGACATGAAAAAATACATAATTGTTATATCCTATTGAAGATTAAATTACGAGTAAATTCTGAGAACTATTAGTGAACTAATATTATATATATATATATATATATATCCTTATTGCATAACTATTCAGTAACTAGATTGTGTATATCTATATTCCTTTAATTATAAGCCTCATTTTGACTTATAGACTATCATTATACGATTTACCGTTCTTAAAATTATGCTCAGTTTATTAATTACCGTCTCCCACAATCACAGCCACTTTTGACCAGATCTTGCATCAATTTTATTTTCTATTTCGTGGTGTGATGAGGTCTGTTTGGCTTGTATATAAACCAAGTATGTTTGAAATGAATGATGCGCATGGTGGAAGCTGTTATCGGTGTTCTGCACTCAACTGGCAAGGCTAGAAGGAAAAGGGACCAGT